CCAATGCATCCCACCACACACCAGGTCGTCCAAGACGGCCACACAACTGTTCTATACATCTTATCAATCCCTATTTTCATCTTTGGCATTTTCAGCACCATTTCTCACTCCATCCCTAATGGTTTCCCCATTCCTTGCTCCTAAGCTTCATGCTAGTGCCTTTGCTACTGTTTTCCCTGTCACTAGTCTTCTAGCAGTGTTCTCTCATGTACCCTATTGTGTCCCTAATGTTTTTTCTACCACCATTCCTCTACATTTTCCCCTAGCATCTGTGTGTTATGCATCCCTGCTATTTTCCCTACCACCAATTCCCTACCATCTCTCTCATATGAACCCTGCTACTTCCCTACCATATTCCCTGCCACCAGCTCCGTATCATTTCCCTATCTCTGTATCCCTATCGTCCTCCCTATCACCATTTCCCTACCATCACTTACCCTACCCTAGGGAAAAAATTCCATCCCTAAAAATTCCCTAGGAAATATGAAAAACAATCCCATAACCCTAACTTCATCTATTACAACACGTTTGATACACCTTTCGTTCTCTGCATAGGCACTGTATACTATTTAGCATGAGCTGGTAACGAATCGAGAAGTACTCACTTGGCGAATGTACCACAAATAGCAGTTTCCAGTGCCACAAATACCAATGGCGACCTGCCCATGTCCCGATGCTTGCTAGTGTAGTGAAGTGCATTGATACCGAATGCCTGCGCCTTGACCAACTGGTCTTGAAGTAAAGCCTTGTTGGGAACGACCACGATTGTCTTGTAGCCAAGATGCTGCTCTTTGAAAACCGGTAGCAAATATGACAAGCTTTTGCCTCCACCAGTTGGAAGAATGCCCACGAAGTTGTTCTCCAAAGCTAAGGCATGTTCGACGATATTCCGTTGACCTGGCGACTTAAATTCAGCAGTTGGATTCTTGAAGAACTTCCGAAGCAAGTCGAGTGCATATCCTGGCTCATTCACTGAGGGCCCAGTCGGTGGTAGAGGCGCAGCAGAAGAAGAAGAAGGAACAGGAGGAAGCGAGGCTGCTGGTGCAGAAAGTTCTGGTGGATCATCTCCATACAAGTCCTCAATCTCGGTGTAATCCCCTTGAGCAATCTCCTGGAGTGGCGTAACCGGGTGTATGGATGTCGAAGTAGACTCGAGCAAGGGGAACTGTGGCGCTGAATCTGCATAGCGAATGCCTTCTGACTGAGCAATGAACAGCGCTTTCTGAACACCCTCTGCCACCGATTTCTGCACCTTGGACTCTACAGCATCCATAACCCGAGCCATGGCAGATGAAACCGCACCCGTAACCGTATTGGCAATCTCAGCACGTATGCCTGCAAGCAAGGCAGCTGTATCGAGTGCAGGCGTAGCAGCAGTAACACCAGAAGTTGTGGAGGTAGTTGTGGTGGGAAATAACTGATTGCGCTTCTTGACTATTAGCGGAACCATGGGTGGATACTCTGGGAAGCAGCCCATCATTCTTGCCCAAGCGTCAGAGGCGAAACCAAAGCGTAGAACCATGTCGCTGGTGAGGGACGGAAGATGGCCAGCCTCTGGTGCGTAGTGTGCACGTTCCACTCTTGTAGTGTGGCCACGAAGTTCAGCGAAAGCGTCTTCACCTTCCATGGCAAGCTGGAACTCTGAGCCCAAGTAGACGCGCCCCATCTCAACCGTAAGTTGACGGAAGTTGCGCAAGCCGCAGTCCCTAACACCAGCCTTCTGCTGCATGAACGTGGCCAGGAGTTCGCTAAACGTATCTGCAGTTATCACCTTTCCCATGTCGAGCCACAGGTACTCAGCATACAGCAGTGCAGTCTCTTCATTCCAAGCGACACGAGCCAGAATCTGTTCCAAAGGACGTATACCAAGCAAGTAGATCTCCAGCAAGCGGGTGAGTTCTGGATGGCACTTCATGGCTATGAAGGACTCTGCGCCTTGTAGATGTTCTGCTTTGGTGCGACGGGTGACGAGCCAGAGGTCTTTGAGCGAACGGAAGACAGTACGAGGTCGATTTGAGTTGCGAATCTTGTGCTCTACAAACTCTGCACCACGTGGATCAGGGCCAGCCGTAATGAAGCTGTATAGCGCCAGAGAGTGGTTGATCTCGCGCATGATCCCAAGTACCTCCAAGACAGCAGCTTGATTCCAAACAGCACCACCAGCACTGTCTTTGCGTAATAGGAAACGACCAGGCGTGTTGAGCAGCGCAGCCATTAACTGATTGGGCTTTGCGACCATGGAATCGATGTCGTCTAGCCAGGAAGAGCCTCTAGCTGTAGTTGTCCAGTCGTCACTGATGTTGTCTGGAATCGAGTACTCAAATACTTCAGTGTTGAACAGAGAGGTAATTTGAGCCTTGATATGCGCAGCGAGTCCTTCAACTGCAAGCCGTAACCGTGGAACATCCAGAACACTCTTGTGGTATGTGATGAGTTGACCATCAGCGCTGACCATAGTCGTAGGAGCCGCAGTAGTGTTGTGGACAAGAGAAGAGATGTACGACTGGTAGTTCGAAATCGTATTGAAGGCGGAGCGAACATTGAGTGCAAGATGAAGCTTGACTTGGTCTTCTACAAGTCTAATCAAGGATTTAGAAGCAGAATTTCACAGGATATGACAAGGAACTTACTCCTCAAATGCCTTTTCAGAACCATCAAGATGGCCAAGGGCGTGCATGAAGCATGTAACCCGGCAGAGATACTTGAGGATAGCCAGTGGTTGCGTCATGTACTGAGGCGGTTTGAAAGATCCGTCATCTTGAATTGAAAGCAGGGCTATGAAGCATTCAATGAATCTACTCCATTTGCTGCTGCCATCTTCCGACTCCGTAACGTTAGCGAAGCGACTCAGCATTGGCTGTACCAGTGTATGCATGGCTACGACCTGGCTCTTCATATGGACACCATCTTTCAGTGATGCAAGGAGGGCGTGGGCATGTCTGATATCGTCTTCAGATAGCGGGAACTGGTAGCCAGACTTGTTGCGTGTACCATCTATGGACTTGATAATTGCGTTGGCCAGCTTAGCAAGAACCGTAGAGTAGTTGCGAATGGTGGAGGAGTCTTCAAGTGGCTTGAAGTGGACGCTTTCCCTTCAATTAAAGATTAGAAATGACCAGGACAATATAAATAAGACATACATTGGATACCGTTTCAACATCTTGCGAACTTCAAAGGGTGACTTGCTGATTCTGCGTCCAGCGATTTGAAGGTACTCATTTGCCACATCACCAAGCTTAGCCAGGCGACTCCCAGACCCATGTGTAGGCACCTTAACCAAGTCCAAAAGATCCCCCACAAGACGTCGATCCTTCAGATAATCTGCTAGATGTGTATGCCAGCCAGTCATCTGAACCATGAGTGGTAGTTCATGCGGATGAATAGGCTGTAGAATGTGGGTGGTGGTAGTGAGATCTGGCAGTAGTTTGGTGGTGTAGATGTCGAGCAGAGATGAATCAACTGAAGGCGGTAATGGTGGTGACGTAACTTCAAAGTAATGTCGTTGAGTAGGCGAGAAGAAGGTTTGAACATAGCCTTTCGTGTAGTTTGATCCATATTGTGAAGGTACTTCTTTATGTTTACCAATATGACGTTCAATCATTGACTCCTTCAGGCAGGCGTAGTCGCAAGTACCGCAGCAGTAGCCATCAGAGACTGCCAGACCTTCAACAGGTGGCCCTAACGTCTTTGGACGAAGTGGGACTTCCTTGTTGATGACGTGAAGCATGGCCAGAACATGGAGCAGTTGCTCTTCATCCTGACGAGAGACAGTGAAGCCATGTGAGCGAAGATGGCCTATTACTTTGGAGGGAATCCAGGCAACTAGACAACCCATGCAGTGAACCGTAGAGTAGTGGCGGTGAACTCGAAGACCATATTTCTCTAACGTAGCGGTAGTTGTCAAGGTGCTGATGGCAGGTTCAGTAGCCGTAACGTGCTGTGTAGGCAGACTTGGAAGTGGACGTGGTGTGATGTCCAGATCTGGTGAGGATGAGCGTAGTGATCCGAGACCAGGTGGTGTAGTTGGTTGGGCAACCAGAGGGGCAGGCGACAAGTGAGGACCAGGAGACGGAAGACGAAGAGGTGTCGCCTTTGGAGTAGGCGAAGAGACAGGCTGATCCTTAACAAGCACCAAGTTAGTTAACAGCAAAATTGAATAAGATTGAATACAAACTAAGAGTGGCAAATCCACATCCATTAACTCAGACTCCAATTCAACTCCCTCATCTCCTTCCAAAGTCTTCCAAGAGAACTTAACCACCTTATGAGCACTCCTGGAGTGGTGGCTGAAGTTCTTGACATTCTCATGTTGAACTTCACATAAGGGACAGCAAAGCAAATGCTGAATGCCATCCCTAACCACCAAGTAATCTTTGCTATCTAATTACAGTTGGTACAACTACAAGATCAGCAAGGGAGCATGGTAACTCACCAAAAGAGAGGATATATCTCTCATGGTGAAGAGTCTTGATATGCTCATTGTAGCTCTTCTTTCTGGACCAATCTTTGTTGCAGACAGAGCAGAAAAGCTTTCTACAGAGACCATGAAAGGAGCTATGATTCTGGGACTAGAAGAGCTCTAAGAATAGCTACATACCCTTGAGATGATGCCATTGCTTTGGTGAAAAGTTGCAGGAATGGAGAGGTGAAGGGGATGCAAAAATAGAGTGCAGTAGTGTGCAGGTAGAGACAATAGGGGGTTCATTTCGCATTTTTTCACATTTGGAACTCAGAGTCCTAGCCCCTGGGTCATGTGCTTACAGAATACTTCAGAAGGACCTCCGACAATCCCTATAGAGGTTTGATCGGAAAATGCCGGGATTTGGGCTAAAAAGGGTGGACAAAAAATTACCTTATTAGGAAATCTGGAGGGGTGGATTATGATCCGACCTCCCAATTGGGCCTCCGAGGGGTGGATTATTAGATCTAACATCAGAAAGTCGAATAAAATAGAAAGAAATAGCGCAAAAATACAGGCGTGTTCTCTAAGGCAATATCTATTAGCCTTCAAGGTCTTCAAGCTCGTAGGTATGCTTCTTCCCCATCAATTTCTTTACAGCCTCAACCACCAGCCCCTCTTTCGCGTTCAGGGGTCGAAATACTGAGTTGTAGACGGCGGGAGCAAGTTTGATGAAGCTATCACCTCGGATGGTAACGGCTTTTGTTGTAAGTGCATATAAGAATGCCTTGGAGTGGACGAGTCCGTATTTAGGAACACCAGACTGCGTGATCGACCGGAACAAATTTGGGGTGGAGAGGGGCGTCCAAACTTGCATGGAAATCCAGGAGATATTGCCGACAGATGAGGCGTTCGATACCCATGAGTGTGTGCTAGCTTTACCCCCACCCTTCTCGTAGAATGTGACGACTGAAAGGCATGGTGAGTAGAGGAACATACATATATGTTGAGGTACCTACCTTGTCCAAGCATCAGTTTCTTCTCATACAGTACGATGGCAAACAAGCCATCAATTAGCTGAAATAGATGTGTTATATTTGCAGTAGCCAGCACATCTGTAAGGGGGAGCGAAGCGAAGATCGACTTGCGTGAGTTGATTAGCTAGGATTCAAACCAACGGTCAGTTTCCATTGTGCGCTGCGTAATAAACGATAGACTCACCACATTGGCCCTTGAGCTCGCCGCTATCCTCGCGTTCACAGCATTTCCAGTAGCATCCTTGTCTGTAGTTGTCATGGCCTGCTTTGTCCATCGAAACTGGCGGGCCAGTCCGCTCGTTTCTCCTTTAACATTGATGCCAGACAGCCTCAGCACTTCGTGAATCTTCTGTGCAAGTAGCTGGCGTGGTGTTCGCTCGACGTCTTCCACACGAGCACTGACAGGGGCCGCTTCCTCCTCGTTAGGGGAGGTATCAGAAAGGTTGACCGGCCTGCATGTGTCAGTCGTCTCTTTGCTCTGATGTGCCCACCGTTCATCTACAAGTATCCCGATATCGTACTCCGAGATCTGAGATAGATTCGATGGGGGATCCTCCAACTGATCTTCTTCCTTGGTATGTACATGAGAGCCTGAGGGATGCTCGCTTGCCTGCTTCAAGAGATCATTGACTGCAGCCTGACCTGCAGTACCTAGAGCTGATATCGCCGCAAGTATCGGCTTTAGAGCCGCCTGGATCTCTGCCAACGCCTCGGGCTTCTCGTCTGCGAGATCATCTCTGATAGATAGAAGTCAGAGACTCGAACTGCTTGAGCAATTGCCTGACTTACAGTGCTGCTAGATCACGCATGTTAAGGGCTGCTGCTGCTAGTCCACAGTCGTTGAGCGTATCCATAACGCTGTCAGAGAGGTCCGGGTGATTTGAAGGTGCCACAGATACAAACGAGGCTGCCTGCAAAGCCTGGTCTAGTATAGCCCGATCCGAGACTTCTTCGACTAGTGATTTGTCTCCCATTGCTGGTGCATCCAACAGATCATCTTCGTCTGCATCGAGATCAGCGACGGGGACAAGGGGAAGAGAGGGTGTTGGTGACAAGCCCCTGTAATATCCTAGTACCTCCCAAATTGCATTGGCTTCGATCCACGCAATACCAGCGATCTGTTCAAACGTTTCACGAGGCGGGAAGGAAGAAAGAGTATCCAGATTGGCGCCACTGCCGTCGAAGTGTGTGTGTGTGTACCCAGCGCCGCCTCGTCGAAAGTCCGATATTTCTATCGTGCGCTGACAAGCGGCCATCAATCGTACATCTAGCTTGGGAATTATCTGAATGGCGTCAACAATCGTAAACTCTGGGAGAGTGCTACGGAGTAGTCCAAAGATATGCTCGTTCGCTTCAGAGCCATGCATCCAAGGTAAGAGCGGGAAGGGCGATGAGAGATGATCACGGTGGATGATGATTAACCCTAGTAATCCATTTACTAGGATATCTAAGATATCATCGGCTTCTTGAGAGATGTAATGGCGTGAGGAAGGATATCCGTTTTCTGCGAGGAAGTCCTTCCAGATCGTCTTGAAGAAGTAGGCCAACAGAACCATACGAATCCGTTGACCGTGGGTGATCGTACGGCTCTGATACGCATCGACGGCCTCCCCAAAGACAAAGAGAAATATAGCGAGGCCAGTATGACCAGACTCGATTGCGTGCTTAATGTTCGCTGCTGAGAAGAGTCTGGCTGCAGCACGATCGTCCTGGCGATCTAACTTGTCGACATCGCGTACATACAGTGGCGAACGGTTCTGATCATATACCATTGATCGGACCTGCTCATAGTAGATGAGTTGGTTGCCCAATACGAGCTGCTTTGCACCGGTGAATAAGTTGTTACGACACGTCTTCCTGAAATGCTTCGAGTCTTGGATGATGGCGAGGCGATGTGTCCCTATGCACAGGAGTTCGACCTTCAGGGGGCGCTCCTTATTGCTGGGATGTTGGATGCTGGTGTACTCAACCGCAGCAAAACCGGATTCGATCAAGAGGCGGCGAGCCTTGCGCTCTATTACAGTACCATCCGATCCGAGGGAGATGATATTTATTGGAGTGGGCGAATCAATGAGAAGTAGCTTGAGGAGCGACTCCTCGATTGTTGCCAGAGAAGCAGCCGTGTTGCTTTCTGATATTGGTAAGATTGCCATGACCAGAGGTGGTACGTTAGAGAGAGGGATCGAAAGAGACCAAACGCGCGCCTTTGTCGCCAAAGAGTCTGATGCCTGGTGAATGAGTTGGTCAAGTTGATCGGGGTCAGCAACTATCATTGGGCCCGTGGTTGAACCAAGGAGAAACCAGGTCTTTTTGGACTGGTCGTAATAAGGGCGTAACGACGGGTGAAGCTTGGTATCGTCGACAGCGCAAGCAAGCGGTGAAGTCGAAGGATAGTCATAGTCGCCTAGATACTTGACAGCACGCTGAAGAGTAGCCTCGCTGATTCCAACCGTCATCTTGGGCTTTGAGGCGCGAATTCGTAGCATGCTTCGCTCTGATCGACCACCAAACGTAGACGAGAAGAGTCGGTATGCTTCTGGGCGTACGCATTGTATCTCGTGGCAAAACTGGTCGAAGTCGGTGGCATACTGCATGTTCTGTAAACCAACACCACGTTCCTGGCGTTTATGACGTTCTAACATCACTTCCATGAGCTGAATGAATGACGGCTTGCCATCGAACGCTCCAGATGACAATGCGACCGTGAACTCTAACAGGAAATCGCCCTTTTTACTGGCAGTCTGTGGTATCACAGTGTTTGATGTCAACGACGAAGTCCAACGATGATAGGGGAAATGGACAGGGGTACGTACCTCCTTGACAAGCTTGCCCAGTCCTTTGTTTGTAGCGTACATCTTTCCTGTTACAACGCTTTGATATCTTGATGGGATATACTTCCTCTGGTCGTCTGGTGCGCCCTCTCGAGAGATCGATACCTGAAAAGCCCGGAGTCGTAGGATACTCAAGCATTCAGTACATGCCTTGAGCCCCTCAGAGTCCTGGCACCATACCACCCTAATACATTTGCAGGAGAACACCCTTCCGTTGTCGTGATCTAGCTCCCATTGACAGCTATTTCGGTAATGTAGATCTACCTCGTCCTTCTGCTCCTGGGAGAGAGAGGGAAAGGGTTGGCCAAAGTATTTGAGAGCCAGAGAAGGTCGACTCAGCCCTCCAGCGTGACGAACCTCAGTGCGGGAGGTGTATTGGGGGATGCGGTCGTCATGAGCCTCTGTAAGCCCAGAGCAAGGCCGCTTGCAGAGTTTACCTTGCTTTGGCTTCGATAAGTTCAAGGCAGACGAACGACTGAGGCCAAGAGTAAGCATGCCGGCGATCGACTTGGTATGAAGTTTGCTTCCTCTAAACTTGCATCTCGAGATGTGCTGCTTGAATCGATAGGTATTGTATGGCTCAGATTGTTTGATGTCTTTCGTACACCATGAGCAGCGGACGTCACGGATCTTCTTGGGATTCCCTTCGTATACTTCAACATATGGATCTAGGGTGCGAAGCTTCTTGACATATGCTTCCCAGCGTATCTTGTTTTGTTCAAACGAGCCATCCGTCGCCGCCGCATTGTTTCGCTGCTTCGAGAGTGTGGACCTGGATTTATCGACCTTCTTTACCCTAGATAGCGGCAAGTCCAGTTGGTTATCGTCTGAAGCCATGGGTGAATCGCCCTCAGGCAAGGTGGCACCAAGTGCGAGGATAGGAGCGATCTGAGTATTCAGATTCAACTTGCTCCCTCGTCGAGGACGCTTCATGACACGGCTTGGAGAGCTGGTAGGGGACGTTACAGGGGAGGTTCCAGGGGTAGCAATGGCCTTGCTATTTCCTCGCGGACGCTTCGTGGGTTGAGGAGCGACAACAGGGGCAGGAGTGAGTGATATAGGTGGCTCCAGCAACGGTAACAGAGGTATCAGTGGGGGATCAACCGTCTACAAATAATTGTGAGTACATGAATAACTATTAGATTAGTCGCTCACATCATTGTCTTTGCAGAACTCCATGCACGATAGGAATTCGTTCATGCGAAGCTGCTCCTTGGTAGCCCCTGTCCAGAGGGTGTCGCGAAAGATGTGGTACTTGAGCGCATTCAGAGCGACAATTCCACAGGAATAGCCGTCATTTTGGGAGGCGCAGGTGTAGCCACTATCAATCGTAACGATGTGCTTCGGCAGATATAGATTACTCCACATCCTGATCCCCTTCGCCAACGCCTTGGGCACCTTTCGTTGAAGCCCATCACCCCATTTCGCCTGGACACGACTACCTGAGATTGTTATCAAGACAAATCCCCAGTGGTTCGTGGGCCAGTAGCCCACTGTGGCGATCAAGACGTCCTGCGGGGAGGTGGCGATGAAGTTTCCAATCCTAGAGAGCTCTGAGCTATCCAGGATCTCGTTGGGTGATTGCGTGTCTTTAGATGCAAGAGCTCCAAGGTGATCCGTAAACGATAGGGTAGGGACCAAGAGGATCTGCTTGCTGGAACGATGATCTACTTCGTCTCTGTATCTAGCGCGGAGACGAAGAAGCATTGCATCAATATGTGATGAAGACAGAGACGAGCTCGATAGGAACTGCGCCATATGTGTGACCTCAGAAGCGCGTCCTAGCTTAGGTATAAGACCCTCCCAGTGAAGAGACTGGAAGATCGATGTCATGCGAGCAGTGCGCGAGCTGTTGTCGTGAGGGAAGACATTGGCAGTCCACCTCAGAGCCGTCTTCCAAGCTGTCTGAGCTTTAACGAAGTCGCTGAGTGCATACCATAGTCCTAGAGCCTCGAATGGTAGATAGATATCGTGTGCACCCCAATGTTTGATTGAGACAGATCCGTCTAGCATTGCTTGACCTGCAGCGTTGCGTAGCTTTATCAAGAATGGTCGAGGAGGGAGGGGGCGGTTGGGGAGAAGGAGGTAGGATAGTGGTGTATTCGCGGGTATATTGCAGAAAGCGGCCCTTGCATCCTTCAAGACCCAGGTTGTCGCTTCAGGTGGTAATTGGGTAGCAAGGAGTTCAGATATAGTTAGACGTGGTGGTGGGAGCATGGATCGAGATGTGTCACTTAACGAGATTCGGGACTTGAGCTCGTTCGCTATAGCTTCTGGGACATTGCAGTATTCCTTGCCAACGCCAATCCACAAGCTTAAATCAACGGCTTCGGGAGGTAAGGTGAGATCAATATGAGTTGACATTGCACTGTTAATTTACACGAGTACATGTCTTAATTATAGTAACTCTTACCTACCTATCGCACTATCTATCCATCTGGACTATTGTATCGTGCTGCGTGGACAAGGTGTCGCAGTTGAACCAAGAGGGGCCACTTAGGGGATGTCTAGGGTAGTTCGCGGAGCTTCGCGGAGCCTCAATACTGCGAACAATGTGGGAATCCTGCGAACAATGTGGGAATCCTGTCTTGGCAGCGTCTGACACTTGTGGGTGATACACTGTGATACGGACACTCGCCTACTGCGACAATCTACCACGAGTAATATTTTCTTAGATTTTACTTAGGTCAAGGATCGGCTATTAAGGGGTGGATTATGATCCGACCTCAGGCTCCTGGCTACACAAGGGGTGGACATTTGTATCTGACATTTTTCTTCCACGTCCAAAAAGGGGTGGATTATGCGCGCGCTAAATCTAACATTATTACTATATTAGGAAGTCCGAGGGGTGGATTCCGATCAAACCTCTATAGGGATTGTCGGAGGTCCTGGAGTCACCTTCTGGCTGTACTTCGCATTTTTGCTGAATTTAAATGAGAAGACCTGGTGCTACAGCTTGCTCCCCACATTGGACTTATGTTTTTTTACATTCTGAACAACTTTGTCCACTCAAGCAAGCCATGAAAATCAATCCCTAAGTCAGTAGCTCACTATTTGCTACTTAAGTTCGCATTTTTGCCCTTCTTGACTGCCATAAAATGGCCCTAACTACTTTGGAGTCTTTGCATCTTATGTTTTTTGTTATTCTGAACAACATCCTCCTATATACCTAAGCAATTGGAGCAGGTTCTGACCATGTTTCATTACAAAAAGTGTCATTAGAGCGGAATTTGAAGTCCCTAATATGAGCTACTGACTGTGAGAAACTAATTTTGTAATGAGGTCGGACTTGTAATGAGTTGTGACTGTGAGAAAATGCGAAAACTCAGCTGCCTGAACAGGCAGGTCAGGAGAACAGGAGAACAGGGGCACATTAAATAAAACACAAAGATAATTCCACAGGTCAGGCCCAGGTGGGCCCAAGTGGACGCAACAACGACCCAGTCCTAGGGAATATATATTGGGAGGTTTGGTGAGCTGTTGCGTCCACTTGGGCCCATTTCCCACACCCATGGAACCAGTATAGTGGTTTTGCAGGTAGTAATGCAGCTGCTGAACAAGGAGAAAGTGGCCCAAGTGGACGCAACAAGGTTTCCCATATAGCCTGAAGGTATACCTAGAGATGGGATTTTGTCGCGTCCACTTGGGCCCACATCCTGCGACTTGAGCCCTGTTCCTCCTCGTACCGAAACGGTATTTGGGCTGTAGCATGAGGAGGAGGGCAGATATCTCCGTAGGAATTTGATTAGTATACTCTCCTAACATGCCCGGACATATTTTGTCACCTAACCCTGGGTCGGGGAGCGACGGTTGCTTCGCTACGCTCAGCGAGATTCTCGACGAAGAAGGGGGCGTGGAGGGACGGCGGGACAAGAAAAGGTGGACGCGACAAGGTGATTCTCCATCAGAACACCCTAACGGAGGTGTGTGAAGTTGTTGCGTCCACTTTGGAGGAGGTTGACCGATTACACCCTGTAATCCGTCGGATAATATAGATAGGTGAGTAAGTAACGTTAACCTCCCCATTCCCCTCCTTCCTCCTTCCTCTCATTTCCCCCTATCTTCCTCGAAACCCGCAATTTGCACCACGTACGCACGTACTGGATGCGCAATCTATACACAATCAAGGCGCCGCAACACCGCAATTTCCTCTGGTTGGCGTGATAGACCTGGTGTGGTAGAGCTCTTTCGGTCGCATCCACCACCCATCATCCACCATCGACAGAATCTACCATCATACATCATCGCCGGACCGCACGACAGCACGACAGGTGAAGACGACGGACGCTCGACTTTCCCCGCCACCCTTACCCTCGCCCTCGCCCTCGCCCTCACGCCCAGCAGTCTACCCCCTGCGCAGACCCAGACCCAGACCCACGTGCGCACCCTTTATCTTCAGACAGTGCTCGCTCATCCCTTTTCACTCATCCCTTTTCACTCATCGCTCATCAGGCGGAGACACGAAGACATGAAGACGTGAAGACACGCTGGACGCTGATACGCAGATACAGAGGTACAGCCTGACACTAATAACGACCAACACCAAAACCAACTGCAAAACCAAAGACAAAGACAAAGCCAAAACTGAAGATGAAGACGAAGATATGGCTGGGAAATATATGACTTCTATTGGACTGTTACATCAGATTGTACAAGAGGGTGGAAGCAGATTGACGAAGACGCGTATGGAGTACAAGGCTGCAGCATCAGCCGTGGATGTACGCATCTTGGGAGTAGTAGGGGTTGGTCATGAGCGAGCTGCTGTCAGCCTCGAAGTACGTGCGATCGAACGCCGTGTACTCATGCGCATCAGCGTCAGCGTTGGCGTCCGCATCATTCAGCCCATGCTCGCTAGGTGCGCCGGGTGCCGCAGCATGAGCGTGGCCATTTCGCACCGCGCCCCCTTTCTTCTGCTTCGCACCACTGGCCTTTGCGGTCGCTTTGGCCAACGCAGCTGCGTGCTTGGCCGTGAGCCGGTGTTTCTCGAGGTATGAGCGGGTCAGTTCGACCCCACACTCGCACACGACCCTGTCCCGGGCGCGCTACGCCGAAATCAGAGCATCAGTAGGGAGAATACGATATATATATATAGAGAGAGAGAGGAAGACTAACAGGGATGTCATCGATGACGATCATGTCGTCGACTTTGCCGATAGTGTCGGCGGGGTTGACGGTGAGGACCGGGGGAGGGACGGTCTTGTTGCCGTCGAAGGGCCTCGGGAAGCGGGGCACGATGGTTGGGTTGGCGGCCTTCGAGTCGGGGTGACGCCGCGTCGACATTTGAGAAGCGTGAGTGATATTTCAATATGAGCAGTGAGTGTGACGGGGACTCATCAGAGCTGGTACGCAGATATTTATACGCAGGCGACCAGGTCCACGATGAAGCCACTCAACGACGACGTGTGTGGCAGACGTGCCACATTTCTTTGTTGCAGCACAATGGTGGTCGGCGTCAGTCCACATTCATGGGTGAATCCACAGCGCTACCCCCGATCGGGAGGAGCGAGAGGATCTGCCACCCGAAGGTCTATCGAGGTGGCCAGCCGATAAGCAGATGTGTTTGGTGTGTCTCATCATCTCCGATAGGTTCCGCGTCTAGTTGCAAGCCGTGAGTGGCGACACACCCATACTGCGACATCCTCGACTGATCTCGTCGATGTTGGCTTCGTGGGGCGCTGCACGACTCGAGCTTTCCTGTGTATACGTTTACCAGGAAGTAGGGTGTGGCGCACGGCGGGCCGCATCCCGCGAGGCCACAATCCTTCGGAAGATCGACGATCTCGTTGTTATTTGTGCAATCAAGATCGATCACGATCGAAGTCCACTGCGTATCGACGGCTAACCCAATAGATGCTGGTGGAGGCATGAAATGTCGATTCTGAACGCCTCGATCAGCAAGAGCCGAGAAGGGTGTACCCATTGTACTCACATCACCTGGGGTGCAAGAAGAGGCGAGGCGGAAGTTGGGAGTGTCCTTCTGTATGTTCGCCAACATGCAGCAGCGACGGCAATCCGCCGAGGACCACGTCTGCATACGTCTCTCGGTCGATGGAGGAGAAAATCGGGCAGGAGTGGAATACGTCGCAACAATGCAGGCCTGCGAGGACGGGGATGGCCGCAAGTTCGTAACGGGGGAACGGGGGGAAATGAAAACAAAGGAAAGCAAGGAAAAGAGGCAGAATGAAATGAAGGGACACGAATGGCGTTGGGAGACCGCGTAAGTGTGATCTCGTTGAGTCTCGGAGTAATGTGACGCAGACTCGCATACAGGGAACCCAAGTGTGCCGGGAAACGGGGTGCAGACAGGTATGGGCGCCATGAACAGGTACGAAGCCTCGGCAATATCTCGAAGCTCGAGGAAAAGAAAAGAGAAAGGGAAACAGGACGGGAGAGGAAACCAGATCGATCTTGAAGGGAGACAGCTACAAACATGGAACACGGGGTTGAGGCTGGAGAAAGGCGGGAGGAGGCATGGGCTTTGGTAGCGCCGAACATCAAGCGCAGCGGCTGCGAGACAGGTAAGCACACTCCACGTTGCTGCCTTTTTGTCTTACCCACCTACCCTTCTTCTAGCTTCCCAATGCTCCTCCGCCAAACGGGGAACTCATATGCGCACGACATCCCTGCGCCCCTCCATCGTCAGCACATAGCACCGGGACCGCCAGCGTACCGCCGAGGGCCTGGGGTCGTCTCATCTACCAAAGTGCAGATTCACCGGCCCTTCGCGCACCAGCGTGCTGTAAGTCACAAAGACAAAGAATCCGCAGACGCGAAATGGGGGCCCTTAGAGGCGATCGGGGCACTCAGCCCTGCGTGTCGCTGCCAGCGTGTCCTCGTGGAATCTGGGATGAAGCATTGAAGCATTGAAGCCGTGGCTGCAGAAGCGTGGAGCAGCGGACTCCGTGATGGGGACGGAGATGGCAGCTAGCAAGGAGGGCTGAGCTCGCCATGACGTGCCGCTACTGTTCTCTCTATCTCACGCCCTCGACTTCAGCCCACGCTGCCAACACTGGTGGAGCCTGCCTGTCCGTGGCCCTCTGCGCCTCTCGTCTTGGTAAGCTCCTCCTCTAGAGCACAGGCAGCGCGCTGATGTCCAGTACTAGAGAGCGCCAACATCTTCGTCAACGCCCAGCGGCAAGCTTACCTAACGATCGTGAAACAAGCGCCGTCGAATTTGCACCACAACCGCCAAGTCCCCATCGACGACGACACGTACGACAACACATTGGTCTTATCCAATCAAAGCAACCTCCCGCCCTCACGCACGATCGACAATCACCAGATCGAGGATTCTGCTGCAGAAAGACATCGACGCACAACTCACAACCATGCTGGCTACGCGGACACGATTCGCGGAGGTAAGCGTAGCGGAGAACAAACGGGTTAACGCCTCAGATCTCGCAGGAGAACCAGAGGGCCGCGCTGGCAGGTTCTCAACACAGGATGCGGTGACGACGAAGCTCCAGCGTTAACGCAAGCAGTACGGCTACGTGAGGACTCTGAAGGAAGGAAAGGTCGGGATGAAAAATGGAAGGAGAGACAGATTGGGGAATCAGACGGACGGGCGGGGATGTGGGATGCGCCGAAGTGAGTACACGTCGTGTCCCTTGTGAAGATGTCACTCACCAGCGAAAATCTCCACTAGGTCGTTCCCGGCGAAGTCTGCCCCATCTCCTCCATCCCCTTCGCTCCTGCTGCACCACTGCCTCTATCAATGCATCACCATGTGCCGTCGGCGGCGCTCGACATTTCATGGAGACCTCTGGCCGATCGTCTGCTCCTCCAGCAGCATCACAACGACGAGAGGAGTGGTTGCACGGCAAAGGAGAGAGGGAACGTTGCTGGAGATATCGCCCAAGCTGCGAACGACCAAGGGACGCATGAACGAAGATGCAAGTAGGTACCCCGCTCACTCGCATGTTGAAATTACTTACCGACGTGCTACGTCCCCAAGACTGCCAGATAACGTCCACGCGCACCTTCTACATTAAGCATGTCCCTTGCCAATATCGCTACATTTAACCCACCAACTAGCGTCGCCCTCCCTCCACGATGACCGATATTGGAACACGTAAATGGGCTGAAACTGTCGTCGTGTAGCTTGAACGCCCCAGTCTCATGTTGATAGTGAGCAGGGAGGGCAGTCACGCATCCACCCGCTGATACGTCGCCCAAACTCTCTGTAGTCACACGCAGCTTCGGTAAAACCCCCGCGCAAACCTAGATCGGCCGAAATGTGTCGGATCGCGACGTATATCTGGCCGGAATCCAAACCAAGTGACATTTCACGCCATACGCCATCCCAACCACAATCCCGCATTCTCGCACCCTCAACGTGACATCCAATCACCACACGCCCACTCCCGACGACGCCATGACCCTACTACCAGCTCGGTCCATGGCGTTAGTGACTGGGCACTCAGCAGCGCTGTCGTCGATTTGGTGCACACACGGGCTCAGCACCGCGAATAGAGACCTGTGCTAGCGAGAGGGAGAGCAGAGGTAGGAAGGAAGGCACAAGTGATGGGAGACGTACGAAGAGAGCCGCGTGCCCAACTCTCACAACGACATTCCGCTTTAACGGCGCGCCAGCCCCCTGCCCATCGACACCGATGATATAGGGTAGCCATACGTGTCTGCGACTATGCTAGCAGCAGTACGACAACGGGGGGAGGCGTCGATAGGGTCCTGCAGGCAAGGAGAGTGCTGGCCAAAGTAGGGAAATACCACCAACATGGCCTACGATGACGATGACGAGGCGAGATGATGGCAGATACAGATGAGGGACGCCTGGGACGCTGAGACGTCAGTAGCACGCCGACGCGAGACGAACAAGCAAGGGAATGACGAAGATTAGTCGTTGGAATAGGCGTAGGAAGGGGTTAGACGTCCCAAAGCCCGTGCAGTGCCATTTCAGCGACTCCCTCGTTCACTGGGTCCGTCGGTAGTCTGCTCATCGGGGTTTTTGTTGCGTTATTGTAATTGAGAGCGATAGAGTGGTTGTTATGATGTTGCGATGATCTGTTACGGACGATTTGACTGAGAAGTTACGTTGTAGTGTTGGTTTAGTAGCTAATAAATTGATTTCATTACTCCCACATGAGTGATTCATTGTGAGGCAGCCAGTAAAGTAATGATTCTTACCACTACTGCCGTCGCCTGTTGACAATTCGGCAGTGGGTGAGTTTAACGGTTGCTGATTAGCGCTTGTTCACGGTTTGCTCAAGCCGTGTGATAGAGGCGCTGACGGGGTATATGTTGAGAATTCTACGTCCGTGGATAATGATCTCGTCCGTGTAGGCCGAGTTAGGGTGCAACCAGCGGGGTAGAGAAAGGTCAGTCTCTTTTCAGTTTCGTTTGGTGAAGTGTCTACTCACCCCTCTTTGACTCCAGGAGTCCTCGCCCACACCCATCCATCCAGCGAGAGCCAAGCACTGCTGCGTCTTGCAAGATCGTGTCCTGCTTCGGTTCGACTCTCGATATCAGCGGAGGTGATAGTAATCTTGTCGACGTTGCGGAGATGTCGTGCGACAGTAATTCAGGGTCCGCGTTACATGTAGGTGGACGTAAGTCATCTTCGCTTTGTGCATTGCCCGCTTGGAGGCATCCAATCTTCTGCAACTCACTTTCTTTGAGACGTATCTTCGATAATTGCTAGGCTCTTTGATGGACATCATCGTCAGGAAGGAAGGCGGCATGATTGCATGGCATTGCGCTCTCGCGGTGTCTGTGGTAGTTCTTGGATGGTGGAAGCCGTGGAAGATTGGTAGACGCGATAGAAAGCTCCCACCAGGTCCTCCGACCTCCTTCCTTCTCGGAAATGCGCTTCAATTCCCTCGATTGTTTCCCCATCATCGGTACGTCACACTCATGGGTCAGGACTACAACGAGGTTGACACCGCAACATAGATTCACGGAGTGGGCTAAAGAATATGGAGACATCTTCTCAGTGACGTCCATTCCACTTCTTTTTATTGTCTAACCCTTACCTCTATCATTCTAGCTCAAAATCTTCAACGAGACTATAGTTGTTCTGTCCAGCGCGGAAGCGCTTCGAGCGATCCTCGACAAGCAAGGCGCCGTCACCGGGAATCGCCCCAAGTCACATATCATAGAACGAACAGAGGGGATATACACAGTCTTTGGGAATATGGGTGAGTCGCTCTCTCTTTATCAAATCCCGTGCGTGTTGCATGCTAAAGCACTAATGCCCCGTCTAGAGTCCCATTCCTGGAAGTCCAGTCGAAAGGCCGCCCATATGCTTCTCACCCCCGACGCACTCAAAGCCCACCTCCATACCCAGCGCCCAGAGTGGGCCCAGTTCCTCACCGACTTACTCGACTCCCCTGATGTTCGTTTCTTTCCATGTCCTCAGTATCCTTGACATTCACCAACGAGATATAGGACTTGTTTACGCATATACGACGCACGTCGGCTTCAATTATGACCACCATTATATACGGCAGGCGCTGCCCTGAGTACGCCAACAGCCCGGCAGAACGTTTCTTCCAGGGCACGCATCTGTTGAACAAGGTCGTTGACGCATTTACCCATCCCCCGATTGACCTTATCCCCGCTCTACAATATGTGCCCACGCGTCAGCTCTATCCCCGTACCCTCTTTAACCCGCAGTTGATGACTCTATTACAGGATGGGCGAAATGGAAGCAGCTGAGCAATCAAACCAAGGCCATCCGCAATGCGCTGTTTACGGAGCTCCTCGAAGAGTGCGAGGCGAGGCTGGCGTCAGGTCGAGGGCTCACAGGGTGCTTCATCGAGAACGTTATCGAGAACAAAGTCGAGTTGGACATGGATCGGGATGAAATCAAGTGAGTTCGTCGATTTCGCGTCGTACATGGATTCTACTGAGATATGTTCTGTCTTAGGGCCTCAGGCAAAGTCCTCATGGACGGCGGGACAGAAACTACCGCGTCCCTCTTGCAAACCTTCATTCTCGCAATGATCAACTTCCCCGCCGTCCAGAAACGCGCACAGGAAGAGATAGACAGGATCATTGGCGGGGAACGCGTCCCCAACCTCGACGACTTCGACAAGTTGCCGTATCTCAAGGCAGTCATCAAAGAAGTACATGGATATACACTTCGTCCTTTCTTAGATAACTCACATAGAGTTGCTTTACTCCCGTTGAAACCAGGTACATCGTTATCGGCCTTCGTTTCCGCTTGGGATGCCCCATGTCACCACCCAGGACGTCGTCGTACGTTTCCTCCTCGCCATCTTACTCGTTCTGCCGCCTACTGACACGTGAGTTAGTACAAGGAGTATGTGATCCCACGCGGAACCATTATATTCACCAATCTATGTATGTCGCGGAGGTCCGGTTCATTCTCCTAGACTCACCCCTTCTCCTGACAGGGGGCATGCACCGCGATCCACGTAAGTTTGTTCGTTTCTCATTCTTCATTGCAGTGTCGATTCGTCATCACTCACGACAATCTTGACGCAATATAGACAAATTTGACGACCCAGAGGCCTTCAATCCCGAGCGGTATCTCGCCACGAAGTATGGTACGAAGACGGACGAGGACGGCGCCGACTTTCGGGATAACATGCATTTTGGGTCTGGGCGAGTACGTCTGTCAATTGAGCTCCTCCCTAACAGCCACGATATACTGACTGACACTGCCGAACCTTCAGCGACTGTGTCCCGGGATCGAAATGGGGTCGAGGAACCTCGTACGTCCTTTCTTTCGACTTCTCTTCTTCTCATTCCAGCCAACTCACCCCGCATTCTGGTCGTACAGGCTATTAATACGATGAACATGCTGTGGGCGTTCAGCTTCAGCAAGGACGAGACATCGCCAACGGGAGGCATTGACCTTGACTCCGCGTACCAGAAGGTTCGTCTGTCTATACCCTGCCAAAGCCCTTCCTCTGGTGCTAACAAACGTGGGCAATGTATCATATACAGCCTGGGATGGTGTTCTCTCCCCTGCCGTTTAAGTGCAACGTCGTCGTGAGGGACGGGAAGCGGGAGCAATTGATCAGGGACTGGCACGCGGCTGAGACTGCGCTGACTGCTTCATAGAGGATTCTGCAACATCCGAGTCTGTAGCTTAGAGAATACAAACAAATTACAATCCCGCAGAGTGGAGGCCAGAGAGAAAGAAGGGGCGCCGCACCGTGGAAGTGATAGCAGGTTTGGCGGCGTGGGCGTTTCTGTGCTCCCTCGACTTGGCGACGTAGTGGAGGCCTCTGTTATGGAGTTCGTGGAGAGGAAGACCGCGCCCCCACGCAGAATCGGCGTCGGATAGACAGCTGGGTAGAGAAAACGGTCGGGGGTGGCACAGGAGGAGATATGCTGTAGGGACGTAGGACGCGGTGGTGGGCGGTTCTGACCCCGTTCTGGGGACGCAAGATGCTGGTGAGTTCTTCAATTCCCCCTCTTTGCTTCTTTGCCTCTTTCCCTCTGCGCCCTTGACTCCTAGTCCCCTCATAAGTGGTGCCATAGTCGGCGTCGTCGTCATCGTCTGGTCCTTCGCCGAATGACTTCGGTTGGCGAGACTCTGGTTGTCTTCGAGCCATCGTCGTAGGCGCAATGCGGCCTGCGAAGCGTCGGGAGCGCGCTATTGACAAGGGTTGTTGGGCGTCGATGTTGAGGGAGGCAGACGGGGATCTACACAATCTGGTGAGTCCGCTTTTATTCCGATTATAAACGCGTCCACGTACATATACTGCCGTTCTCCTTGCCCTTCCTCTGCAGCCGTTGATGAGTTCCTTCTCATTGCTCCTTGCGTGCTACAGCCGTTGGCTCGTCGTCTCCGCCACTCGTTTCGCCACGTCACCATCCTTCTTGGGTTGCCGCGGCTGTTCTATTCACTGTATGATTGACTGTAGATGGCGCCTGGGGTCGATCGTGAGTTTGTACGAAACGAATAAGGAGTTAGTCGACGTACCTCAATAGAGGATTTGCCTTCTCTTCACCTGCGATTGTCTGATCAGATAGTGTGTTACTCCATTGAAGAAGGGATCGGCTGCGATGGTGATGAATACATCGAGGGCATGGGGACGTTGCGGGAGGGGTGGCAGGTGCCGCCATTTTGAAGACGGGCTGTAGGGGCGAGGAGGCTGATGTTGCTGATACGGGGTTGCGTTGGGACTATGGGTTGCATGATGATGTCCGCAATGATAGGCGTGGCTTGGACAACTACAACTAGTCCCCCACTCACGCCGCCTACCTTGTCAGCCCCACTATCATGTTCGATCGATCCAGTACAAACTTTCTTATGAAGATCGCCACCGACGGCGGTGAGCACAACTATGCCGCCAACTTCGACGCATCCTCTGACTACATCGCCGCCTCCGGGAGTCGTGCCAGTTGGGTCGGACGGGCAATGCTACGAGGACGGTTTCACCCTTGCCGAATCCGTTTTCGCCAGGCTTGGGTTCAGGATCTAGTGAGGATAACGGATACGGTGGGATGGCGGAGAGTGAGGATGAGGACGGCCAGGGTGATGGTGGGAGACGGGTGCTGAAGGTACGTATTTGATTGGTTAGGTGATTGATACGATGTGAAGCTGACTTGTTGGGTGTGCGTCGCAGGTACAAAACGAGTAAGAGTTTCGTCCTCCCGCCACCATCGGGTTCGTGTGTTCCCCCATCGTGATGTCGCCGAACTTCGTTTCTTTCAACGTGCTCTTGCATTAACCTGCTTCGCTGTGAACCTGTCCTCATTATTGACTATTTATCCACGCATACCCTTCGGAATGTTCACTTCGCTTCACCCCCCGTGTCTCTCACCGCTGGCATATCTTGCACCTCGCAGGCTGTCGACTACTGAGTACTGTACTCTGCTATCAGGTATATAAAGTGTTTGGTCGCGTATGAGTGGGACAATGGGATTGGATTAAACGTGAGAAAATAGCAGCCTCTCCCTTGACATCGCCGCTAACCCCCCTTCACTTTCCATTTCCAGTGTCACATCACCACCATGTACCGTCGGCGGCTCTCAACACCCAATGGTGACCTCTGGCTGATCCGCTACTCCTCCAGCAGCAGCACGACGACGAGAGGTGCCACGGCGAACGGAGAAGGTATGAATGTAGGAAGCACTCGAGGGGGGAAGGCGATGGCTATAGATACGTTGAAAGCTGGAAGACTAGATGAGTCGGGTGCATGCTCGCGAGAGCATATGCACGATTATCGTCAATTCGAGGTCTTGAGGAATCGGGATCCCGACAATGTCTGGATAGCAACGCTTTGGCGCGCTGGTGCCTTCTCGGCTGGTGTATACGAGGCATGTTCCGAAGGTAGAGAAGTGGGTGAATATCGAGCATATCGTTCTGCAGCGCTGACGAAGAAGTGTTTTCTTCACCTTAGAGGGAATGTGGGCGCGCCGAGGAAAGGTTGGGGGTCTCGAGCGTAGAATAGGATGCGGCCATCCGTCAGCACGAGGGGGCGTCTAGGTGGGAATGGAGAGCCCTCGAGACAAGTGTGTCAATAAAGGCAGCATACGGGGGGTCATGAATCGCGAAAAGTTCTGCTACGACGATTCCCCCGCACTAGCATGGCCCAACGCCGACGGGCAGGCGATCCGCAGAGGACGTTCCCCGGCGGGTCTAGTCTCGCAGTTGACCGAACATTGTCGCTACACAGCCTCCTCAATTCGCAAGAGTGGATCCTCGTGCATGGATTTTCATTCTTCAAAGAGATCCCAGCATCATACCAGCTGTCCAGGACAGTACAACCCCGGCGACACGACCTTCGGGGCATCGGGCGTACACTGGCGTACACACTACCCATTAGCCATCCTGCGCTACGTCGTTCCGTAAGGTCGAGTATGCGTTCGCTCGATTGCTCCTGCTAGCAAGGTTCGTTGACTATGACATCCATTTTTCAGCTCTGCCACTTCCGCGCCTATGTATGGCTTCGAACGGTCGTGGAGACACGATGCAACAGGATACGCACTCGAACAGTACTGCTGAGAATGTGAGTACGTTAACGGCAAGGCGCAGTTGTATAGCGTACGTGGTACAGCTATTGCGCTGCGTGAGACGTACCTCATAGTGTGACGAACACTTCCATAACACCAGAGTTTCAGCCCGCCAGAAAATTCGAGACACCACCTCAAGATCGCCGCCGTTCTGCTAACCAAGTGCCTCTGTATTCTACATCATCAGTCAACACCAGCAGTGATGTTGTAGTCCGACTAGGGTGTACTCGGTCATAATACGCGTCAGTGCTATACGCGAACAAAGATCTGTTTTCACTGACTGGCGTCGCGGCCCGACTCGTATTATGTCGGAGAAAACCAAAGCCCCTGATCCTTGACGATCAGGGGATATCATGTAATCAAGCGAGAATTGATTGATCATTGCCTTATCGTCGGGCTTTTAAGTGGATCAAAGTTGATCAAGCTGGAAGCGGCTGATCAGGAAAAGATTTGGAGTCAGGTGATCAAGTATCCCACCAGTGATAAGATATGATCACCCGGAGAATCGTGATAAGATTTGATCAATCAGTTCCAAGAATCTATTATTTGATCATCAGTACATAAAAAGATCAAGCGCTTAATTGCGTGGTCATTATTAATTCCACTGATCAGCGCCTGCCAGAGCTGGAATCGAACTTAGGACCTGCCCAAGTCTATAGTACCAACTATTATTACACTATACCACTACACTATAATTACCATTATTATTTCCTTATCACGCATAAATATGATACAAGGGCAACCCATACTATACCAAAAAACACTGAATTGCACGCCAATGGGGGACACAATTGGGGGGACAGAGTGAGACTAAGGCTACGAAAAGGCTACGAAAAGGCTACGAGCGCGTACGGTGACTTACACGGCGGGGTTGCGGCGCAGCTGCTGGCTCCTCATTGCCCTGTGTTGCAGCTCCCTTGCCTCGGCCTCGCCCTGCGCGTGCCACCTTCTTTCCACCTCGCCTGGTGGCTGACAAGTTCGCAGAGGCTACCTTGAGCTGAGGGTTATCGATGAAGGGTTCAATTGGAGGCGCCCCATTGTCTGCAGCTGCGGGCGTCGGGTCGGAATCATCTATGTCACTGTCGATAACATTGTCAAGATTGAACGTTTCGTATTCAGCTGCCGGCGGTCTCGGGGGCTCGGGATATGGATCATTGGGGTTCTGGCTGCCATCGTAATCGTAAGGTTCGTCGTCCGAGCTTTCGATATCGCGGAGGGCGTCACGAAGAGAGTGGACACCGTGTTGAGACTCCGCTGGCGCTGTCGTACCGGATCCCACCGTGCTCGAGTGGGTGATTCCTTCGAAAACGGTTACTGCATGTAGACGAAATGCTTTGCGAATGGGGGGGGAGTCGGGGTGTAGCACTAGAGTACCCTTGATCTTGTAGTAGATTTTGCGGTAAGGAATCAGGCTCACGAGGCCCGTTTCGTTCAACGATGAGTCAGGAGACAAGACATAGATAGCCTGATAGTAATATCATGTGAGTACTCGAACAACAGCAAAAAACGATGGACAACGTACCGCAATCACCGCAAATGCCAGAGACCCGGGCGTAAGCTCGTTGATACCCCACATTTTCCCCAGCGTCGATGTCTGCACCGTTGCCTTATCAAGCGAGGCTATACCGAAGAGGATGACTCGCAAAATCTGCAGGTCGTCAGGATGAGTAACCGTTAACAAAGCGAACACGCACCCGGCCAAGGATAGGATTGCAGAACACCTTCCTTGGGTTCGAAACGAGATCTGGGTAAACGAGAGGCGGGACTTCGGGGTATTCCTTGTCACCCGGAAACTTGAGGAGGGACTGAATGATTGTGGAGTCGGCGCGGGTTGTCGGGGATGTCCAGTCCCTCGCGGGTATTCCGTAGTCCTTGAAGATTTGAGGAGCCGCCCGTTTGATGTACTTGAGGGCGTCTGCCCGACCCTCTCCCTGCTTTCTGCGCAACTAAATGAAATGTGAGCTATCATATTCAGCACTATAATGAGAGACTCACCAAGCTGCACCAGTCACTTCGTGCCTGGAGGAAGGAGTGATACTTCGCAGGTATGAAATCGTAGATGGCGGAGGTGATCCCAAGTTTGTATGTCTCGAAAGACACATAGCGCTCCTCGGAGTCAGGATCAAGGTCGGGGCGCGGCTTCAAGAGAGTGGTTGAGTCGGACCAAGCTTCGCACATGATTGCGAGCTTCTTGCCTAGCTCTCTCGCCTCGTTGCTATCCGGAATGGTGAGCACCGCACTTCTCTTAGCTCGTCCGCGCTTGTCCATATTCTCTGCGACGAGAGTGGCATTGTCGCGCGCTGCCTTGTCCTTATCGACTACAAGCGCCGCCAATTGTAGCTGCATTTCCTCGAGCCGCTGTAGGATAATCATCAGTCAATATAGGAAATCAACACGAAGAGGAGTACGTGCCTTACGAAGTGTTCTGGGGCTCGCGTCGGGACCAGGCAGCCTGAGGTCGACTTCGAGTGACCCATCGGACACATCAGAATCAGACTCGTCGTGCGGCATGCGGGACTCGGAACGTGGATCTTCTGGGTGGAGTGGACTGAATCTGCGCAACAAGTTCTGTGGCGAAGTTAAAGGGAACTCACTGTACCTTTTATAGCTGATATTACGTCTGGCTAATTTGGAACGGCTGCAGCATGCAGTGCGCCACAATCAAGGTGGGCCGTAGTCGTGAGGCCTCAATACGTCTTCGTGCAGGTGTTGGCTGGTTGCCGCCGCAGGTGAGATGTCGTACCTGAAGGCATGGTTAATTTGTTGTGTCACAAACACGCATGCATGTATGGTGTCGGTGAACGAGGCAAGTGCACGATGATGGAGTGCTAATACAAATACTTACGTTTGCTGTGTTTGCCGTAGTTCGAGGTGGTAAACTGTGATCGGTATTAGGCGTGCCTTGTCCGAGCGCTCCAAGTAAGCGAACAATGTCGGCTAATTTAACAGTAATGATTATTGTATTGTCGGTTACCTTACCACACAATCTTTCTTTTTCACTTAATACTACGCCCCTTCACAAGTGATGCTCGATGTGCAACAAGCTCAGACTCTACATCCAAATTCAATAAAAGATGCACATTCAGATGACGTAAATAGTGTAATGATAAAAATTTCAATTATTTAATCAACCGATACCTAAGAAACATATCACCGTCAACTGTATCTACAAGGAAATAGTCTCCTTGCTGAATAAAGTCAGGAACTACAAGTGCACCTCGTATAATGGAGGATAAAAAGACAAACTCTGCAGATTTCCGGGGTCGCCCTCTGAGACGAAGCAATTGCAGGTCAATGTCTTTCTGCTGCCTGACACCAGAGGGTCGGTCAAGAGGATGCACAAGTGCAATATCATATGTGGCCTCATCCACTGTAATTGAGAACACCATCAAAAGTTGCGCAACGATGTCTGCGCCAAGTGTCGTTGGACGTGCAGTCTTGATTATAACGTGATCGTATCGTGGTGCTCCTTGGAATTTTGGATTGCACCGAAGCAAGTCGGTATCTTGCCGCCAGTCAACAGTTGACTCATAGTTGATGGTCAAATATTTCCCAGGGTGAATCTTGGAAATTTTGAGATATGAATTCCATGTATAGTTGAAGACATACCTTTGTAAGCTGGTCACCTGGAGTTCGGAGATACCGATATCCTGGCTGTTTCTCCACATCCAACTCCCTGTTGATAAATTCTGAAAGGCGTAATCGGAACCTTTCGAATGCTGCATCTGCTTGATGGTTTGCTTCAACCTCAGCAAGTGTGATGGGCTTTGAACGTGAACCAAGCCTATAATGTCCAGAAGGTGGTTGAACATCATCACCATCATCTTCATCCTCCTCATCCCTGTGTGCCAAAACTGCCTCCCTTGAGGCATCAAGAACATTGATTTCATCCCATATGAATTCAGAAACCTGTTTCAGATGGTCAATCAACAAGATCTGCAAATATCAGTAATATAGTAATAACACGATAATATTGAATCTTACTCACCTGAGGTGCAATATTCTTGAAATTGGTTCGCCTACGGTATGTCGTTTTCAAGCCACCATGGGATTTCTCATATGGCTTCGTGCTATAGTTGCGAGTCGCACCTTTCCGTTCAATATCATCAAACAAATGGACGTAGAGATGGTTTTTTGGAAAGTTCCAATTCTTGTGGAACTCTGGCTTTGTCTTTGCTTGATACTCCTTGATGTTGTTAGTTTCGGTTATACATTTATTATAAAAAACATACCTGGAGAAGTATTGACAGTTGTTGGACTTCATGTCGACCGGCCAAAATGGTCTCAGAAGTATGAACCTGAAGCCCAGCATACATCCGCAAGTTGATATAACACCGCATGCATTTGAGAAGGATATACCCTGCAGCATCTACTTGCCGGGTGAGAATATTGTGGGCTGCAAATAAAATACACTATCATTGTGTTAGCACCATATAGAGAATTAGCTAGCATGATTCACCTTTGATATATCTTCACTCTTGGAGCCATCATTGAATGACAATGTAGTAATTGCCTTGAAGTGGTTAAGACCACTCCATCGAGGAAAGGCCATCATTCTATTGATAAAATCTTCATTATCAGAGGCGGAGAATAATATATAAATGAATAAACAAACTGATTATCAAGAGTTGTTAAAGACTTCCGGCCAAGAGCAGTGACATGAAGGAGGATTTGTTTGAAGAGATGATCATCAAATAATCCTCCATCAAATGTATGCAAGCAGTCAAATGAGGTACTGCGATAAGGATCAGAGTTGGCGATTTTCCAAAATACATTCTACGGAGGGGTCAATAACAATACTTTGGGTGGTAAAGATCACTCACATCAATGCCACGTAAACCATATTTCTTGAGCAGATTATTGGATTCATCCACGGTCTTCATTGCCATGGCATCGTTGTATATCTTCTTCATAGTAGCTTGGGTACGAAGTGGATAAGTGGTATTGTGGATGGCCAACTTATCATCTGGGACCAAGCAAACGGGGCAAGGGAAGTAGGAGCCAGTCCCCCTTGTCAATGTCATCACACAGCTAAAGCAATAAGTTAGCAAGGCCAAATAGCAGATATAATGAGAATACGTACACTTCCTCATAATCAGCAGACTTTATGGGAATGCAGGGATACAAGGTCCGCTGAATACTATCACCACATTTCACCGCAAACCCAGTATGAGAGTGAGTGATAATATCCTCCAAGATAACCCCCATTGCAAGGTGGTATATGGTGGCTTTATGATTTGTCCATTTTGTTTTGTGTGTCTCGGACGCCAACTCCTCAATCTACATATTGTGTATTAGCGGTGGACAACATCTAAAACCACTTTACTCACCACTGGTAACCATCCAACCATAAACCCACCACCTGGTCCCTCACCATTACGGATATCAATGTTCAGATTGCCAACTCGGGCAATGACAGGATAACCTTTAGCCGTTCCAAAAGTCGAAAGCCGGGTTTTGTCAGCATATATGATTAAGATGAGTGGCTTTCCACCATCAGGTAGGGTTGACTAGGGTAGAGTTTTGTTATTCATTAGCAAAGTGAATGGTGGCTTACATTAGACTCACCTGAAGCTCCCACCAAAGATCGCCAGTGACAAGTTCATCATAGAACCGTATCCAAGACTCGCCATTGAACTTATACAACCGCTTTGCGTCCCATTCAAAGTGAGGAGCAAGAGAGGGATCTTGTACGAGCTTCATGACCCAGTCCCAAACAGGGCGTCGCCACACATCATAGCTCAACTGATTACCCTTATACATATCAGAGACGATGTGCTTTGTGAACTTGACAAGGATATTATTGAGCAACATATACATATATATATACATCTAAGAGAGACACACCCCAGGCATTTTGTCCGCAGCAAGCTTCCAAATGTTCATCATCTCCTTGTATGATTGCAGTGTCAAAACACCACGGTTGGGATCCCTTCCAACAGCACCATAAGCAAGTTCAAGAAGAACATCAACAGTCTTCTCATTTAGTGACTCAGTAATGGCGATAGATGCGAATTCAAAGTCACGGCGAGTCCGGAAAGGTCGCCATGGTTCATCGTCAATGATATGGTCAACTCGCACCTTGAGATTGTGGCCGTATTCATGAAAACGGTCAATCGATGCCGGACGTTGGCTTGATGGATGATATTCGCACTTGATGTCATCCATTTGAGGCCCCTGTTCACCTACAGAATCAAGAATATGAGATTTAACTAAGTCAAAGGTGCAAATAACCATACCTTCATCTATAGGAGATACAGGAGCCGAACCATGGCTGCTATCACTATAAGCCCCAGTGTCGTCAAAGTCCAGGGCTGGTGGTGGCGGTGAGGGAGAAGATGGTGGTGGAGAGGGAGGGGAACTGAGGGGCTCTGGTGCTTGAGCAGTAAATGTCGGGGAAGGTGGATGTGGTGGCGTGGTGACCTGCGACGCTGACGAGGCTTCATTACATCCATGAGACCCAAGCTGAGCATTTCCAATGGTTAATGTACTCACCTCGATCCCCTTTACGGCTGTTTAGAATTTCCTGCGCCGCGCGAAGCCGTTCCTTTGCCAGAAATTCATTGTCTTTTGCTCGGCTGGTCTTCTTCAGTTTACAGGTGGCCATATGTTTCTTCAACCCCCTCTGCTTGTAGAGGCCACCGCATATGGTGCATGCTACTGAGCCTGTAGTTGCAGCCAAGTCGGACATTCTGCAAGCCTGACGATGTGGTGGGGGCGGGGAACAACGATGGGAGCAAGGGGACTATGAGAGTGAGACGGCGAGACGGCGAAACGGGGAAACGGCGAGATGAGATGATGGCGAAACAGGGAAACAGCGAGGTGGCGAGACGGGGCGACGACGAAACAGGGAAACAGCGAGATGCGACGACGGCGAGGCAGGGAAACGGCGAGACGAGACGACGGCGAAACAGGGAATTGGGGAGACGGCGAGACGGGGCGACGGGGCGACGACGAAACAGGGAAACAACGAGACGGGATGACGGCGAAACAGGGAAACGGCGAGACGGCGAGACGGGGCGACGACGAAACGGGGAAACGGCGAGACGGGATGACGGCGAAACAGGGAAACGGCGAGACGGCGAGACGGGGCGACAACGAAACAGGGAAACGGCGAGATGGCGAGACGGGGCGACGACGAAACGGGGAAACGGCGAGACGGGATGACGGCGAAACAGGGAAACGGCGAGACGGCGAGACGGGGCGACAACGAAACGGGGAAACAGCGAGATGCGACGACGGCGAGGCAGGGAAACGGCGAGACGGGGCGACAACGAAACGGGGAAACGGCGAGACGGGGCGACGGGGCGACGACGAAACGGGGAAACGGCGAGACGGGATGACGGCGAAACAGGGAAACGGCGAGACGGCGAGACGGGGCGACGGTGGGGACGAACAGGCAACAACGGGTAAATGGGGGAACAGGCGAGGGTAGGACGACGAGGCGACGGGTGAGGGCAAGAGGGCAATTCAATGGGGCAACAATGGGAGCAAGGGGGGACAGCGAGCAGGTGCTCGATGGCTGCTAATGTCTGCTCACGTCGGCTGGCGTGCTTGGGATGCTGTGAACACAAAGACCTGTAATGGTGTCAATGGGTAGTGTGGAAGGAGTACTGGAACATACCTGACTTCTTTCTGGGTGTTTGGGAGCAAAGTAGAAGGAAGAGGGCGGGGGACGAGGGTGAATGTACAGAACAGAAAGCACCGTGGACGTTTGAACATCCATCAGCGCGTGCATGGGAAGACATCTGATGTGTATTAGCAAATGGAATCCTACGCTTTTGGTAATCACTTACCAATGGTATGGACGCGGGTTCGTTCTTTATCATCGGGGCTCGATATCAGGCTTCTCAGCCATGCCGAGCGGACCACTTGATCAACCTCGATCAACTTCATTGTCCTTGATCAGGGGCACCCCATACTTGGACTTGACTGACCCGGGCCGATGGATCTGACCAAGACAGATAAGATGCGGGGCTGCCATTGATCAAGTCCTGATCAGGCGCTGGCCAGACCCTGGTCATCAAAAAAGTTGATAGGCGCTTTACCGTTTCTCCGACATAGTTATGAGATAATATCTACTGGTCTCCAACTGAGGCAAGTTTGAGGACGCGGGCTTCAATGTTGGAGATATTGACATGGCATTCACGACAAAACGAACGAAACGCCACGATGCGGCGACTCGTAACAGAGTCCCCACGATCGATCTTGAACGTTCTAACAAGTATGTTTATTCAACAACCACAATGTGGCGTCTGTTCCATCATGCTCAGAGCCGGACGTGCTTCCAGCGTCGCGCTCACTATTACCAGCAGGTTGAAAGGAGGACGAACGAGAGCATCTAAACGTGGAGGAAGAGTGAAATTCCTGGGCTCGACAAAGGATAGCAGACCTCTATGGAGAGGCGTGACCCTGCGTTCGTGCTATTGAGTGTTTACAGCTCAATGTCGGAAATAATACAACATTTGGTCCAAAAGTACACTCGTTACCGTATTCTACAAGTCCAATAACCTATTGCTTTGCTAATCATCGGCATCTGAAGGTACGTCACTGTAATTCATCACACCAATCGCCCTTGCAATATATTTTCTTCTTTCGCTGACAGTGGGTCTTTGCCCGCCACGACGCCCACGGTATTTGTCGAAGTAATTGTCGCGATCGTTCGCAGTCAGATGCCCAATTTCACGTACGGAGGTGATAGCTGGAAGAGAGTGCTAGGACAGATCATGAGGTTTAGTGTAAACCACGAGGGAGAGGTGGCAAGAAGGTTAGTTACTGGTGGCAGGGTAGGGTCATCTCCATTGTCAAACGGCACAACTTCAAGCGTCGCATCAGGTTCGTCTGCATGGAGGGTATTTGCATCCTGTTAAACTGCGTCAAGAGCATTCTACAACGAATAAGGTAGGACGCACTTTAGCTACGATGAGTCGTGTTTACCGAGTGCAGTCTGCAATCCACCGAGTCGTTCTTCAACAGCTTCAAGTCGCCCTTCAGCAGCTCCAAGTCGCCCTTCAACAGCCCCAAGTCGCCCTTCAACAGCCCCAAGTCGTTCTTCAACAGCTCCAAGTCGTTCTTCAACAGCCCCAAGTCGTTCTTCAACAGCCCCAAGTTGTTCTTCAACAGCTCCAAGTCGCCCTTCAACAGCTCCAAGTCGTACTTCAACAGCTCCAAGTTGTCCTTGGATAGCGCCGAGTTGTCCTTCCATAGCTTGGAGTCGATCATTGGTAGGCGCCAAAGCAGCTGCGATAGCAGCAACCAGAGCCGCAGGCAAAGCAGCGGGCAAAGCAGCGGGCAAAGCTACCTGTAAAGCCTGCTGAAGCGGGCCTCCTAATAGCAGGGTGATCGGTAAAGTCGCTAGCCTAGTACGACGTCGACAAACCTGAGAACGCAGCTACTATGCTGGCTTTATAGGTGACAAGATTGGTTATATCATCGTCAGGAATGTTCCTGGGGTTGTGGACTTGGTTTTGGAATGAGTCAAAGAGAAGCCACAGCAGTGCTTGCTACTTACACTGCGAGTTCATCACTTTGTGAAGGGCCAAGCTCGCTTTTGCGACATCGGCGATGGTTGGCGGATTCGATGGAGGGTGAAGGTCATATAGAATCTTTCTAGAGTGCGGGCTAAGAGCTGGGGAAGGAATCGCAGCCATACTCAAAGTCTCGACGTGAAGTGGATGCCACTTTCGTGAATTCAAACTCAGAAAGCGCTGGGGGAGATTCAACTTATTAAGTGGCCGAAACCGCAAACTTGCCGCAAACAGGTTGAAGGACACGGGAGAACTCCAGAGAACGGCACAATCCGGCACGGTGACTAGTCGCTGTCCCCGTCATTTCCGCCTCAGTCGCGCCCCCAACCTGCACGCCGCCCGTCCCATTCAGGGAATCGACTGCTGAGGGCCCCACAATGGGGCTTCAATTTCAAAGAAGCGACAAGTGGAATCGTAGCCCTTGGATCCATTGTCGTGTAGCCGACCCTTACGATTTTCTTCAGCCGACCATCCGTTGATCCTTTGCAGTTCAACAATCACTCAGCCTTGGGCGCACTCTGGGATCTCAAGACAAGCTCTGTCGTCAAACCCCTCAACGTACCTTCTACGGAAGTCCGAAGCGGCGCGCTTCTGAGCAATGGTACCATGGTAATACGGCATTATCACTTAGTGCCCGACGCATCCTCTAACACGTCTTTCCTTTGTACAGGTTAGCGTCGGAGGTGATTCTGGAGCCGGGGTTGTCAACGCGGATAATCAAGCGATTCGTATCTTCGAGCCATGCTTGTCACCCACTGGCGAAGACTGCACCTTGTTCGAGAACTTGGAAACACATCATCTCTTCGAGCGGCGCTGGTACGCGTCATCCATTCGGATTTTCGACGGAAGCCTTATGATCGTCGGAGGCACACATGTCACCACGCCTTTCTACAATGTCGACCCAGTGAACTCCTTCGAGTTCTTCCCAAAGAAAGAGGGCGCGCCCAGGCCGTCGCCTTTCCTTGAGCGCAGCCTTCCTGCCAATTTATTCCCGAGGTACGTTCAGAGTATTCCGTGGTCATATCATCCTCTTAGCGCTAGCGCATCGGGAATAGGATATTCGCACTACCCGACGGCCGCGTATTCATGGTAGCAAATAACCAGTCGATTATATATGATATCGAAGCCAATACCGAAACTATCCTCCCTGATATACCCAACAGTGTCTGCGTCACCAACCCCATTGATGGCTCAGCTATCCTCCTGCCTCTGTCTCCGCCGGACTTCATTCCCGAAGTCCTTGTTTGCGGCGGAACTGCGACCGACACCATTGACTCTGAGCGCCCGTCCACACAAACACCTGCCTTAACCCAATGCTCATGGATCAAGCTCACAGAGGAGGGCATCATGGCGGGGTGGCAGGTCGAGCAAATGCTGGAGGGCCGAACGATGCCCGAACTGCTACACCTACCCAACGGCCAAATCCTCATAACTAACGGTGGAAGCACGGGGTTCGCTGCAATCGGCTCGGTCGCCGACCTAGTAGGGCCGACAACACTGTCTTGATGCCTTTGTACACACCGTCACTTCCACTCGGACGTCGGATCAGCAACAAAGGCATGCCTACGACGAACATCCCGCGCATGTATCATTCCAGTATCACACTGACGCCGCAGGGCAACTTCCTGATCGCAGGGAGCAGTCCCAACGGGAGTGCGACGATGACGGGGGTGAAATTCCCTAGCGAGTTCAGGGTGGAGACGTTGGATCCGCCGTTCATGAATGCGGAGAGGCCGAAGTTGGTGAGCGTCCCGAAGAAGTTGGCGTTCGGACAGAAAGTTAGCGTTCCAATCTCCATTCCGCGAGGGCTGCGTACGCAGGATATCAAGGGTATGTCAATCTCGTATGCGCAAGGCGAAATCTGGACGACGCAGATGCTGATCGATGTTCTTAGTTTCCCTCATGGATCTCGGATTCTCTACTCATGCCTTCCACGCTGGTGCCCGCTTGGTATTCATGGACGCTACCATCTCTCCTGGTAGGGATCTGCTCACATTTACGACGCCGCCTAATGGGAGGGTATACCCCCCCTGGTTCTGTCCTCATTGTAGTTGCGGCTCCGATTCCGTTCCATGCCGGCGTCCCCCTCCACAAGCTTCCTTCCTCTCTCACCAACATTTGATGCGCATACGCTAGATACGGATACCAATGCTTCAACCTGATTAATTTCCGAACATATAGGCACTGATATTCCATATTTTACAATAACATGTCGCGCTGCCTCGTCGTTGGCCATTTCTACCTCTCATGTACTCGTATAATATACGCGTAATCAGGGCGTCGGATGTAGCGAATAGAGAGTATGCTACTTACCATATCGCTGCCAACATCTGCGTATCGGGCCTTTCGTTTCACATCTTCGACAGTTACGCATGCACGTATCGTGAGTGTCGCTCCCAGCGATCGGCCAGCGAAGTCGGAGTGGGCGGTGAGGCCTTGAGGGCTTGCCCATCATCTGATTCAAACTCAGTTCTCGTGCTCTCTTGTTCTTCTCCATGGTCAGATCATCGTTCTCCTGGCCCATACATGAACTTCGAACGTGAAGACGAATATGTCTGCTGACATTGGGTGCGAATACTTCCTCTTCATGGCTAAGCATGTCGACTTCCCGAACGGACCACCACATCACATTAGGAGGATGCGAATGCGTGCAGAAGACGTTCTGAACGCCAGCAAGCCTCAGATTGTTCGTTGCAGTCTCTGAGATGTGAGATAATTCCCGCTCGGTTGCCGGTGTCATTTTCAGCTCATTATTAACAGCAGACGCCTCTCTGGGCCCGATGTTCCTCTCGGTTCATTACATCCGGAAGTGCGCAGCATCGGGGTACTCTTCACAGTTCGACGGTATAAAACTAAGTAACACGAGTAGCACGCAACGAATCTTTGACACATGTAAAGTAGGAGATCCTCAAGTAAATTAGCCAAGGCGGTCGCTCGAAGCGAAGTCGAACTGCAAAGTCGCTACCCCAGCTACGACATCGTCATCCGTCGTCGAGTTTGCGCTCTTGGAAACAACCCCATAGACAGTTCCGCGGAGGTCGGGTGGAATGGCCACCTCGTTGTTCTGGATCTTGACGAACTTCTTTGACAGACCGGTGAAGAACGCCATGTACAGGTCGCCGGCGCCGCGGGGGGCGTCGAACTTGAGGGTCGCCTTGGAGCCGGGCTTCGGGTCGTGTGTCACGACAGTGAGGGCGGGGAAGGGCTTGACCCGCAGGATGCTGTTCGCGCCGGGGCATGAGGTGATGAACATTGCGGCGAGACTGTAGACTGAGGCCATACTAAGGGGAATCTGCGGTAAGGTGGACAGACCGTCAGCGAGGGACGGCGCAATCGAAGCACGAAGGCGCGCACGTCGAAGGCCCCTGACCAGGGCGCGAGGTTGTTCACGGCAGATTGCACGTAGGCAGCGTGTCGCGCCTCGGTGGACAGTATGCTTGCTGCGGTCGTCAGGTAGGTCTTGTCCTTGATGAGCGCAGCAGCACCGGTGTATGCCGACACGCCTATCCCAAGCGCATTTCGTGAGCAACCCTCGTTTATTGTTTCCGCTGACCATGCTCCCAAGGGACTACTAGTACTTACCAACGCCCTCAAGAAGTTGGCTCAAGGCTGCGAACGACCGGGGATCAAAATACGGACTGTGATACACTGGCGTCAGCTGCACCCGCAGTCCAACGGTTCAGGAAATTATCACAAGACGTAATTGCACGGCTTCGTCGCCTTCTCCCCAAGCACTTCGCTGAGCAAATTCACGTGGGCCTTCTCGTGTTCGGAGACCTCGACAAAGCGCGCGCGAGCAGACGGCGGCAAGCCGGCATCGGCGAAGGCCTTGTCGTCGAATTGTGCAAGGGCGCCCGCGTAGAACGCGTTCTCAAGGTGCTCAAGCGTCAGTGCATAATTGAGCACCGCGACGTCTGCAAATGAGGCCCGGATCAGAGGATAGTCAAGTGCGTGGAGTGAACAGCGTCGGCTTACCGTCTGGCGCTGTACGGGTCTTGAGTTGGGGGGCAGCGCGTACGCTGCTGGTAGCGACGGCGGCGAAGATGGCGAGGGCGAAGACAGATTTCATGGTGAGCGTTGGAATTGGAAAGTGGGGATGAGCCTCGTCCTTCGCCAGAATTGGTGGCCTTTATATATACATACAAACCAAGCAGTACTCGATGCAAGGCCTCCTCGGGGACGATCAACTCCCAGGAAGAAGTATAAATGATACGAGTTCGGGCAACGTTCACTAAAGCGTGCGTTCATCAAAAGTATAAGTTGCCGCAAGTCGATGAATTGCTGGTGAGTTGCCACTAGACAGACTATTGGGATCAGCTGTACTAGAAGCCGTAGTATATTGCAAACTGCGAGGGCAAACTACGAGGGGTTGGGCTCGATGTGGAGACAACGTACAACAAAATCGGGGGTTGAGGATGTAGCTTGGAGAGATTGGGGAGTCAAGGAGGCGCTGTGATTACTGGAGGCACTCATTACAAGGTACTGCATAGAAATCTGAGGTCTCTTAGGCGTAGCCGGCGTAATTCGGACTAATACAGGATATAAGCATCCTCGCCATCGGTGTCGAGTATATTGGCGTCAAATGCAGGTGGGAGAGAAGGCGAGCTGGTACGGGCTAAACCAGGTGTCGAAGGCACGTTTTGATGGTCTATCACGTACTCTGCTTGAGTCCCCTCCGTCGTGCAGTTTTGTCCTAGATTCGACGACAGACTCAGAAGTTCTAAAATACAAGCATGTCAGAAAGACGTACTCTTCGCTTCAGGCTCCTCCTTCTCTTCAATGGCGTCAGCCAGCCGCTTTCCAGGCAGCTTGGCGGCACTCGTACTCTGAGTGTTACCACTCAAATCTGACTTGGGAGAAACATTATTCTCCTTCCTTTTTAACTCCCAGTAATTCCAGTAATACGGATCCGTGGGGTCGCGCAATCTCTCTGTATCGAACTTGACATCCTTCTCCCCCCCATCCCACATGTGTATGTGCGTGAGGATGATGCGCTGCATCGCTTCATGCAGGTTGAACATGTGAGGTGGCGGGACGAACATGCTCCACTCGGGAGACACCTGAACCGCCAACAAACACATCAATTGTCCGGCGTGGGCAAGGTCCTCGTGTAGCCACTCTTCCCATCGCTCGCTCTGGAGCAGACGAGATCTGAGGTCTATGCAGTCCGTCGATGACCCGATTTCGTGGTCGCCAATGAGCTTCCAGGCGTCGTAAAGCGCCGGCTCTCCGGCATCCTGGTCGGGGCTGCCCAAGGGGACGGCGAGCAGCAGAAACACAACCATGCACCAGAACACGGACTCCGCATCGTGGCGAGGGCGGTGCCGGAACTCGGTAGCCCTCAGCGCGCGGTTGTCTTTGTGTGCCATTCTCAGCTTGAGGTCGTGAAAGCCGCCGTGGAAGGAGAGCTCGTCTGCAAATACTCTCATGCCAGATCGATTGTTGGAGTACGCCTTGCGGTATTTCTTGGCAAGGTCACTTGATAATTCTGGCATGACGGCCCAATTACCGTTCATGGCAAGTACGAGTCCAATGGCAGGGGAACGAGCGATGTACTTTGGCGTACCCTGCATCAAGCATTGATGAGAAGATGCACCGCACAGTCAAAGGTGAACTCACCGTACGACAACGCAGGGGTTCGACCTTTACTCGCCTTTTCTTCGCGACGAAAGTAGGTGATACTGCCTTGTCTGGGTCAAGTTCTGCCGCGTTGTCCATATCAGCCAGCCGAGCCATGGGGGGAGCGCGAAAGTCACTGAGGTGATGGGGATATAATTAGTATAGAATAATGAGATTTGGAGGTGAGCCGTACTCATTCAAAACTTCGTTAACGAAGATCGGACGATACTCCAGGTCAGTGAACTCTTGACCGTCTTCGACGTCTTCAGCTTGGACCAAAATATTGCCGATACTGATGTCGCGGTGGAGAATATTTCGCTCCTGCACCGCCCAGCGATGAGCTGCATAAACAAGCTTCAATACAGCACGAAAGGGACAGGACGATGAAGTATGACTCACCTTCGAGAATGTCGTACATGCATTTCAGGAACTCAACCAACGATGCACATTTGCGCAGAGGTTGCCCATAAGTATGCATAATAAGTCTCTTCTTAACCCACATCACATTGCCGCACGTAACCGTAATAGGACGACCGCCGCATTGAACATCGTATTCCTTCTTGACTTTCAGGAATCCAGGCGCCGGGCCATTCTTGTGAAGGATGTCGTAGATTTCTCCTTCTCTGAAACACGCCGTAACGTCGCGATACGTGTCCTTGATTGTCACCGGCGACGTCCCCACCCTGGCCACCCATGTCATGTCTCTGGCGTCCTTCGTGACACAGTTTTCGTAGACCTCGTCGCCGTCACAGACATTCCACGTCGGTGGTTCGTATATGTTCGTGGTTATAGCGCGACTTATGGTATGGTCGCACGAGGGCAAGTCCGGCCGAGGAACATATAGCGTGTAGATGTAAGCCAGCAGTGCGTCGACATCACCCCAATCAAACTCCCTCGACGTGTGCGGCCCGAACGGGGAGCGGTACAGGATGGAATACCCGCCAGGCGAGGCCAGGAGCCCGTACATGCAGACCAAGTCAGGCCGGCACTGCTTCGCCAGCTCCAAGTAGGCGCCAGTTTCAAGCATGGCCTCGATCTCTATCCCTGGTTCGATTTCTCCTTTCCATTCGACAGTGGACAATGCTAGGTACCACGGGAGGCTATTGACGAGGTCTACATCGGTGAGGCCGTTTGTGACGTCGATGACCATGGCCAGGTCTAGCTCTCCAGCATGGAATTCATGGAGAAGGCCCGTTTGTTTGTGTACATGGCCGTCGCGGAAAACTACCAACTTCTTGTCCGGGGCCCATTTGTCTACCACAAAAGTATAGGTCATTGTGTCGAGTATCAGGGGAAAGGACACGCGTACCATGTATGAGAGAGCTTGCACAGTTCAGTAGCAGGACAAACAAGTTGCAATTTGTCGGTGTGGCGGAGCTGTAGTTCTCGACGAGACTTCGGAGCTGCTTTTCCTGTAGGAGGGCTTCGAATGTCTCATTCATGGGTTTGTTCAGCCCCGTCGAGCTGAACGTCGGGGGAGGTGCGCAGTCCCCTGTAGGATTACCAGATTCTGACATTTGTTCACTGCAGAAGTCGGTCGGGGGGTATGGTCAGTCGCGTCGATGAATCAGAGAGAATCGAGTGGGAGAGGGGAGTTAAACTCACCGAATGGATGCCAAATGCCACTTCGAAGTGGCTAGATGCAAAGGATACGCGCAAGGCAAATAAGGACGGGGGACCTGCGTCGGAGTACAGAATGCCCGTCATGTGGCCGCTTCAACCACAGACTTGCCACTGACTACACTGACTATTGTAGATCTGAGGGATCGAATGGTTGGCGAACGGCATCGCATCCACAGCGAGCTCCTGAATCGAAAGATTCGCCAGAAGAATAAACTTCGCTACTCGATTCAGGCTCCTCTCTCTCCACGAAGTCGGCTGATTCGGCAAGGTCGACGTAGGCGTGTGACGGTTTATAGATACTTACAAGTTACAACGCCTCCCATCGTCGTCCTAGACTTCGAAGGCGCATCCGTCTCTGGGTTAGTGGTTAGCAACGAGAGCGCTATGGCGAATAGATAGTGGCGGCGAGTGATTGATGGTTTGGACGGCAAATGCAAAAGTTAAGTCGCGGGGATGAGCGATGCTACTGCGAGTAGTAGATCAGTATTAGGCGTCTACAGTCAGCAAGGTAGATCGAACCCAGAGTCAGGATAGAGCTCGGCGTCGCTACGAAAAGCACTACTTACCATGTACCACCAAGTCGAACAGGTGACCGAAACTGACCATAGTACAGTTGTTTGTGGGTCCTGGCCTACGAAACCATGAATTTGAATGGCTGGTGGGACTTGTCACTGGTTTAGACATATAGCCCACTATAATCACCGACGTCTGGCGCTGCCAGGGTGCATGGAGCGGACGGCTTACGAACCTCACCCACGATGCAAACAGACTGTCCGTGGCGACCGTGTGCGTCAAAAGACGATTGGGCAGCGATCGGGCAATGACCCTAATGACCTGCACAGTCGAAGCTAAAGCCCAAGCGCCAGCGACTGGGATGTGGGCCATTAATTGACGCAAATCGGGAAGGAGCTCAATAACAGGACGGCTTGACGCGATGTAGGTGAAGAGGGAGTCGCAGAATTCGTATTTTTCCCGCATACTCTTGATTTTACGGACATGCCTCGATTATTTCAGGAACACAACCCAACACGCGGGTTAGATTAGTGGATGAAATCTCTGCGCGGGTCGTCCATAAACAATGTTTAAATCCTTCGAGAATGAAGTGCACGTACGTATTTTCGCCCACCCTTTGCATCTGTCACTACATCCAAGGGCGGTAATAGACTAAGGAGTGGTTGAAGCGTCTCGATGCTAAGGGGAGGGATCGTTAGACCAATTCGAAACTAGTGCATTGCGGACATCTACGATTGCAGTATCCGAAGACCAGAGGCAGAACCTCTCTAGTGGTCAGCATACGGCTGGGTCATTGGATTGGGCACCATGTTACACGTTTTTCGTAGAACGACAGAGAGTGAACGGCCGTGTTTGACAAGGTTCCCACATGAACAAGCGCTCAAACTTCAACGGATTTACCAGCATCGCTTCTATCTTTCCTCGTACGGAACCGACTGTAGGGCGGTAGAGAATATATCCAAGAAAGAATGCCGCCGGCGCCACTAGGCTCTCTCGACGTGTTCGTATTTTTCGCCATAATACTCCATGACTCTCAAAGGAGCGTGACGTCGCATAGATTGGCTTGATTATAGGGTACAATGAGGACGAGATCTTGCTGGCCAGCGGTATGTCGAATGTACGCATCTTGTGAGCTCTAAATTACGCCCCGTGTGTCGGCGGAGGCCTTAGATCTTCCCTACTCCATGATCACTAGACCACTGAATCACATCTCGCCCCGACATCCATGCTCTGTCTTTCACGCTTGGATGATCCATCTTTCTCGAATACAGCCTATAGCAAGCCTATCCATACCCTGGGATACCAAAGATGCGAGGGCCGTCGTCGGTAAACGTTGCTTGTCCATCCTCATTGTCAGTGTTGTCAAGCGTATCTCTTAGAGTTGTACTAACTAAAAAGTCGGCAGCATCTCAACCTGCTTCGTAAGAAACTCCCGTTTACGAGGGAATTAAGGACTCTGTGTAAATCATTTCGCCTCGTCAAACACTTAGAACGTGCCAAGGAACGGGCACTTTTTCAGACCGTATACCATCGCTGCTCTGGAGCTTTCGCGTCTCGTTTCATAACTATATGATTTACAGATTGGTCTTAATCAGCCACTACCTATCGGATCGCCCCACACCACAACATATGCATTCATTCCCGGGCGCTGCCTGGACGGACCCCAACCCTTCACGTACTTTCACGGGCCGCGAACAAAGCCCTCAGCGTGGCCCCCGACGTTGCAGAACAACAAGTATACGCCGCCCGCGTTGAGATATCTCAAAATCCTATCCGCGTCCGACCTCACTTGCGGCCATCGAGTATCCCACTCCGCAAACACCGTCTTGAGAGACCTGAACGGAACCATCGCCGCCGCAGGGTCGTTGTACGCCATCCAGAGATGCGTCTGCAGGAAGCCGTCGATGGCGTGGCGGCGCAGGGTGATGCTCTGGAGGAACCCCAGGCAAGAGAAGAATCCGGCGAACCAAGCACCTCTGAAATCAGCGTGGAAGTCGACGAGCATACGACAGACTGAGCCGAGTGGCAGAGCTTTGACACCTGTCGTGATGATGTCCTCATAGATCGCGACAGGGGGGAGGCCGTCGTCGGCGCTGAAGTCCAGGGCGATGGAGAGCGCGGGCTGGACGATGCTGTCCGCGATAGGGCTGTCACAATACGGAAGAGCAGAGCACGCACATTGGACCACGAGCTTGTCACTCTCGGAACAAACGACCAGCTCTCGGAGGGCCCCCTCGCGCAGGAGCGGGTGAAGCAGCCGCGCGGACTCCCGGAACAAGGGGATAGGGTCGAACCCATCGGTCACGCACTTGATTTCGAGTTGGGCGAGCTGGCACGCGACGATGGCGAAGAACTGGGTGCAGCGGAAGCCGTGGTCGTGGACGGTCAGCTCGCGGAGGGTGCTGGGCATGACCAAGGGGGAGACAGGGTGCCACCAGCTGGCGAGTTCGCGGTGGAAGTGAGAAACTGCTTCGTGCAACGAAGCGTCCCTCGAGTCCGTGGTTTCGAACATGGGCCAAGGCTTAGAAGGTTCCGGGTGAACGGCGAGTGGGCGGGTACCAGCAAGGGGCCAAGCGCCATCGTAATAAGTCGGAGATGCCGCGCGAGGGAGTCTCTCGGATTTGCACCCAATGAAGTCGGGAATGGCACCAGGGATTGTCCACGGCAGCGAGTTGACAAGCGTGAGCTGCCTCAAGGAGGTCATACCGCGCAGCATGTTGCTGAAATCCTCGTAGGGCTGGCGAACTTGGGCACTGAGCGACAAGGAAGTCAGGGTGCTCAGAGAAAGAGAGGGAGTGCGTCTCAGTCCGGAGGATCTCAGGACAAACTCCATGATGCGGTCTGTTGTTTCGTCTTTGGGGGTATCGTCATTGGACGTTACGTCTGCCGGGGCCGTGCGCTGGGGAGTAAGCCCCTGCAAGCAGACCTGAGGAAAATCATTGAGATGGGGTGACTGGAGGAGACGCATTAAAAATCTGACGAGGAAGAAGCGCAAAGATAGAACGAGACAGCCTTGCGAACGGCTGAGTTATATAGGTATGGCGCGCCACTCTGGCTTTTGGCCACTCTACCTTTGCTGTAGGGGAGCCACAATTCTTCACTGTCCGGCCACATTCAAAGAGTGGACAATGCCCGCACTTGCCACCGGACTTCTGTTCTACGGCCCGCGACAAAAATCGCCACGGTTTCACTCATCTTATTGGCGTCGCCGTCAAGGCGGAACTCGCGATCATCCGAGTCGTTGCTCCGCCGTATATCGCCCTGTGCGCATGCTCAGAGTTGTTTAAATCGCGCATCAATTCTCCGCATCTCACGTACACAATACCACTGCATACCGTGACTATCCTGTGCCGTAATCATATGTATTTCCCCAATGCCCCATGCGAAAGACAAGGTCGTCGGATTCGGGGAATCATTAATCATCAATCAGTTGTTTAGGTGTTCAGGTAATTCGATTGACTTAGAGGTAGGTACGCTCGAAAGCGCTACATCAGGGTGGAAGACCATGGGCAGAAATGCACGGAATACGAGAGACTTGGCGGTCGAGACGATGTAGGGTGGGATTGTTGATGGTGCCAAGGGCGTTATCTGTGAGGCGAGGAAGGGGGAACGAATTTGCGACTGTACATCAACACCCCTACGATGACCTCGTACAGCCGAATGGACACGCGCTCGGCCGGGGAAGGCTCTTCGGACGCTCAGAAGCTCCCAAATATCGGTGCCGACGCTGGTCGATCCGCGGAGGAATTCATATGATGCCATGTCTGCGCTGAGTGGCTGCGGGGGGGCAGCGATCCTAAACCCATGCTTAGATGCCATGCTCTCCGTCGTCGCATAGTGGGGTAGATGTCTTTGCCCAGCACCTCGAGGAACACCTCCGCCATCGGCATGCAATCCAGTCGGAATATCGGCATCCCATTCACCCAGAAGACCTCATCATCGAGGTCGATCTCATAGACGTACTCTATCAGCATATCTGGGTACGCTCGCTCCTCCGAGATCATGAGCCGATGTTGTGCCTTCAAGGGGTTCACGACTTGTACTATGATGGAATGATGGGGCGGAATATTAGAAAGGGAACAGATAGTGACGAGTTTCATCGACGTACACTTCTGCCGAGGCGGTACCATTTGGGCTCGCAAGTGCTATCGATGGCGAGGACCTTTCGGAACTTGGCAATTCTGTCCAGGTGGCGGGCTTTGGCCAATTCTTCCTCGTCGTAATTACTGCCGACGAGCATACATTTCGCCACCTCACCGTCGGCGAGCTGAACGAGCACATAGTCTAGGTTTTCCAACTGATTTTTGATGTGCTTAAGAGCTCGTTGGCGGCGGTAGTCACGGATCGGGCGCTTCGAACGCTCTTTCTCTAAGTCATCCGGCAGGTATTTCTCTGCATACGCCACGAGATCATCATAGGAGTACAGGAATCCACAGACTCGAAGAGGAACCCACACAGGGCCCTCGCATCCTGGCTTCTGTTGCACTGGAGGCACTGCCGTTGTGTCAGTGGCTAGCGGCCTGAGAATTACCGAGGTTGTTAGAGTCGAGGGAAGGAGAAAAGGCGTTATTTACATACATTCGCTTCTGAACCTGTTCAATGGTAGTCGTGCAAGACATTATGGGAAAGGCAAATGAAACGGCGAAGGGTTGTTGGAAGGTGCTCTTCGTGACCGTGCTGTTTGTGAAAGTTCAACCAGTTCGGTTATTGCGAGTCACATTATGATTACATCGCACGCGTCACACTCCGACTCAAGTGTTTGCCACACCTCTTTGGTATTTCCGAGATCTGGCGATCACATCACTCTATGATATTCGCAGATTTAGAAGGAAGTAGGGAAATATTCCGCACTATGGGACTCCTGAGGTTTGAGTTTCGACAGCGGTGGATCTCGAATTGTCATGCATTCATGCCTGGCCCGCGCTTAACGAAAAGCTCCAAGCATCTTTGATGTTCTGCTACTCATGGATGTACAACCGACGCCGTCTCGAAGGCCACACGTACCCAGTTTGGGACTAAATCATGGCATTATTTGCAGCGCGTGACGCTAGCCTGGTCGACGCCCCCCAGTTTCCCATTTACACTTTGTCACCCAGTGAAGTCGATCCTGATGAGTCCTTTGGGACAGTTTCAGACGACGACGCAAAAAATGGGTTCCCCGATTATGCCCTCTTGTGTCTGCGCTACAGGCAAGGCGCAGACGTCCCGAAGTATAAAGCGCTGCCTCGCGGCAGGCAACCGCTCCCATCAGGAAACCTTCCTTGGGCAGCACTCCCTCAATGCACTGCGGGCAAACGCCTATAAAAACGCGCGAGATATGAAGACAATACCTTGATGTTAATACAACCATCTTCTGCATATTCCCACCGTAGATATTGTGAATTTATTTAAATTATTGTTCAACTTATAAATCATCATATCATCCCCAGAATTATTGAGACTACTTCTCAAATATCAGGATTGTCATTATAAAAGAGTAAATATAATTAATGTCAGCCTTTTACCTACAGAAATATGCCAATGATATTGAGGTTGTTATTCTCAATATCACCACAGTTAATATTCAGAATATCATCAGCCCCCTATCTGTCAGCAATACGCTGATGATATTCTGAATATCATTCCCGATATAGTCATCATATCCCTGATGACGTATAATCAGGCTATAAGCACTCGTATCTCCAGCATATTGACGAAGATGGTAACCTAATTATCATCAGCAGTGATATGCTAGAAATACATTGTAAAGTATTCAGATTATTGTACATAGAATATATGATGAAAATATTGTACGGAATGGAAGTGAACCAGTTCAAGTCACATTAGTACTTTGAGTCCTCATGCGTAATGAACTGACGAGAGATGGCGCGTGCATTAATGTATTCATGGCGGGTGTACTCCAAAGTACTACAAGAAGAGCAGGCAGACGAGATACGCAATGAGTACATCGAAAGGCTCGATTTCCGCGTAAGTCACCGCGTTAAACGGCACTACCTGGTGCCCAAACCCACGTCGAGACACCAAGTCGTCGTCGTCGTCGTCGTCGTCGTCGACCGTGATGGTCAAGACCCAATCGCCGCCGTTTTCGCCGCGAAAAACGTGGATAGAGGCTGATACTACCCCGGGAGGTGTCCTTGAAGCGTCCCTATGTATATAAAAATTAATACCCGCGCCTAGATCAGTAAAACGTTCATGAGACTTACATGACGACTACGTTGTCCAAAGGGCGTAGTACGTTGAAGTTGCGCACCAGGGCCTTTACGAAGGCCAGCCAAGCGATAGGGAGTGGAATATCGGGCGAGTACCAGGCTCGCATGCTTGATTTATAGAGGAAATCTAACTTAGAAGGATGGGGTCAGCTGGATCTGGGGGAGCGCATCACTCACTGTCAATTGATGGGTCTTTGCACGAAGTTGGTTGTGACTGAGTAACACACGGAACACTCTGCTCGCACATTGTACTCAAGCGCCAACGACGACGGAACTACTTACGGCGCCCTAATGTACCGACTACGAATCATGTCTTCTCCAGTTTCTAGCCCGCCCAATCCTGTTCAACCGTTGGCGGCGGGCATGTCGAATCATCAATCAAGGCGTCTCGACGCTGGAGTGCGAGGTCGCGTGGGTGGGAGATTCGTTTGTGTAGGGGGTCAAGGGTAATAATGGCTACCACTAGTGGGGTACGTCGTGTCACACCTACTCCCCACCCTTGCGCCTTCTCCCCCGTCGACACAGTATTTGATCAAGCGCTGGCTCTCTTTGAGAACCTCGACGAGTGTCTGTGAATTATTATGAGTACCGAACGGGGTTGGACAAAACCATCTACGCACAGGACTACGAGCGCGTTTCCCTCAGCAAGACGTCCTTCTTCCACTCCATTCCACTGCACAGCTTCGTTCATCCATTTCCAACACCCCTTCCCTCCCCTTCTGTTCTCTTTTTGTGTGCTCGTTCCATCGTTCCCCATCGTTGTACGCGTTACTCGTTATCGTTACTCGTTATCGTTGCGCTGCGTACCGTTGCCTACCTATTGTAGTCTGCTGTACTCGTTCGCGATCGATCTACCTGCATTTGCGTTCGCGCTCGCGTTCTCTCGTTCGTCTGGTACGTCTCTGCCTATTCGTTACGTTTCTACCGGGTTTAACGGCCATTTTGCTCGTGCTATCGTTCTTGCTGTGTTTGTTCGATTCCGAACGTTGCGAAGCGTGCTGACTGACTTGATTCTCTGTAGATCTGGGCGGGTGTTTGTCTTTGTGTTCGCATTCGTGTTCGCGTAGGCGTGGTGCGAGCGGGATCGATCTAGCGGAAGAACGTCATAGGTTAGTCGTCTGCGTCGTTATCGTCTATGCGCACCGTTACTCACGTCTTGTTTTCCTCTCTTCGCGTTCCATCCATCCCCTCTCACTGCCCTTCATCGCCAAGGGTAAATTCGCCATGGTATCCCTCCTCATACTAATCGACGAATCCCCCTCATCGACTCCCTCTTCCCCGAATCCTCCTTCCCCCCTCTCCCCGACTTCTGTACACACCAGCGCATCTCGCTCAACGCATACCCTCTCCCTCTCGGCTTCGAAGCCTCGGGCACTCAGAGGAATCGTACCCAGACGGTGCATTGGTGAATTCCAACTTGCCGACGTCACGTTCTCATACCCAGTTCGCGCACCTGTCCTCAAGAACGTCTCTCTCTTCCTTCCTTCAGGAGAAACCACCTTCGTTGTCGGAGGTAGCGACTCTGGGAAATCGACCGTCGCCGCCCTCCTGCTCGGCTTGTACAAAACCACGCAGGGGCAGGTTCTTATGGACGAGCAAGAGGTCACTTTCTTGGACTCTAAGTGGATGCGGAGCCACGTTATGGGCGTTTCGCAAGGCGATTGTGTTATCTTCGACGGGAAGACTGTACATGATAACATCGCTGCTATCATGGGCACAGATGTCTCCGTCTCGCGCGAACAGGTCATCGACGCTTGCACAAAGGCACTCCTCCACGAATTCATCAACGGACTCCCTGATGGCTACGATACCATTCTTGGTGGTGCCTCCGAATCTGAGGCTGGCGAAGCAGCCAAGGTCGGGGGTGTCAACCTCAGCGGTGGACAGAGGCAGCGTCTTGCAATCGCACGAGCTTGCCTTCGCAACCCAACCGTCTTAATCCTTGGTACGTTCTCATATACCCTCATTTTATTTCTTCACTAACTCTTCCTTTTCAGACGAAGCTACTTCCGCACTCGACCCTACTTCTCGTCTCTTGGTCTTCGAAGCCCTCAAGCGTGTGCGTCGCAACAAGACTACCATCGTGATCACCCACGATCTCTCCCAGATCGAGAATACCGACTTCGTGTACGTGATGGGGGATGGCGAGGTCGTCGAACAAGGCTTCCGAAGGGATCTCGAATCCGGCTCCAGCACGGAGGACTTCACCTCGTCGTCTACATCTCTCGATGGCACCCACATTGGCGAGTTCAAATCGATGCTCCAAATCCAGATGGGCATGGGCGGGTACCTGCCCGAACGCGACATCGATGCGACATCGTCTGAAAGCCAGGCTGATGAAAAACGAACAACCACCTTTGACGAGGCATCATTACCTTCCATGACCGACATACCCGTTCCACCACCTACTGCGGCAGCTCGTCTTCGCCCTTTGACCTTGACATTGGGCAACTGGATGTTCGATGTCGTATCCGATCTCACAAGGACCGCGAACGGACCTGGAGGCGTTTTGGCCCGTCTTTCCATGATACCCGAGCACCAGCAGTACGAACAAAACCAACGCGCCAGCATTCGTGCTAGCCGCTTCGTCCCCGCTGAGATGCTCCAACAACCAACACAAAGAAAGACTCGGCCTACTAGCATTGCGATCCCTGCCTCTCCTACCACCCCCACCGCTGCCTACACCATTCCTCCTACCCGCCGGGGGTAGTGTCGTAATATGGAGTTGGGTAGGCCGAAACCCGCGCAATCTCCCCGTTGCTTGCAATAGTGCGCCAGTAAGCCGGGCTCGACGCACGCGACCAAAGTATTGAGTAAGCGCTTTTGAGGGTGGCAGTGGATGTGGGGGGTCGTAAGCCTTCGGCATGGTACACTTGCTTCACAAGTTCCCGCGCGACAGAGAAGTTGTAAACAAGGGGCTGCTTATACGCTGAAGAAACCGGCAATCAGTACGTAGTCCTTCGTCAGTTTGTGCTCGCGCCGGTCGAGATGCAGATTTTGCGACCAAAAGCATGCAAACAGGAGGGAGGAAGGCGTCGGGGCCGAGGACGCCAATTAGAAGAAGGAAGAAACTATGACAGAAAGTCATTTCTGAGCCGCCGTATATGGACCTCCGATACTTTGACCGGCGATGGCGAGGAATGTGGCTTGAGGCATGAGAGAATACTTGGAGAAAATCCCGTGCATCTATGTACAGATTAATCCCACCATTATGAAGTTTTTTTGGGGAGGATGCCATCACAGGCACAATGCTGTCAATCGTCTACGGGTAGTAGAAGTCACGATAAGGAAAGAGACATGACACATTAGAAAGTGACAGCGCCCACCTTTTTTACCGCGCGGAAACTGTAGGCGTCATCACGATGGAAAACGTTGGATCCCATGAACGTAAACACTGGCATAACGTTATGAAAGATAGCATATCAGGCTCGCTATGAGCAACAACGCCTGATGGAAGGTTTGAGGGTTCCTGGCCACTGTAAGCAACGTAAGGTCGGATAATACTCTCAGCATAATGAGAAAGTGAATGAATACGAACCTCCGACAACACTGTTAATCGCACTTGATAAGTCGTAGAGTGCCTGGGTGACCATGACTCAAGTTAAGATCCCTCAGTATCAATATACGTGGTAAGCACAGCACGTATGCAGAGTATTAACTTGGTTTTATCTCGGTATCGAGACTCCTCAAGACCAGCGCGCATGGGCACTCGAATAGTGTGACTTGGTTTTTCTCGGTATCGAGACCCTCAAGGCTGTGTCTCGATGTTACGGTCGCCCAAAGCCAGCGATCAGTCTCGATAGCGAGACCGCTCAAGCACACGACTGTGAGTGTTGACAACAAGCCACGCGGCACTCGCCGAGTTTCGCTGTTGGTGGGCTACCGCTTTTAGTAGTGTGGTTGGCCTACCACATTTGGTAGTACAATATAGGCGCCAATGATAATCAAGCCTGGTATCGCGCCCACGTGATATATTCTTAATCAATTCCGATTGAGCGCTTATTGCGAACCCAGCCATTACATTCGACCTCGATATTTGAACACAAAGAACGCATCGTAGTCATGACCGGCTGGACAACAAAGAAACGAAACAACTTTCTTAAAGCTTACATCGAATCTTACGCTAAAACGTCAGCAAATTCACCAGAACGAGTATCATGGAGAAAGGACCTATACGAAGCATGGGAGGAACAGTTTGGAAATTTGACTCCAAAAGACAAGCATGTAAGTTGTTCTGTTATAGTCCGAACATCAAACATCGTAACGGTCATCAGATGATCAGCAGCTATTTCAATAACCACTCAAAAGGGAGTAGCAAACGGGCCAGACCGTCATCCAGCAATATTCGGTCGCAATCCGACGATGAAGATGAAGCCGACGAAACAGATGAGTTGGAAGCCGATAACGTCGAGTTTGATAAGGGCAGTGGACAGGAAATAACAGAACCATCTACAAGTACGGCAGTGAGTGGCGTACCGACGCCGCCATCTCCGAGTTCTGCACCGGCTACGGGACCTACATCCGCTGGCCAACTCGCAATTGCAAGGGACGAGATTCCTGAATCAGCGTCAACGTCTGGTGGGTTGCGAGATAGTTGCCAGTCGGACGGACAAAACCTCAGTGCTTGCTTGCGCGATGTGGATACCGGCGGCGGACACTTCGCGCCTGTAGTTTATCCGACAGAATTGCCTCGGTATGCTACTTTCACTAACTTATATATACTTACTGATCGGAAGACAGGCTACGTCGCTATTTGGGAGTAGAGAACATAGTGATAGATGCTGAACTACCAGGGCTCTGTCCAGCTGACGTCCGGGTACGATACGAAGATGGGATCTTGCGTTTGTTTGCTGGGAAAGATGATAAAGACGGACTACCCGATCTGCGTCGTACATATGACGGAGCGCTTCGAGTGGGGTCGCAAAACGTAGGCGCTCAGCTTCCTTTTTTAAAAAAACTTGCATCATCAAATCACGTCCTTCCAGACCGACCGTATCATCTGTGGTATGGCGGATGGCATTTTGAGATTGATCCTCGCGCGAAATAAGGTCACTGAAGCAGCGAACACGCCTGAAGGAGAGAGTATCAAGATAAATGGTAACGTACAACAATAACAGGCGTTCATCAGCCGAGGACTCACAGATTATCAGACGGACTTCCCACCGAATTTGCCTGATTGTATCATCCAGTCGCCGAACCGAGACAATGATCACTGAATTTTCTTGTTACAATGTTTCAAAAGACACTCCCGTCTCATACCAATAATACTACCATCATGTCGAAGCTAAAACGAGTATGAGCGAGTATTACGCACAAGTTGCACGAACGAAAGTTACTCACTTTTCACTTACATCACCGATGATATCTGCGCTGAACGCTTGCATCGTCCCATCTAAGACCTTGCGAGCCCAAACCTCGCCTTCTCCATCGGACTTCCAAGCGCCTCCTTCTAAAACGGAATTGCTGCAGGCGACTTCAAATATATGGATAACAAGATGCAATGTTCTATCATACAACTTTTTTACAATCCCAGCCCCAACAACAATACTACGCCGCAAGATCCCTCCAGCCATCCGGCAGGTCTTGGCTATCGTGCCTGCCGATCGCAAGATGCTTCCAGCCATCCGGCAGGTCTTCACTATATGCGTTTTGTGGTTTTTGATGGCCAAAGCGGTCATAGGCATCGTCCGATATATATGGACCATCTTCGTCCGTGTATTCATTATCCTCACTAGTACTGGCACCCACAGCATCTACACCAGTAACGCCCGAATGGAAGTTGGCACGAGCGGTGGCCCAAGCTACGTTATATAGCTCCGATGGCATGCAAGGCGCTGTCCGGGCTGCGAAATGTAGGTTCGCTGGCATGCGCGGGATACAAGGAAGGATGTTGATCACCCGGGCTGAATCAACAATTTTCTGAAAGCCGACTGTAGTCAGTAGCTTGATGACAGATGCGATCCGGAATCTTTGGCGGTTGCGACAATCTCCCCAATTTCGAGGGAAATAGGTGCCTTCGTCTCCTTTGTGACCTCGTGAATACAAGCTGAGGGATAAATGCACCTAGCGCAGCTGAAATCAGTTGTCAACTGATCGTATAGAGCAACTAAGACCTACCGCGTAGACGGAGGTAATCAGTCCCTCCCAATCCTGCTCCGGTGGGTAAGCATATGGTTGTTGTGATAAATAGGCTGAGTACGTCGCCAATATCATGGGCGAATGAAGAAATCCCTGATGATCGGTTATCAGTTAGTATGTAGTAGTAACTCCTTTCGCAAAATAAGCATCCTTTTACGCACAGTCCTTCGACGGTAAGTTTGGTCTACCTCGCGAAACATATACGGAGGAAAGGATCTTGCTGCGCCAAGCATGTGGCGTGTCCACTGGATGATATCATCTGAGCTACGTCCCGATACTAACACCTGAACGGTGGCGATGCCCGCCATCTTGACGTAGTCTAAGTCAACAGCTGGCAGCTGTATCCATGAATGATTACTAGATATCACTCAATAAGGAACAGAAATACGCACGAAATCTTCCTGACTCGATGGGCTACAAGTTGCAATGGCGTGGGTCGAACTACATGCCACTGTGTGTATCGACTGGAGAGGTGGGTTCTGGACAATGGCGCGCATGCTTGCGTAGAACTGGGATGTACTGATATTGCCGATGATGGAACGAAGTGGGGTGTGTACGCGTATCGCGAGCCGAACCTTCTTCAGTCTTTTCGAGTCAATAGCTAATGTGTAGATGAGCTAGAATAAATCTCAGTGTTTAGAAATGGAGCCTACATCGACACTTGATCACGACGCAATGGTTGCGTTGATCATTGTGAAACCCATTGCAGACCAATTTAGGCGTGAGCACCATGGCAAAGGTAGGTTGGGGGAGAGAAGATCAATACAAGGGAGACGATGCAAAAGGATACAAGCAAGCTTATCACCAATGATGCCTACACCACGATCGATAGTTCCGATAAATGAGGTATCCTTGAGGTTGGAAGTCCTGCAGGGGTTGAATAAATGAAAACCTCGCGGTGCTTATGCAGCTATCATCGATAGGTACCGTATACATGCGACAGAAATGCAGTTAGCAAATCGAGAAGGCTAAAGGCTGTCTAACGGTTGCAATGCATCGAGAACCAATCCCAAGGTCGACAGCGACAACCGCGCTTCCTTACAAGTTTCGTGCAAATGTGCTTCCACCATCTGGCTCGTTGCCAAAGACGTGGACCTCCCCATCTTCAGCTCGCTGGAGAGTGCGAGCGACTTTGTTTGCAACTCCAGCAAGCCCTCCTCTACGCAGCGAATGAGGTACTTGATGGTGGGGGCATCGAAGGCGTCATCGACGACCAACAGCATGTGTTCTGCGGGATGAGGCAATGATGGACGTGAAAATAAGGTAACCCCCAAAATATAGAAAATTACCTTCGTTTATGATCGATTCTGTAAGTTGCACATTAGCGATGGCCACGGCATCTTGAATTACTACAGCAACGTACCTTGTCTAGCCTTTCGGCGGCGACGCTTGATAATCTGTCGGTATCGCTTGCACCGTTTACACGAAGGGCCTAACAGAGAGGGTCTTCGGTCCCCAAAAGAGTCAACATAGAAACGTTAACTTACGCCGAACAACATGCATCATTCTGTGGGAGAGGTTCAGCACTAGTAGTGTTGGAAGGGAATATGGATGAGCTACATTAATATATGATTCTGACGAGTTCCCGTAGTTTCCACTTATTGCCAGGCTCGGCGTAGTTCGGAGGTACTAGCAAAAACTGCAGACAATCGAGCTCAACCGTCCGGGTCACTCTACAGCGGGATAATCGATGGATGCAGATCTAGATTCGGATATTTGCTGATAAGGTGGGGATAATCAGCGAAACGATCAGGCAATGTTTGTAGCGCCTCGTTGGTTGTGGTTATACCTTAGCAAGAACGAGATGGAAGGTGCGGAGTATGTAGGCGTAGACATGGGACTCGGATGTAAATAATAATGAAAAATGTAATGAGCGACAACGCGGACATGGAAATGCGAAACCACAAGATTGGTGCAAGGATCGCAAGGATCGGATGCGGAAAAGGGGGACGTGGAATTTTGGGCGGACGAAGAAAAAACGGGGGGTAAGGGAGGAGTCTTGCTTACTTTCTGACCACGATGCTACTCAAGAACAGTGCGGTGAGAGTGGTTGACAGTCTTGAAACGACACGGGTAACTGATCACGGCATGATAGCTTGCGGCCCTTGTCAACATCGTGGAACTTCATCAATTAATATTGAACGAGTTGTCCTTGGCCGACCTGAGAGCATACGGGCTGTCGTGCAAGACCATTATGAAGGATGTCGATGAATACATCGAAAGAGCGTACAATATCGAACGCCTGCTCATGAATTTCCTGCCACAAGAGCATATTGGAGACTTCCGAATGGTGCAGGGTGCCATCGGTATGATCATCGGTGGCTCTAGTGCATTGCAATTCTTCTCGCGACGTTATTACGATGATTCGGATCTCGACCTCTATGTCTGCGCCTTCTTTGGATCCTGCGCGGCAAGGATGTTGGAACGTATGGGGTGTCGACCTGTGGTGCCCGGAGGAGTCGTAAATATGCCGAGGACGCACGGTCAGACGTCAAATTCGCCACATTTTTCAAGGAGATACCGTAGTTCTGGAATAGCTAAAGTGGTGAATTGGGTGTCACCAACAGGACGAGCGATTCAGCAGATCATGACGAGCGTTCCGGTGGTAGACGTGATACTTGGATACCACTCTAGTACGTCGACTGTAAACAGCGCAGAACGTGCTAACCTATCCAACTACTTCAGCGGCTGTGATGAACTTTATATCCGCTTCGCGCGCGTATAGCCTGTACGGACGGGAGACACTCACCAAGGGGCTGTCATTGTACACTCGAAGAGATAGGGCTAAATTGAGGGCAGCTAGGGCAAAGTACGAATGTAGAGGCTGGCAGAGCGTGTTCTTGCGTGCAAATGACGTGTTCCCAGCAGAGACGAGGGGTGTGGGGGATAAAAAGACTTGGCAGGTGGCGTTGAGACCAATGTTGGCCGGAGGCGGTCACGATGAGAGGATGAGGCAGACAGCTTGGGCATTGAAGTACACTGCTGATGGCAAGCCTTACATTTGCTTACGGTAGAGTGTCAACGTAAAATTGGTTTGTGTAAGCGAGGACGAGAATATCGAGTATACCGCAGCTAGTAAATCGTGCCAATGGCCGCCAAATGCACTATTGGACGGGCACTTCGTTTCGAATAGCATGAAGATGTCGAATCGGGACCGTCTAAATTGCAATGACTGTTGCGGTCGATGTTGCGATCGCATTGACGCGCTGTAAGGCCGATGCACACTGACGATCATCGTAGGTCGTGGTCACCCCGTCCCTCAACTAACTCGTGATCTCGGCCCTCCCGATTGCGATGTGGCGCAGAGTGATAATAGCTGGATACCGGAAGAGTAGAGCAGTGATATGTGTTGAAAATGGGATCATCATCTTCTTCTACAGGCATATCGGAACTGTGGCCGCCTTCGAGTCTATCTGTGGTCATATCGGAGGTTCGTAGGTAGTAGCCTGGGTGACCATGACTCAAGTTAAGATCCCTCAGTATCAATATACATGGTAAGCATAGCACGTATGCAGAGGTTTTATCTCGGTATCGAGACTCCTCAAGGCCAGCGCACATCGTACTCGGATAATGTACGACTTGGTTTGTCTCGGTATCGAGACCCTCAAGGCCAGCGCGCATTCCTTGGTCGATGTTTCGATATCGTGAACCCGTCTCGATAGCGAGACTCCTCCAGCTCAAGGCCTAATCTCGATAGCGAGACTCGCCTGAGGTGAGTGTTGGCAACAACATGCCACGCGGCACTCGCCGAATTTCGCAGTCGGGATTGCAATATTGGTGGACTACCGTTTTGAGTAGTGTGCCGGCTGGACTACCACTTTTGGTAATACAGCACAGTACGAAATCAATATTTATCAATGACATTGCGCGCAACCCACGCATGCGGGATTTATAGCATGAAATGTATCATATAAGTCCACGAGCAAGTCGCGGAGTCTGCTCAGTTGCCTATAAATCGCCACTAGTCCTGGAACCGCTAAATTGTGTATTGTGAACGCCCCACATGCTCACTCGATCCTCATATCAGCGTAGTCCCAGCGTTCAGATCATTCCTCCGCTAGCAGGGAACAATGTTGCACCTGCTGCCTTGATAGGGCCTCTACCGATACTTCGGGAAGACAAAAGAGTAAGTAGTATTTCTCAATGCGCCCGACAGAATATACTCATGTACGCGAATAAGGTCTCAGGAGTTCTGTACTCCTTGCAGTGGCATAGAGGACGAGTAGAGTCTTTCTCTACCCTTCCCCTTGCCGGTGGCCAGAAGATCCCGGACATTAGCGTCAAGAAGGGGTTTCACTCGATGCCGCCTCAGACTAAAATGTTCGACATCACCGTCTGCCTCGCAGGATCTCACCGCCATCGATTCCGCATTTTTGGCTATACCACAGAAACTGGACAAATCAATGAGGGGTTAAGGAAGGTCAGCCCCTCTGTAGTGTGGCGCGGGGAGTTGGTCATTTTCCAACTCGGAGAGACCAAGGCATACCTTGCATGTCCTCGAGTAACCAAGCTCATCTTGCACAAGGCAATCCGCCTGTAAGTATCAATTGGATCGACCACTTGTGACTGCTATCCGAGATGCTTACTCGTGTCCATTTACCTGTTTAGTTTCATGCACGAGGCAACTCTATCCAATGATGGGGGTGCTCCATCAGCTTCGCAAATCTTCGTGAGTCACTGCATGTTCATTTCGGTGAATATTCCTAAGCCGACCTACCATCAGGAGTAAATATCGTTGGATATTAGTTCTGCACATGTTTTCAATTTTGTGGATATATGCCTCTCTTTATATATATCAAACCACGCCCCCGTATTTGATCCTCCTGGATTATAAACGACGATCCATGCGTAAACGCTTGGTAAACGCGTGGTGTGCGTCCATATATCATAATCTCGGACCCATTTACTGAAGATGAAAACATGTCTTATACAAATGTACGCTGGAAGAATTAAGATGAGAGGGTCACACCTTATACGTATCCTGAGTTTTCGCCGTCACCCAGCCTGGTTTACCTGCGCTAGTATGCCTGCTAAGGAAGTGATCGGGCGCAATGGCGCTAGCCGGGTGGCGCACCAAGTGCGCTGTATCCAATCGCCCGCTGTTAAATTCTTGCGTTATATTGTTCCAGCTACCCTGTTCGTTCAGCATCCAGACAGTTTCTGCATCGGTGTCCGCCTTCAAAGCGCCTGTCGTGATGATGAATAAGTCGCCGGCCAGCTTCTTCCAGTTTACAGGGAGTATGGGGCAGGAAATGACAACCGGGACGTTGGATTGCCGGTCGCAGAGAATATAACGCGCCTTGACGCGGTTGCCCTCTTTTATCGGTTTATCATTATTTTTCGTTGCAAGGGAGGCGACAGTCAATGGCTGATCATTGCCATTGTAAAGTACCAGCGTGTTTGAAACGCTGTCAATCTCAAATGCCGACGACCTCGACGACCGCTGATTGTGCCTGGGAGGTGTAGAGACGGTTTCCCCTCGAGGCTGAGCTGGGGGGGGAGCACTGACATGGCGACGCGCCGGGGTGCTGACCGACTCGTACGAAGTCGGTTGCACTTGGATCACTGGGGGGGGTGCGCTTGTATGACGAGGCGCTGGCCGAGGGGTACTCGCTGATTCAAAGATTGGCTCAGGAATCGCTGGGGGAGGGTTGTAGTAACGAGTTGCGGCGTCCTGCGGCGCCGATGTATCAACACTGTAGTAGCCCTGCTGACTCTGGGGTGGTGGGGAAGCATAGCCACCTGGATAATGATATTGTTGCCATACATGGGGTGGCCCTTGAGGCTCATGTTGAGGGATCGACCCAGGGGCTCCGAACGGCATATAGGTGTAAGTCGTGGGTCCGGGAGGCGGGGGTACTTGTGAGATGTTCGATGCCTGCGTTTGGAATGTGGGGTACTGGATAGGCCCCTGCAATTGCGAATACTGTGGGTGGGATGGTGTGGTGGGCGCTTGTGCGATAGGAATTTGCGAGGAATCCGCGTGACGGCGCTTAACGTCGTTAGAATTGGTTGGGACATGGGGTGGGAGTACCGGCGTGTCTGGAGGGATGGAGGGTTGTGCGACCGGGATTTGTGACAAACTCGCGGGTTGTGGTATGGTAGTGTATTCCCTTCCATCGTAATTGATTGGGATGTGGGGTGGGGGTACCGGCGTGTCTGGAGGGATGGAGGGTTGTGCGACCGGGATTTGTGACGAACTCGCGGGTTGTGGTATGGTAGTGTATTCCCTTCCATCGTAATTGGTTGGTGCATGATGCGAGGGGGCTGGGTGCACATGATGCGAGGGGGCTGGGTGCACTGGAGCGTCCTGGGACTCTCGAGGGAGTGGATTAGGGCGCGGATTAGTTGGGACGTGAGGAGGGGCCACCGAAACGGACACGGCTGGCGTCGGCGCGTGCTGGTTCTCTGTCTCTCGCGGGCCTCGAGAATCTGGGTGTTCGGTGACTTGAGGCGAGATGTACGGTGATGAAGAGGGCTCCATTTTCACCTGGACATCTTTTGCCTCTGGCTTCGCGGGTTTGGCAGCATCAGATGGTGCCCCAAAGACATCATCGTCAGGCGGTGCGTGTGCGAACCTGACCTTCCTGATAGAGATGGGTGAGATGAGCTTGTTGATGTAGAGAGAGATTATTACTTCGCGCCGAAGAGAAGCTCACGAAGGTGCTTTGCGGGTTCTTTGAGTGCTGCAGTGTCACCGTCGGCCACCAACAGTGATAGGGCGTTGAAGGCCTTCTTCTCGAACGTGTACGGATCCGTAACTTCGCCTAGTTGTTGGGCGCAACGTTCGACCATTTCCCGATTATTCTCGGAATACAAACTTAGAAAATTGATAATCTTTTTAGCCCTGGGATCGATGCTGCACCATTCATTTCAATATTTATCAACACTGTAGATTCATCCCAACTTACTGTGGAGTTTCAGGGTAAGCACCTGGGACCGAGGGGGTTTTTGGGACGTCTCTGATGGCAAAGGATGTGAAGTTCTGTGTCAAAATCTAACGTGGCTGGTGAATCCACTGGAAGGGTAGTTGGTTTTCTAAGGGTACGCACATCAATATCCACATCATAAGCTTCACGTTTCGAGAGCGGATGTGTCGCCCACGGAACGTTGTAGGGTAATTCTGCAGGCATTATTGGGATGAGAGAAGATGCAGGCAGGGCAGGCTCTGGAGCTTCAGAAATATCGTATATAGATAACATCGTGAATGATGAATCGGGATGTGCGGAGGATATACCTCGTGATGGTAGATTACATGTATGTACAAGGCCTGCTTCAAGGAGGTAACCATAAACAGTACACTGCGTGCGAGATCCGATTTCGAGATCTAATTTCAGATCCATCTACCTCTCTACTCATCCTTGACCTCGGCAGAAGTAGTGGAAGTGGAAGGCGTGGGCTTGGAAGTGGAAGTGGAAGACATAGGCTGGGTGGGTTCTTTAAGGGTGGTTGAGAGATCTCCGGCAAACCAATCACGAACGGCGGCGGAATTATAAACAAAGGCCATCGAAACGAGTGTCACGGTGATTCCTAGAATGACGCCGAAGACTAACCCCCCAACGCTACCGACACTGGCCTTGTCAATCTGCACATCACGAGTAATCGTGACCGTGGCCGCAGGAGCAAGTGTGGCGATGGTGACCGGGTTCCCAGCATGATCAGGCGGAACGCTACGTGCACGAGGTGGGGATGCTTGCCCAGAGTGTTGGTCAGCGGATGGGACCAGGGGCAATTGCGTGTACTCGGGGTTGTCCAACGCAGGTGCAGAAAGGCCGGTGCCACTGTCACTGCCAGACGGAGGTGATGAATCTAGTTCTGACTCTGTTTCATGGCTGGGTGGAGGACCCGGCTCCCTGGGTTGGTAATCAGATGATCTGATGGACATAGGCGAGCCTTGTAGCTGCGAAGACGGTTCTGGTGCCGAGGCTGGCGAATTCGGCGGTGGGAGATCTAACGTGATCGACTCTGGGGAGATAATCGGTGAAGACGACAATGGATCTGGGGAAGCACTTCCCGCGTCCTCAAATTCTGCTGATGCTGACGGGCTAGGCGAGTCTTGTACCTGCGAAGATGGTTCTGGTGCTGGCGAATTCGGTGGTGGGAGGTCTAACACGCTCGACGAAGGGGGGTCTGGGGAGATAATTGGTGAAGACGACAATGCATCTGAGGAAGCGCTTCCCGAGGCCTCAAGCTCTGCTGGTGCTGATGGGCTAGGCTCTGGTGGCGACTCGGGAAAAGGAAGCTCCGGTGAGCTGAGCGCCGAGGGGGACAGAGTGGGAGGCTCCGGTGAACCGAACACTGTGGACGATAGGTCGCCGATTGCCGCCGACAATGACGACATGGCTATGGCACCTCCCTCGCTGGCTTGAAAATAAATGATACTCATGGCGGCGAGCAAAGCGAGGGCACTGTACGTCCAGTTGGACCTGGACCTGGACCTCGGCAGCACTGTCTCTGTGAAGTCTAACACGTCGCAAAATGGGGATAATAAATTGCCGTCGATGGTTACGACGCGAGTGTGGCTCCCGCGCAAGCGTGCAACGTCCTGATTTTTGAGCCATATATGCGTGTGTATGCAAAAGATGTAGAGAACTCACCAGTCGGGTGAGCATATACGTCGCTCTGACTGTCGCACTAATTTCAGAGGTTTGACCTGAAATCACGTTCGCAAAGAGAAGACCCCCGATCGAGCTGCCGCAGACAAATGTATCGTGATCAACATAGGCAATATCGACTACCGAGGGGAAACTCCGTCCAGGAAATACGGTGGAGACGTGGTCGAGGTTGGGTAGTGTATATGTTTCGGCGCCCTTCGTGGCGTGGAGAATAGTGATCTTCGGATGTCGGTGATCATGAGAAATCGCTCCTGAAAGGCTATCATAATATTATGAGTTGGATTGCGTTGGCTTGACTGTGTACTTACATCATATCATGGCAGGAGGTAAACAACCTCCAGCGTACTTCATGCGAGTGAAGGTCATAGGCACTAGTCATCGATATATAAGCTACATCTTGTCGTTCATGAAAAACTCACATGGCTGCTGGCGAAACCCCTGGCTCGGCGACCATAAAGATTACAATGATGACGTTCATATCCAAGATAAGCCGAGTGGGGCGAGACTCTAGAGGTACAGTCAAGTGCGCCCGAGTTCCTTCGCCTGATCATACGATCATACGTCAGAGACATATCTGCAAGCAGGGATGACCGTCACTTACGGACAACCGCCACCGATGTTCCAAATACAACAAAAAGTTCAGCTCCTGATGGCGCGATGACGAGGTCATGAATTGGCCCTTCGAACGCAAGGAATGATGATGGGTCCTGTCCAAATTGACACATTATGAGTCAATGTCGTGTCTACGAGTTTATGAACGTACCTCATAGTCAGTAGCATCAACATCAAGTCGTAGTCTGTAAGAAATGAGATCCCCGTTGGCAAACCCAACGTATAGCTCATTCGGATGTTGTGGATTCCATGTCAGGGCTCTAATGGCGATCAATTGGCGGCTACGCCCTACGGCCTTCTTGCGGAATATCTCCAGGTTACTGTTCAGCCGGTGAATCTGGAATTAATCAAGTAAGACTTGTGTGTGACAAACAGACGCATTACTTACCGTCAAGACCCCTTTCGTGTCACCCACTGCCAGCAGTTCGTGTGGAAGGGGGGATATCTTGAGCGAGCTCACGCAGGCTGCGGCGGAGCGGGTTTGCACACGTTTTAGGGTGAGCGCGCCAGAGAAAGTATAAGTGTCGGCGGACATGGCGGTCGAGGTTCGAGATACAGAGTATAGCGAGATACGATGGGTTGACCCAATTGCAAAGTTAACAGGGATGTTTTATACGAAGAACATCGTATAATAGCTTCCGGCCTCGTTTTCTCGAGGACATGTGTTGTACGTATATATCTTGTTACAAACCGTCCTCTACATATAAGTTTGGATTTGTGTCCTCGATATTGAGATACCATAATTACGCGAACATGCGTAAATCGGTGGGCCTCCTCTCAAAAGTAAATTTCTCGATATCGAGAATGAATTCAGACCTCCCGGTCAAGCACGATTGGTAGTATACTCACGTCCTATTACACGTGGAGTAGAGCTGGCAGTGGCGCAAATAATACGGGGTTGTTCTCGGGACATCGAGAGAGGGTGTGTGGTGGCGTCCACGCTGTATCGGTGTGGGGGCGGAGCGCTGAGTCTCAAAAGAACACGTGCTCAATAAACATGGTTAGAATCCCGGATTCAACTTTGAGTGTATTTCTCGCCGTCGAGATAATGTACACGTTGTCGTGTCGGGCTGCAATTCATGAGTTATATGTTACGCACGTAAGGTCGCCCTTATCGCTGACCCTCGCCCAGTCAAGCTTCAAGCTTCATCGCCAGCAATTACAGTCCATGAACGTTGAAACTGGTAGTCAAAGGAATTGTGCGTTTAGTGTGCAGACTTTCGTGATTGTAAGCTTAATTGGTTCTATACATAGTCTTAGAACCTCCGTCAGAAAGCGCCAGTGAGCCTCCGACTACAAGCTACGTACGCTCTCATCAAAGTCGAAGTCCTCAACGTCGATGTCGGAGTGCCGCTCCCGGACGCTTTGTTCCATACCCGCATCCGGGAAAAGGGAACTCAGCCGAGAACTCAGAAAGTAGGTACAAAGGCGTCAAGACCATGAGCCACATTCAGAGTTCTGACTTGACTCGTCCATCTATCTCAAGGTACCTCGAACGCTGGGGATAGACCAACACCTCCGTTGCCAAACACGAATCTTCTACGAGCCCTAGCCCAGCGCCAGCGGTCGAGATCAAGGACACCAATACCTATTGCGCCCCAACCTCTTCGGGATCTAGGACATCGTCAGCTCCTCCGAAACGACCCTCTACGGTCACATCCTCCTATCAGTGACGTCGAGGTAGTAACTACATCGCAGAGCCAAGTCGCCAACACAGACCGGGGTCTTAATCAGGCTGCTAGCGCTTCAGGAGCCTCAAACACTCTGTTACCCTCTACACTGGCATTAGGTCGCACTCCGGGTCCTGAGTTCCCTGGTTTTGATCACGAAACCCGAAGGTCTCAGCAACCCGCAGCCTTCGGTGACAGCGGAAGAGGTCAGGACTCGTTACCAGTTCATCCCCTAAATTTGGATCAGGCTGGTGGTGTTGGGTCTCAAACGTCTACGATCAGTGACAATAATCTAGGTTCGACGGCTGTTCGCAGCCCAGATACAGGCTTAGACCAGCCCTTTGTCTCCGAGTCACAGATCCAACCACCCTCAACGTTGTTGTCACCCATTCGAACAGTCCCGGGTATCGAAAGTCCAAGGGCGATGCGCCCCTCTCATAGGTTTGCTGTATCGGCGATGCGGACGACTATCGAGAGTGATGAACAACGTAGCCCTCCCCCCCCCGTCGAGTCTCGACCTCGAGACTCTCATGAACGTGGGAACAGTATGTATAGCCTCATGGAAACCCTGTGTTAGATCGCAACTGACGGAGTCCATCCAGATACAACCACTTCTAGCCATCTTTTCGGAAACTTGTTCACAACCCCGGTTACCATTGCGCAAACCCTAGCGTCGCTGTATCGTGGGCGTCCAACACAACACACCGCTACCATCGCTCCAGATGCCCTCGATGGCCAGGTTGTGGCTGAGGCAGAGGCTGAGAGAGATGTGGGGCCTTGGTATCATGGGCTCGATGCGGATATGGTGATGTCCTCTCCGACCTCCAGTGGTGGAGGTTCTCGGAGTCATGATGCCGTGTATGCCCACAGTAATGTTTACGACGTCATTCTTGGTCAACCCCTCTATCAGCGCGAGCTTTCCCCTTTGTCTCTTATGGACTGTGATAATGCTGCTCTTGACGACCATACTGACGCACCTCCTGGGACGACCGAGGTCCCCGCCGAGATTCATGATATCGTGGCAAGTCAGCCCATCCACTCGCCGCGCGATCCTCAGCCCACCCCCCCCACTCATTCATCTCCCTTGCCCGAAGGACTGAATCCATGGCAATGGTATCTTCCGAATGACCCACGTTATCGGGAGGCACCGGCTCGATATGGAAGTAGCCATGTATCACGAATAGACCCGATTGATCGTCTTTGCGAGCAGGTCTTGGGACTGGCGGAAGTCATACGAACAGATCGTCAAGAACTCGGGGGCAAGATCAAAGGCTTGATAGAGGCTGTGCAGTCAGACCGTCTACGAGTCCAAGATCAGATCAAAGCACTTGAACAACGCCCCCTTCGAGAAGCAGATGGCCCGCGGCGCAAGGGCAGCGAGCCCAAGAGAACTAGTAACCCGAAGCGGAGGCCGGCGGACACAGTTCTTCTTGCAGTGAGTTGTCTAATTTGGTCACAGCCATTTACGACTTTATCATTTTGTGCTAGTCCCAGATTCGTACTTACTTCACTTATCTCGTCGGTGGATCGCATAGATTGCTCCAAGTCTCTGTAAGCGAAGAAGAAGCTGAAAGCTACGCGACTCTGTGGAACACGGATGATGGCTTGTCTGCCCCGGACTGTTGCGATAAAGCGAACTTCAGATACGATGTTTTAGGACCTCCGAAGTCTCCGTGGAATAAGTCTGCAGCTCGCGTATTTGTCAAGGCCTTTGAGGAATGGGCGGATGTGGAGCTTGACAAAGAAACCACGATGGAGGCTGTCGCCACTTGGATCAAGTCTTTGCGACAGACACGCCACCAGTCACGTCTATCCCGTAGCCAACGGGAGGACGCGAAACGCACGGCCAGGCGCCAAGGAAGGAAGCGTTCGGTAAGAGCCAGCTCTTTGACGACCATTGAGTCTCTGGACTCTGATTTCCTTGTATCCATAGCTATTTCACATGCGACTTGATGTTGCCCAGGAACACCCGTTACTTCGCCAGCATGTGCCTCTACTTGAACGCTTGGGTGTCGATGGTATGTCTAGTGACGAATCAGACGTCGATGATGCTGGTGATGGCGGAGCGCGGGCCAGACGTCCCATATACCAGGTCATCACGCCGGCGTGGAGGGCGACAGAAGTCGGAGATTGGCTAGAGACATTCGACAGTGTTTATCTCCTCTCGCGTCGCTCGAAGCAAGACCTACGAGGGCAGTATCCACGACTTCGAGGTAGGATCCCGGTGAAAGTGGATGACAAGGCTAAGCCTGTCCCATCGCTACCTAGGAACGCCTACCATGCTTCCTGGATCACTCTACAGAGGCAAGTTGAGTTCCGCCTCAAGCCAATGAATCAAGATTACCCATTCTGCCATGAAAATGGTTTGATCAGGTATGTCTCATGTTTTTCCACCGATTTCTTGACCGCATCTTTACTGTCTACTATACTATCATAGTTCCCAGATTGATTGAGTGTTGGTCTAGTTTACCTGATACATTGTATCAATTCTTTAATTTCTACTGCATGTCCTCGTCTGGTCTGATACCGCATTCCCGCCTTGTATGTACTTCATATATATCATCTCAAGTCGGCAACTTCATGCCCTATTTTTATGACCCTGTGGCCCAACGGAATCTTGTCCTAGATCTCGGTTATTGCTGCTACCGCCGAATAAAGAGGACCCACAACCCCCTTTGGGAATTTTAATTCGCGGACCCACAACCTTAAATGATCATCGTTATGACGCGTCCGATCAAGATCACAAGGAGCAATCTCAACCAGTGAATCTGTGGCAAGTTCGAATTAAGGACTTAGAGTTTACAGGTACAATCAGGCCTGCCGCACTAAAAACCCGTACTAACTACCAGTAAAAAGGAGGCATCTCTTTCGCCGTACTGCTCCAGGACAATCGGGGTATTTCTTTTGACATGTCACGCAGGTCCTCTCCTTACGCTTGCCTAAGACACTAGAACGAAACGTAGCAGTGAATGTTGGCGCAATGTTGAATATTGGCTGTGAGGGCCCTGGTAGTTCGACCATGGGAGGAGTCTCCGTCACGGAAAATGCAGTGGAACAGATGTCTAGCGTGGGATCGTGGACGTCTACGAGGTTGAGCGGTGGTGAACTGGCTTGATGAGTTTCGGGTTGAGTGTGAGGACGACCTAGGTACTGGCCACCTGGAGCGTCCGCCGTTGGCTGGATACTTGTCGCAGTCTCGGAAAGGGCCTCTGGGGCGCGAGGGAGCTCCACAAGAGGTGGGTCGTGCTCACGACCAGCACCAGGCTCCGTGGACATGGCCTGGCATGACTCAGGATCGCTGTCGATTTCCATCGCCATGTGGATCGAGCCGGGCCTTGCGACGGACGGAGTCCTAGAAAATGCTGGTATCATCATCATATCTTCGCACAGAGAGCCTCGCACCTGTGTAGTGAGGAGCCCTGAAGCTCGCGATGCATTGTCTCGTACAATGTCAACGCCATCCAACTGTGTATGAGGAGGCTATAAAATTCTAGCGTATCAGTAGCTTGGCTACAAGATCGAAACATGTTATCGACTTCAAGGCAGCGCTTGAGGCTCTGGGGGGACAAGAAGTCCATAGCAACTTTGATGCAAGGCGTGATGTTTGAGACCTTCAAAATAGTCAGGAACACTTTGACTCGTTGCGAATGGCTATCGTACCTGATGGGCGCATCCAGCTGGGATATAAACCACGTCCCTAAAGGACTGCTGAAATGTGAACGGTACAATGCCATGCTTTTCTCTGAGTTCCTTAAGGTGATCCGGTGTTAGGTAGACATGGTGGGCGTTGACTGAATCTCCTGCTCGATATTTCGCCGGCAATTTGAATCGAGACTTGAGGAAGCTATCAAGCAATTTTGTGTCCTCTGCCGTGAATATGTTCCACCGAGCTTCGCCATTGTTTGCCATGATATTCACAGCATCCGAAATATCCATGTGCAGGCGCGTACTTCCGTGCTGACGGCCATTCTGTCGACTTGCCATTGCCGCATAGATTTTCGGTCCTGCGGCTCATTAAATATACAACTCTACATATACATTGCTTGGCTCACCGAGATCAGGGACGCAAGAATAGTTGATAGGGAAGTGGTTTGCAATATTTAAAGGTCCACTGTCGCTGCAATACTCGGACACTGGTACGGCTGAGTTGAAATCGCGGGCCAGTTCCGATGCCTTCAGTTTCAACGTAGTTTCAGAAGGATAGTCCTGAGTAATATTCAAGCTATGACCTGCGGGCTCGGGCGATTCTTACCTTAAGCTTGAGTACGCGCCCTTGCCGACGTAATAGCTTAGTTCGCAGGAAATCGTCGACTAGACATTCTTCGTTGTAATTCCGATCTTCACAATCCACTATGGAGCAGTTGTCACTACCAAAGAGGGTGGCAAGAGATATCGGTGACCAGTCACATTGTAGATCTCCTCCGAATTTGACGACGAGTGGCATCCCCATCGACCAAAATGAATTGAATTCGCCTAGTGAGCACTGTTCGTGCAAAGTCGGCACCGCTCGCTTACTCGAATCCATTGCATCCTTGAGAATGGAGTCTAATGCCACAAGATGTTGCCCGTCGTGGGACTGAGGGGGGACGATAGGTAGCAACGAGAACGCGCGAAGCTGGTCTTCAAAATCCCGGAGTTCCATTGGATCCATGGCTGATGCCAGGACATTATCGACGCTACAGCATCCCCTCACCAATGCAGGGCACCTTAGACAGGAAAATGAACCGCAGGTCCTGCAAATCCAGGACACAACATCTAAAGGCCAGTCGCATGTATCTGGGAATTTCAATCAGTATCAATAAGAGGAGAAGTACTGTTAGCTATACCGCATAGATCCTTATAATGGCCTGATCGTAAAATAGGAGTGATTGGCCCTTGATAGGTATCGAGGGCTTGAACGCTTCGTCTCACCTCAGAGAGCAGTACTCCCGCGATGGATGTCTTCTCACATCCGGGTGAGCATCGAATATTACAGGTAATGTGATTCTCACTTTCAAATAATCAATATCTTGCCTCGTTATTCGAGGGGTAAGGGACTTTGCGTAGAGGAAGTCCGGGGTCGTCGAATCAGTCTTCTTCCAACGGGTATACCGACCCCCAAGCAGATCAACGCTGACACGTGAAGTAGACACTGCTACGCGTCGCAAATCTACAACGCTTGTCAAGAATATGCGGGTAATAAGTAATAGCTGCTGACTCCTTACTCTTAAAGCGGCAAAGTTCTTCTCCACCCTTCCGACATTCAAGGCAACTTGGCAAGGGGTACGCATACTTCTCTGCGAAACGCGTGCAGTTTGCATCTTGCAGGGTGTGTACAATATCCTCGACATCGAGGTAATCTTCTCTGGATGAGTCACTTGACTCTGACAAGTCGAAGTCCATGGAGCTGGAGGGAAAGGGCGTTAAACTAGACTACTGCATTAGGCAGTACAACAACACCGGCAGTACAACAACACCCGATTGCTCCGAGTTAGGGGTTAGCCTGGAGTACTATATTTGGAAGTGAAAATCCGAGTGCTTCAAGTTGTGTCACCCGCCGGGTTCTTCCAACGCCTGCGACGTTGTCCTCGTCTCAAAGTTCACACTACGCTACTATAGACGCCTAATCACCGTACATCGACTTCGACGGTTGCCTTTTCATGTCAGTCGAGGCGACACCACGGACGCTATGGGAGCGGAGCCTCATGGGCTGCGCATGCCATATAGGGGAACTCAGTTGCGACTCATGCGAGGCCTATCTCTATCATGTCTCCACTGGCTGGGGAGCGAATGAAAAAGGGCTACGAGATATCGTCAAAACTAACAATAATGCACCTCTGCTGCAGGCTCAGCTGTCTGAAATGGAGACGAAATTCTCCTCTCTTCAACCATCCATCGCCCGCATAGCTGATCTCGAAGATCAAATCCGCCGCCTCACCGATGAGAGAGATATAGCGACGAGATTGGTGAGCCACCTCGAAGCCAAGATATCAATGACGGAGAAAGAGTCTCCAACGGAATCGGGCCATCTTGACCAAATCCGCCTCTTAACTACCGAAAGAGATAGAGTAGTGAAATCGCTCAACGAACAGACGGAGCTCCTCAGAGTCCAGACCTCGGTGAGCGAGGCCTCGGATGCTCGGTGCTCAAGCTTGGCAGCGGCGAATGGGTGATAAAGTTTAGTCTGCCTATAATGCACTGTTCTAACATGCGATTATTCAGTCTTTTGATCCAAGAGAAACACAATCGCGATACGGAGATTTCGCAACTACGAAATGAGATTGAGTACGAGTCTATTAGTATGTCAATATCCTCAGGACTGAATATTATGTAGCGTACTTGTCTTGAAGAACAAGGAAATTTTGAATGCCCACAAGTATGTCTCTAGAATTGCAGTGTTGCCAATCTGACGAGTTCTGTTTGTAAATCAGCAAAGTCTTGCAGGACGAGCGGTCGCTCACTGCTGATTTGAGGGAAACCATACGGTTCGTGGAATACTCCCCATTGCTAGACACGATCCGTGAAAGTAACCCTTTCAGGCATCTGCAAAAGGTAGGTCAATTGGAGGTCAAGTCGACGACTGATGGCCATCATGGCATCGACAAGGACGTCCGCATCGAGGAATCGGGAGGCCAATCGAATCTTGATAACGCGACCGATTGCAATGACGATCGCTACGAAGAGAGGACCGTTGGCGCGCTGGACGCGTCTCACCACAACAACACCCATAGTCGCGACCACCACCACGACCTGGACGACACCGATAGCGGGGGTAACCCCAGAAAGCGCCCAAGGTATTCGTCGGCAGAACGTAAGTAGTGTCGTTATATCTATTATATTGTGTCTCACTGAGGATCAGTACGCGACACTCATGGGAAGGAGCCCGCTCTCGGTGACTTCAACATGCACGCAACACCACCGCCTTCTCCTCTTCCAATGGGCCCAATTATTGACTATCCAATGCGTTCGTTTTCGCCAGCTCCGACTCCAGATCCGCGGTTACCCAAAATCAATCCTATTGCCCGTCCCCAAATTGACCCTCTCAACTCTGAGTGGCGCATTCCGCCTAGCTGGGTTCCTGCGAACGCGCACGTATCTGTAGTCGATGGCAAATGGCGGGCCGGCTCTGATAAAGAAGACGCATTGCGGAACGAGGCACTTCATTTACCACCTCCAGCTCTTGAACCCCCTTTCGGTACAGGATTTCCTCAGAATATCGATCAAGTCAAGCAATATATGGAGCTAGCAAGTCAGCCAAATCAAGAACGCGCGTTAGCTTACGTTCTTTCTTGGGTAAAAGCCACGGAGAAGATACATCCATCCCAGTATTTCTCTTGGATGTCCTACCTGCGCCAGAATTGGCGGCAGCCACAATGGATCAAGGATAAACATCCGGACACTGTACGAAGCCGGCGCCCAGGTTCTGGACATGTCAAACGTCGTCGACAAAATAATAAGGTTGTCCCCGTTAGTCGTCCCCGCTGGGATGCCCCACTTGAAGATTGGGGGCACTATTTCTGGTCATCGCCTAAGACGGTCCGTTTCACAGACGGCCTTCGGTTGCCCAACAACAACAACGGCATCAAACTTCGTCAAGTTCGCGGCTATGTCATGGTCGCTTCTCGTGCGCCGTTTGAAGCCACTGAGAGGCAAATATGGCACCGAGCCTGTGCAGAGCTCTTGGCCTTTCCAAGGCGATACGAGGACTATGTCTTGAACGGGTTATCTATTTCGAATGGAAGGATAATGCAACCAGCGAAGGTGACGAAGAAATATACAGACGAGTCGGCCGCCCACGAGCTTGCGCGCCAAGGAGTCACGGTTGACGAAGTCCATGATGCTCAGCCGTACGGCTTCTTTTGGCTCCTCGACAACAGGTTTCACGCTGAGATGGGTCAGGGGATCAAGGAGCTTGTGAAGGCCATCAATGAAATTCCCAAACACGACATTGATGCAGTTCCTCGATTTGAACCACAAGTCTACCCGGAACCATCGAAAGTCCTGATCAGCGACTATAACCCGACAGAAGCGTCTTCGTCTCGCAGATCCATGTCGCAACCATCAGATGATGGAGGGGATGACTATGATTTTTATTGATAGCTGCTCCTGTATATACATACGATAAAACTTACATTTTCTTGTTTCTGATTCGCTGTGCAACTTCTGCGAGTGAATAACCAGTGTGTGGTGAGCTCTATATACATCAAAATATTCGGGAGGTCGCGCTTCAGCGCCCGCCCAGTGAGAACTATCAACCGTGGTTGAGCTCGTTTGGGATCTCTGGATGAGAATCAACGAGTCCATCGAGTCAATTCGCCCCCGATGACCAGCTCAATACAGCTCGTTTTAGGCAGATGAACCGATACCATTATAGTAGCTAATTTATGTCGCGCGTTGTACTTGTGGCGAGCATAAGTCAAACGTAAAGCTCACGTTGACGTCACAGCGTGCCGATATGGCTCGATATGGCTCTCTGGCTGCTCCGAACTTTCAAGCTCGGCAAATGCCGCATGTTCCATACGTTGTTGATTGCGGCTTCGAGAGTGCTCACTACTACACTCCATGCTCCAAATCTCGCTATCGAGACTATAGAAGCGCTCTGGACATGAGCTTGAGATGTCTCGAAACCGAGACTAGTTGATTCACCTCAAGCTTGAGAGAGTGCGGGCTTTGAGATGTCTCGAAATCGAGACGTGATGGACATTGATCCTGCCATCGAGCCCAAAAAGATGAAATACGTTACTTGCCACTGTCGTAGCCACTGCAAAAAGTGGAATCCTCAGACTCGCTGTTTTGTAGGAGATGGTAAACCAGTGTCTCGCGCTACACGAGATAATCATGTCCGGGACGACAAGCGTCTTGGCAGCGAGTTTGAAGAGGTCGCCATCACGGTCGCTGCGTCTAGTCCCGAAGACATCGGTGGTTGGCTGTACTTAGCGATGCACGAAGTCGCAGCAATGGCGGCTCTACCATCTTCTTCGCTCAGCAATCCATTGATCTTCATCAATAACCCCGCTACGTCAGGTGAATATGAGCTTCATATGGACCCACGGCAGCCCAATACGGGGATACATGCTCTACAAACACACAGACGATCCAACACTACCTTCCTCCACTCCGAGCTCCGTGTTGCCCATTTACTATCAAAGGCATATCTCTTCGCTCAATCCCAGGAAGTGGACACTCTCATCACCTCACTCGAGGACTATTTGCGTCAACTAGATGGCGACAAAAAACTTCACTGGTCGCAGCAACGGAACAGGAACACTGTCGACCGTAACGGACGATTGGTGATCAACACTGGTAAACTCCGTTTAGATTGCACAGCGATTGGCTCACAAGTTCATTTCTAGATGTCTACTTTGAATCTGTCATTCCTCTTGACTCTGTGCAGCAGGTTGTATACACAGTTTCGGCAATCATGCAAAATTTCTACTTTGTACCAAGAAAAGCGCTTCGCTTGCAAATCGCAGGGAATCGGGATCTGCTAATCTCATCTGGCGTACCCCGCTCGGTCGTTAATTCATTTGCCAAAGATCCACGAACAGCTACGACAACTTTACACATAGATCCCGTCCTTCGAACCTATGTGTCTTGTCCGACCTGTCATTCTGTTTATCCATATGACCCAAATGACAAGTCACCGCGTCATTGCATCGGCCGTGAAACCCCGCAAAGCTCAACCTGCAACGAACCGTTATGGAAAGAGTCTATTGTTGGAGGCCGTACCAGGATCGAACCACGCCTTACATACCAGCATCAGGATTTCCAACAATGGTTGGGGAGGCTCTTATCTCGTAAAGGCATTGAAGAAATCTTAGACGGTTATCCTGCGGGGCTTAATGCCACCCGACAGCCTATCTCGGATATCTGGTTAGCTAATGTCTTCCAGCAGCTCAAAGACCACGCGGGTAACCCGTTTCTATCTCACTCCCCCGCTGAGGGACGTCTGGTGTTCGGTCTATCAGTTGATAGTTTCGAGCCCAATTCCGCTAAGCCAGGACAAACCCCCAATTCCGCGACCGGGATATGGATTGTTTGTTATAATTTTCCGCCGCACCTTAGATATCTTCCCGAAAATATATACCTAGTTGGCATCATCCCCGGCCCCGCTAAACCTGATACCACGCATATCAATCCATATATTCAACTCATAGTCGACGAGTTTAAACCCTTCTGGCATCCTGGAGTATCCTTTTCGCGGACAGGGAGTTCGCCCAATGGCCGACACTACCTTGCGTTGCTCATTCCCCTCATTTGCGACATGCTTGGGGCTCGTCAGATCGCAGGGAAACCCGCCGCTATGGCCCATAATCTCTGTACCGTCTGTGATATCGATCACGACGACATAGATATTCTTGATCCCTCAGAATGGCCACCGAAAGACCGTCAGCAACTGCTCTTTTTTGCCAATCTTTGGAAGAATGCACGATGTACGGCTCATCAAAGTCAGATTTTTGATGCATACGGGCAGCGATGGTCCCCACTTTTCGATCTTCCTTATTGGGATCCCATTCGATTCATCGTCATTGACACTATGCACACCCTTGATATCAACCTCCTTAAGGGCCACCTCCGCGACATGTTCCGAATCGACCTCAAGCATTCAGGAGGAGATGGCGCATCTCACACCGCGACTGTCAAGGACAAAATGAACATCCCCAAAACCTACGTTGCCAAATTACCTGCCTGCAAGAAATTGATCGCAGAACATCCCCAAGATCTCCTCTACAAACTGTTAGAATTTCACCGTGCTATCCTTTATGTGATATGTGTAGAGAACACGATCCTGGGTGCCGCTTGTACCGAAGTAATTGGGACTCGGTGGATCTTAGCACAAAATATTGCTCGATGGGTGGGTGGATACTTTCTAGGCGCTACCACCACACCCCTAATACATTGTCTCAGCGAGCGGACGAGTCGAGCTCTTCTGTACAGAGATTCATACAACAGCAGGTCCCTATTGAAGCTATCACCCTCGAGGACCCCCTCGAGGAACCACCAAATATGTGGTTATCTGACTCGGATGATGAAAACCCGCAGGGCGTAGAGCCAAACGAAATCGAGCCCATCCCGATCGGAGGCATAATCGAGACCGTGCCGGCTGGCGTAATCGAGCCTATACCGGTGGGAGCCCCAATCAGAGTTGAAACTCCCGATCCTGCCCAAATGGTCAATGAAAATCTAGATTCTCAAAATATAGAGCGATACTCGCCGCTCACGCAAGACAAAAAGCTCCAGAGCACCATACGAAAGATATTGACACACCTGAGCTCCGATACGAAGGATATATCACGCGAGAGCATCTCCCAAGGATCGACGATCGACATCCTCCGCCATATTTGCCGTTTAATTGACATCGACGCCTCTTCTGTACCTACAGGTAGGCGTAATGTGAAAATTCCTTTGGTGAATGCCATCGTTGAAAAGGCTCGTAAATTTACATGCCCGATATGATTGAAATCTAACATGTCTCAACAGGCCATCACGGACGAAACTGTAACGACACTCCTGGCTTCCTTCCTTCCTGAACAAGGCTCCACGAGAACATCAGTATTGGGTATCGATATTATGAAGGAAATTTGGCAAGACATGGAACGCACAATGCTTCCCACTTGGACTTCCTACGTTCCCCATGATTGGGTCTCGCTGACAGACTTGAGTGCGAGTCAAACCCGTACACTATGCACAGTACATTTACCCATCACCTTGATCCGACTATGGCACGCTGCCGATGGTCGAATGAGAGAAATACTAGCAAATTTCATGGACCTCGTCACCGCCGTTGTAATCGCCAATATGCGAACCACTTCGCAAGATCAGATTGCTGACTATGACTTCCACATTGTTCGTTACATGCAACGAGCTCATCAACTCTACCCGGATGTGTCCATTAAACCAGTTCACCACGCTGCCCTCCATGTTGGAAGGATGCTAGAGGACTTTGGGCCTGTCCACTCCCACAGTTCCCCATACTACGAACGCTACATCAATTTTCTTCATCGTATGAACACAAATCGGAAGCCAGGTGAGTTAGCCAAGCCGCCAGGGTGAGTAGACTCAGCCAATGATGACATCACAGGTGGCCAACTCGAGTCTACGTTGATGGTGACATCTGCTCGCAATGCCAATCTCTCTGCCCTTTTGGCAGACAACACTGCCCTACGCAGCAAAGTATCTGGAATGGTTGACATTCTGGCCAAGTTCAGCCAAGAGGATCCACGGCGTCTTGCTCGGTTCCGCGAGTTCGAGCCCATGCAAGAGATAACATTGGGTCTTCAGGTAGAACTCGCACGTTTGGACGACCATTACTATCAGCTACTATGCAGCCAGCTTCCGGCCACTGTGTCCGCCCCCCGCAGTTTGTCATTCTATGATGAAATCGTGGTTCACGGCGTATCATACGGTTGTGCCGGTACTTCCAAAATCCGAAATAGTCTGGTCGTCTTTCGTCCTGCAGCAACTATAATCAATGCCGATACACCCATGTATGCTGGTGTCGTGGAAAAGATATTCCAATACTCCCCGCCGGCGTTTGCGGGTGTTTTCTTGGGGATCCGTTCCTTCCGCCCAGTGAATTCAGATCTTGATCCATACAGAAAATACGGATTTGCTGGTGGTTTCCTATCCTATAGGAATACGAATGACCACCATGTCATCCCGATATCAGCCATTATCTCGCACTGCGCTCTGACAAGTATGGGGGCCCAGCCCAGTCAAGAGCTTGTCCATGTCTTACCGCTGAATAGGGTAGGTTACATATACCCGATCGACCACAATGTTGCTAATCTTCAACCTGTATTCAGCTTAGGCAATCGTTTGAATCTTCCTGACTCTTGTACTCTTTTCAATCACTCTGCCATTTGTAAGGTACCTCTGCCTTACTACGCTTCCCCTGTCCTCCTAACTCCTGTATACGATACGAAGATCGCGAGCTTCCTTCACGCTTTGCCTTAGAGTGTTTCGTCCATACAGCGGACACCTTCCACCGATTCGCAACTACCTATTGGTGCGGTATCTTTGTAAGTATCAATTTAGCGGTCTCAGCGCTTAGACGGAAGCGATCTGAACGGTACATCTCATAAAGTGGATACCAGGCCCGCCAGGTGTTATCGGCGGGAGGGTATACGAAGATCCAGGCTAGTTATTCACCGATCTATAGCAGCGCCGTTGTACGACGAGCGAACAACAGCGTGGAATGGCAGGGTGGAGCCGAACCACAGCTAATGAGCATTCTATACGATGCGTACTCGTACTTACCTACTTAGTCCTGCATTTCTTCCGCAGCGTGTTCCGGAGAATATACAAGATGTCATTTACGACAAATGCGGTGACTAAAGCGGGCACAAGGAGACGGTGAAGTGCTGTACAAGTAAGTAGCGATTTACAGTAGGTATTATCGTTGCGATTGCTAAATGGTCGTATGCGAAGACAGTGATGAAATGCAGGTTCTGAGTGGCTAGTTGATACAAGTTGGGTATGATGCGTGAGATGAAGATGCGTGTAGGTAGTGGAGATGTCATGAAAATGTTTCGAAGTGGTGTTGGTGTTGGGCGAGAATGGTTTGCAAAATGATGGTATGTCTGGAGTAGCACGAAGGCCGGCGTCTACGCCAAGAAAGTATGTGCAGCAAAGTCGAACGAAATGAATGACGGGGCAAATTCTAATGCTACAGGACCCAAGATTCAGTGGCGCGCAAAGGGAATGCAAAGTGACGTACGTTTGTTTCTCGGCAGGGACAAAGGAAGTACCAGACGAGGGCCATCACCATAATGGCCAGCAAAAGCAACACAGAAAGTAAGCGTCACGAATTCGTTCCTAATAGTGAAGGCCGAGTGCCGCACGCTATGGCGACTGCGCAATCGAGTCTCGCTATCGAGACTGGGCATTAGCCTTCAGCTTGAGGGGTCTCGCTGTCGAGACAGAACATTTAAGTTGCCCTTGAGGCCTCCCACCACACGATCCCACGCCACCCCCTACACTAGTGCGTCGCAACTCGTTACTCCCCCAGCGATCCCTGAGCCAGTCTAATGAGGACTTATATATATGATAAATTTCATGCTATAAACCCCGCATGCGTGGGTTGCGCGCAATGTCATTGATAAATATTGATTTCGTACTGTGCTGTATTACCAAAAGTGGTAGTCCAGCCGGCACACTACTCAAAACGGTAGTCCACCAATATTGCAATCCCGACTGCGAAATTCGGCGAGCGCCGCGTGGCGTGTTGTCAACAACACGAGTATCAATCGAGGCTGGGCATTGGCCTTGAGTTTGGGTCTCGCTATCGAGACAGAAATTTGACCTTGAGCGTCACGATGCGCGCTGGCCTTGAAGAGTCTCGATACCGAGACAGAATAAGTCACACATATCCGATCATGAGGAGTCTCGATACCGAGATAAATCCAAGTCAATGCATGCTCTGCATACGTGCTGTTCATGTCTTCGAATCTCGCTTTCGAACGAGACTGAATATTGGCCTTTGTTGGCCTTGAGCTTGAGGGATTCCCATGTTGGCCTTTGTTGGCCTTGAGGGATTCCCTTTGTCGTTTTGTAGCTACGAGATCAAAAGACGTGGGGCTCGTTTCGCTCCTTTATACCCCCATCTCGCACACCCTTAGACTTACCACCACTCTATCCCATGTCTGCCTCTACCGTTGGTGAAGCAGTGATGATTGCTGTCGCTATGGCGGCTACAAGGTACCTTCCTTCGACGGCTCGAACAGTACGTGCGCATGGTTATTTGGTCTAAACTTCTTTCCTTACAAGCATGTATTGTGTAGCCACGTCCAGGAAATATCAACCAGCCCGCCGTTGGCTCCGAAGAGCGAGATATCAATGATACCGTGTCCCCGATCCCCGCTCGTGCCGCTGAGAAAGAGCCAGCTGTACCATTATCTACTATCGATGGCACGCCGTCGCACCCCGAGCCCACTGAGATGGGTATATCAGGCTGTTCGCCCAATGACCCCACAATTGAACCAGCCCCGGTTCTCATAACAGGCCCTTCCAATGGCCAGTTACGGGTGAGCAAACAAGCCGAAAGTCCTACGGACAATAACACGAAGCATGCCATCCACCCGCCTCTCCACCCTATGCGAGACATTAATCGGACATCCCTTCCATCACCAGAACATCAAAATCTTCCGCCCCCTCAGACAGGTCGGTCTTCCCTAGAGCCTGAGCCTGTGTCTGCTTCGCCCCAGGCAATTGCAATGTCCCCCCCGAGCTCGAATGCCGAAATACTTGAGGTTCCTCTGCCGCTTATTCAACAGGATGGTTGTCATTCGGAGCCCTCGTCGCCTTCCCCACAGGCTATTCCAGCATTAGATTCCGAGGCAGCTGAAATCAACCCGGACATTCCAAGGGGAGGAGGGACTGAATCTATAACAGATCCTGAGTGCGACATTCTCGTACCAGCTTTATCGCGACTTTCTCTCCACCCTGTCCCCTGTCTCTGTGTAAATCACGCAGACCCGTATTGTGCTATAGGTCGAAGTGCCCGAGTCACCTCCCGGTCTCGTTCGCATACTCAGGTGAGAAAGTCTGGCTCATTTGGTTTCCGTTGAACTCATGTGTCCGTGCTGGCACAGGCCATCGAAACGGAGCTAGGGATCCTGGGTAAGAAGGTACGAGTGGGGAAGGCCCTTCTGGCGAACCTAGTAAGTAGTGTTATGAGATCCATTGCGCCGTTGTTGTTGACTTCTGACTAGAAGTCCATCTTCAATACTCATCGGAGGAAAGACCAACGCCAGAAGCAAGCTTTGAGACACGCTGTGAGTTCGTTCGAGACTCGTTTCCCTCTTAGTTGATCTCTAATTCGGATTCAGTTGTCTGTGCTCAAAATACGTAGGGCGCGTCTAGTAGCACAGAATCATGAACTCAAGGTCGAGGTTAGGTGTTTCGTTCTCAAGAGTCCGTCAATTGCAACTTATACTTGTACGCATCAGAATCAATATAGAAATAACCTGGAATTGATAAATCGAGAGCTCAAGATAGGAATAGAAGACGCCGAACAGCAGGTCCGTTGTCACGAAGTTCGTGATTTTTCTTGCATCTAACCACCGCTTTGATTGTTCCACAACTCCGAAATATAATCAAATTGCAGAAGACTATAATTGAGGCCCGTCTTAGCTCCCTCCAGACTGCGCACGAAGAGCTCATAAGGGTCAAAGACGACGCCGAGCAGGAGGTGCGTAGTGAAATCCCGGCGTAACTGTTCCTGACCTTCTTCAAGATCACCGGCCTACAACAACAGATAGAGTCGTCCAACCGGGAGCTTGTTCGAACCAGAGAGGACGCCGAGCAAGAGGTGCGTATACGAAGTGAAATCCTGGCGTAACTGCTCCTGACCTTCTTCAAGATCACCAGCCTACAACAACAGATAGAGTCGTCCAACCGGGAGCTTGTTCGAACCAGAGAGGACGCTGGGCAAGAGGTGCGTATACGTGGTGAAGTTCTGGTGTAACTGCTCCTGATCTTCTTCAAGATCACCGTCCTACGACGTCAGATAGAGTCTCTGAAGCATTCTGTATCGATTGAGGTTAGTCTCCCATCACATTCACCCGGTTTCACTTACATATATTGCCACTCAAGTCTGCAGCCTTACAGACGTGCAAGCGGGAACTTGTTCGAACCAGAGACGACGCCGAGCAAGAGGTGCGTCGTGGAGTCGCGACGTAACTGTTCCTGACCTTCTTCAGATCACCGGACTAAGACATCAGATGGAGTCTCTGAGGCATTCTGCATTGAATGAAGTTATTCCGTCCTGCATTCATCCGACTGAGCTGACATCATGTCCAATTCAGTTACAGGAAATCATTAGTACACACGACAGGAAGGAAGCCTTAGTGAGTCGAAATACCATACTTTACTTCGCTAGCTGAATTTTTAGATGAACATGCATGTGCAAACAGAAATCGAAGTACAGAGGCGAATGGTTCAAACTGAGGTCACAGTTCCCTTCGCCGCTGGAGTGCCTGTTTCTTATTCTCATATCAGGCCTTGGAGCATATTGTAGCAATGCAAACGGAATTCGGAATCCTGGCCAAGGAGGTGAGTCGCATGATATCATAACCAGAACGATCTTCTCACCGCGGGCAAGCTCGAAGCTCGTCATCAACTGCCACTAGTGGAGGTGATAGAAAGACTTCAATCCCAGGTCAGTGTTCGTATCTTCAAATGATTTGCAACTGAATGGCACCGATGGTAGATTTTGGAGCTTTCTTCGGCTGTGCGATGGGCAGATTTGATACAGGGTCGCCGTAAGGTCAGCTCCTTCATACGCTTACGTTTGACATCGACTCGTCGCCCGACTTCTCATACATGCACGCAGTTGCCCCTTGTCGAAACCAGAGCTATGCAAACAGAGCCTTTGCCGAGATTGGACAAGAGTGTCCAGCTTCATTGCACGCGCACTGGTCAAACCCAAACGGAGTCTTTGCCGAGATTGGACAAGAGTGTCCAGCTTCATTGCACGCGCACTGGTCAAACCCAAACGGAGTCTTTGCCGAGATTGGACAAGAGTGTCCAGCTTCATTGCACGCGCACTGGTCAAACCCAAACGGAGTCTTTGCCGAGATCGGACAAGAGTGTCCAGCTTCATTGCATGCGCACTATTCAAACCCAAACGGAGTCTCCACCAACACTAACACAGGAGGAAACGCAGACAGAGCTCCTTCAAGGATCCACGCACCTAGAGACTCAGCCCAGTCACAGGGCCTCGCCCTCGGTGGCTCCGATGGCTTCCACTCGCGTGGTGTCTATCTCTACCTCAACCACTCCGATGACTCCCACTCGCAGGGTGTCTACCTTGACCTCGACCACTCCGATGACTCCCACTCGCAGGGTGTCTACCTTGACCTCGACCACTCCGTTCACTTTCAGGATGACGGACTCTCCAGGCCGTGCTATAACCCACGCTGGACAATGGAGTTCCACCGCTCGCAGGATCTCTATCGACTCGGCCGTGCAAACCTTCGAAGCGCGTATCAGAAAGCGGGGACGATCTGCCTCATATAGCCCCCGAGATAATACTCGTGGTAAGATAGGCCTCACTCAGAACCGTCTTGGTCATGTGCCAGGCCGTGACAATGTGTGATGAAACCGTTCAAAACCCCATACAAAAGCTTAAGCTCGCTAAATCAAAATTCCGTCCGCAAGAGATTGTTAGAAATGAAAATTGGCAGATTTCCTTGCGACCAGAATTTTGAATTCGAGGCGTACAGAATTTGAACTGAGTTTACAAGTTTCCTTGCCTCAGTTTGGTCATAAGCACGGTTGCCATATTAGGCACGGATAACCCTTGCCTCCCAAAGCGCGTCGCGTCGCGACCACTGACACACTACACACAATCTTTCAATGCTATTTTACACTCCATATAATGGGCTCTAAACGAAAATGGAACCTTAAGAATCTAGGCAACTGGGTTGGCTACTCACCAAAGACAAAAAAATCGAAAATAGACGAAAATAAAGAGAATGTATGTCATCTTCACCTTTCTGCAGTATGAAAAATGCCTAAAGCGCCCCATTGAAGACTCCAATATACCCGGAAACATCGAAGAATGCCTCAGGCCCTCTCAACGACGCTTCAGCAAGCAGTTTCCACAGCAAACACTGCCCACATACCTTTTCACTTCCACACACTCCTATTGAGGCCAGCCAGGCTCCTGAGCCAGCAGCGACAGATTGGCAGCGCAAAACGAGAGCTCCTGCTGCTGAGAGCGACGTAGAAGGACCTTTGGGTGAGTCCGACTACACCAATCCTGAAAGAGAAGCAAGTTTCTGAGCGCAGATGAATAAACTTTCCGCCGCCGCCTCTAGCTCACCCACCTGAGGAAGACATAGAAGATGGATGGCTCGATGATTCAGACGATGAGGGAGTTGGTTGCGGAGATGAACCGTTTGATCACGAAGACGATGAAGACATCGACGAGCCAAATTTAAATGCAGATGCTAGAGATGACGAAAGCGGTGAAGGCGTCGAAAGCGAGCATTCCAATGTGCCGCTGAGCTTGCCTGCTGATGACGAGAATGAGAACAGACATGACATCATTGCAAACGAAGACAGCAGCTACAATCCTGATACGCACCATAAACCAAAGTATGCCGGCACATGGATACCCGCTCCAGATCTTGACGCGGTTAAGGCTGCGCACGCTGACCTCGAGGCTATTCTTAAACCGAAGAGGAAGAAGGGGTATGGTCATCAAGATCCTGGTCTGGATCACGTCGTCCGCGAACGCTTTGAGGCCATGCGTCTGTTTTGCTTCAATGTCATCAGCTTTCAGACAAAGAATCCTCACACCTCACAATGGACACAGGCATCACTCTACACAGCCAAAAGCCTAGGACACGGCCCTTATCAAGCCAAACTCCTTCGAAATTGGACACGGGAGTTTGTTCTTAATCGTGAATTCATTCCCGAGCACAGCTGGAAAGGCGGATTAGGCAGGAGCCACTTGGATGATGAGGACTTCGCACAGGAGATCAACCTGCACTTGCAAGGCCTTGGACAGTGGATCCGCGCTCAGGATATTGTCGACTATGTCTCGCGCCCTGATGTTCTCGAAAGGCTGGGCCGCCAAAAGCCGATCTCACTTGCAACGGCGCAGAGATGGTTGGCAAAAATGGGGTACCGTTGGACCAAAACACCTAAGGGTCAATACAGCGACGGCCACGAACGCATCGATGTTGTGAGGTACCGAAAGGAGGTCTTCTTGCCGGCCATTGCCAAGGTAGAGCCTTCGATGCGGAAATGGAACAACGATGGTACTCAGGAAGTGGAGGAAAACCCGCCGCCTCGTCGCAAAGTCCTGTGGTACCACGACGAATCAACATACTATGCACATGACCGTCGTCGAGTCCGTTGGGTCCACAAAACGGAGAAGGCAGTGCCGCTTGCGAAGGGAGAAGGGCATTCATTGATGGTGGCTGCATTTGTCTCTGCGGACTACGGGTGGATCTGCCTGCAGCTTTTCCGTGCAGGAAAGGCGCGTGATGGGTATTTTGACAACAATGATGTCCGTGCCCAGTTCAAGAGAGCTATGGAGTATGTTAGGGAGCATTACCCAGACGACAATCACAAATTCGTTTACGACAACGCGAAGACACATACAAAACGAGCCGAGGGTGCACTTTCAGCATCCAAAATGCCAAAAGGCCCTTCGTCAACTTTTGGAGTTGATGTTAATGTGATGGGACCCGATGGCAAGCCCGTCTACGACACTGATGGGAAAATCAAGAAGGAGAGAGCCCGCATGGCCAACGGGAAGTTTGCGGATGGGCGCGAGCAAGACTTCTATTTTCCAGAAGGGCATAATCGTGCTGGTCAGTTCAAAGGGATGGCAGTCATCATCGAGGAACGGGGGTTCAGCGATATCGCCAAGAAGAAGGCGCAGTGCGGGAAGAGCTTTGGCAATTGCCCAGAAGGAGCCACTGACTGTTGCTGCCGCCGGTTCCTCTACAACCAACCTGATTTTGTGCACGTCGAGTCTCTTCTCGAGCAGGACGCGAAGGCGATGGGATTCCAAGTCATTTTTCTCCCAAAATTCCATTGCGAGCTGAATTTCATCGAGCAATGTTGGGGATACGCCAAACGGCGTTATCGGATGTATCCGCCCTCATCGAAAGAGGAAGACCTTGAGCGGAACCTTCTCCAGTCTCTTGAGGAGGTGCCTTTGATTGCGATGCGAAGGTGAGCACTTGTGATCCAGGCTCTGATTACTGTGTTACTGATGAGACTTGATGCAGATTTGCGACTCGCTCACTTCGTTTCATGGATGCGTACCGCAAAGGACTCAACGGCGCAGAAGCGGCTTGGGCTGCAAAGAAGTACCGCGGCCATCGCACAATCCCTGAGAACATCCTGTCTCAGATTGGTACCCTTATGAATGCTCCTCGACACCGATAATGATTTTACAACGACATTATGACCATTTATGACCATTAGATATATTTTAAAACTACTATAATTCCCATTCTTTGAGTATATACAGAGTAACCTTAGTGCAATAGTACCGTAGTACTTAGCTTTGTCTATAATAACCCCTGTCGAGGCTGCTAAGCTCTGCGTAACGGAATGTCACAAACTCACATGACCAAGACGGTTCTGAGTGAGGCCTATCTTAAAAAGCGGAAGGCCATTGAGGGCGATGTTGCTGATGACGCTTCTGAAAGTAGCCGGGAAAGAAGACCAGTTGTGACATCGGCAGATGTGCAGAGACTTAGCGCGAAACAAATTAGCCAATTGCTGGCTACTCTCAAAAAAGTGGGTGTAAAGTTTCCCAACACAAAGTCACCCAAGATAGAGACCCGTCGCAAATGGTTGTCCGACGCTCTCGCTGGGCCTATACCAAAAGCTACTTTCGAAGCTCTTATTGAACTTGGAATGAACATGATTTAGAAAGACACTAGGTTACATTTCTATCTTGTAATTGATCTTGCGCCCATTCTTTCTCGCTACAATGTAAACTAGACAAAAATTGAAAACAGGCTGCTATGACTGGTATGGTTACTGTTTTTCTATGTGAGTAAGGGCCCCCAATCGCGACGTCCCGACGGAGTTCGGCCCACAATACTCAACTGGGTAATTCCGCTCACAATTTATAGGCAATTGTCGCGCACGGTAACATTGATAGATATTGGTGTCTGCACTGTATTACCAAAAGTGGTAGTCCAGCCAGCACGCTACTCAAAACGGTAGTCCACCAATATTGCAATCCCGACTGCGAAATTCGGCGAGTGCCGCGTGGCATGTTGTTGCCAACACTCACCTCAGGCGAGTCTCGCTATCGAGATTAGGCCTTGAGCTGGAGGAGTCTCGCTATCGAGACGGGTTCACGATATCGAAACATCGACCAAGGAATGCGCGCTGGCCTTGAGGGTCTCGATACCGAGACAAACCAAGTCGTACATTATCCGAGTACGATGTGCGCTGGCCTTGAGGAGTCTCGATACCGAGATAAAACCTCTGCATACGTGCTATGCTTACCATGTATATTGATACTGAGGGATCTTAACTTGAGTCATGGTCACCCAGGCACTCTACGACTTATCAAGTGCGATTAACAGTGTGCGCAGTCTGGACGAGCGCGAAGTCCAACAACCATTTTGGCTCAGTGCGCAGATTAGCAAGGACACCCCCCTCGTTTGTCGAGTCCCGTCGTCGTCATCGCGAGTGTCGTTCGAGGCTGCATCGACGACCACGTGTGGCTATGGTGCTGCATCTAGTGAGTTTCGCTCTTCTGGATGCGAACCGACGTCTTACCCTCATAGAGCTCTTCGTCGAGCACGTCGATCGTGTACCTATGCATGCCGACGTTTTCAGTTGACTATGATAGCTAACTCGCTCGGCATCTCCAACCCTCCGAGACCGTAGTGAGGCTTCGCAACGGGGCAGAGCGCTCTTTCAGCCAGCTTGAAGACACCGCGCGTGGGTAGGGTGTGGTCGTCGGTGACGTTTGACGGCGATCGCGATCAAGATTGCTATGCAACTCGAACTGTATGGTTGCGAACACGAGAGTCAGGATGCCTAAGACGCGCGCAGTCAAATGGGGAATTAGGCACGAGTGATCGTGTATTTTTCAACACCGACTTCGACACTTTGGACACGACTGGATCCACTCGACGATCGGTAGGCGCGCTTCGTTCAATGGTGCAGACGTGGGCCGATCTCGAAGCAGCGAGAGCATCCAATGCCAGGTCAGGACGATGCCATCAGCGTCATGCGAAAACGAAGCAAGGATGGGATGATAAGGGAGGCGTGAGCCTGCAGGAGGATCATGCCATGATTGTGACACGTCGGTGTCGTCCCTTGGCCACCACTGAGTGAAACTGAGTGTGACGAACATTGGGGGTGCTCCAACGGCGAGTGAGCCTGCGAGGTGAGTGTGTCCGTACACAGATCACACGACGTTGACGAACAAGAGGCGCGAACACATGCAGCACAGATATGGCACGGGAAGTAGATGGCGCGCTCGCACACTCCCAATCCCACTCCACGATCGAAACGAAACGAACGAGTCAGTGACGCGGGGGGGAGTAGGTGTGATACGACGTACCCCACTAGTGCTAGCCATTACCCTTGACCCCCTACACAAACGAATCTCCTACCCACGCGACCTCGCACTCCAGCGTCGAGACGCCTTGATTGATGATTCGACATGCCCGCCGCCAACGGTTGAACAGGATTGGGCGGGCTAGAAACTGGAGAAGACATGATTCGTAGTCGGTACATTAGGGCGCCGTAAGTAGTTCCGTCGTCGTTGGCGCTTGAGCACAATGTGCGAGCAGAGTGTTCCGTGTGTTACTCAGTCACAACCAACTTCGTGCAAAGACCCATCAATTGACAGTGAGTGATGCGCTCCCCCAGATCCAGCTGACCCCATCCTTCTAAGTTAGATTTCCTCTATAAATCAAGCATGCGAGCCTGGTACTCGCCCGATATTCCACTCCCTATCGCTTGGCTGGCCTTCGTAAAGGCCCTGGTGCGCAACTTCAACGTACTACGCCCTTTGGACAACGTAGTCGTCATGTAAGTCTCATGAACGTTTTACTGATCTAGGCGCGGGTATTAATTTTTATATACATAGGGACGCTTCAAGGACACCTCCCGGGGTAGTATCAGCCTCTATCCACGTTTTTCGCGGCGAAAACGGCGGCGATTGGGTCTTGACCATCACGGTCGACGACGACGACGACGACGACGACGACTTGGTGTCTCGACGTGGGTTTGGGCACCAGGTAGTGCCGTTTAACGCGGTGACTTACGCGGAAATCGAGCCTTTCGATGTACTCATTGCGTATCTCGTCTGCCTGCTCTTCTTGTAGTACTTTGGAGTACACCCGCCATGAATACATTAATGCACGCGCCATCTCTCGTCAGTTCATTACGCATGAGGACTCAAAGTACTAATGTGACTTGAACTGGTTCACTTCCATTCCGTACAATATTTTCATCATATATTCTATGTACAATAATCTGAATACTTTACAATGTATTTCTAGCATATCACTGCTGATGATAATTAGGTTACCATCTTCGTCAATATGCTGGAGATACGAGTGCTTATAGCCTGATTATACGTCATCAGGGATATGATGACTATATCGGGAATGATATTCAGAATATCATCAGCGTATTGCTGACAGATAGGGGGCTGATGATATTCTGAATATTAACTGTGGTGATATTGAGAATAACAACCTCAATATCATTGGCATATTTCTGTAGGTAAAAGGCTGACATTAATTATATTTACTCTTTTATAATGACAATCCTGATATTTGAGAAGTAGTCTCAATAATTCTGGGGATGATATGATGATTTATAAGTTGAACAATAATTTAAATAAATTCACAATATCTACGGTGGGAATATGCAGAAGATGGTTGTATTAACATCAAGGTATTGTCTTCATATCTCGCGCGTTTTTATAGGCGTTTGCCCGCAGTGATGGGATGAGCTGGTCATTGACTATGTCGGGATCCCGTTGTTTGCGGAGTTGAAGAAGTTTCCGTCGCGCACCCATATTGTCAGCCAACGGTTCTTAGAGGAGCTCTGCGAGCGTCTAGAAGACGCAATGGAACAGCTGGAGGACTATGCCAAGATACTCTTATCCGATCCTCTTCGACGCAATCAGGACTCCGTGGTACTACTCCCAGCAGTGGGGAAGTGGTGGAGATGGCAAGTGATGCACCGAAGTGAGACCAGCCTGGAGAGACCCCAGACCCCAGACCCAGTCGAGCTTGACGAGAGCATGGACCAATCTGAGCCGGAGGAGACACACAATGAAGTGGCTGATGTCGATTGGTCTCCGGATGGGGGCGACACAGAAGAAGAAGACGGAAAGGACTAAACTGACCAAGGCACAGCGGCAAGCGATCGCGAAGGCGGAGAAGGACAAGAAAGCTATTGAGGCTCGCATGAAGAAATGGGGGCAACAGCCCGAGGCGGGTGGAGATGAGCCTCCTCCCTTGCGGTTTCTGGACCAGGGCGAGGCGCTTGAGAAAGTCGTCGATGACCCCAACGATATCGTGCCCCTGGAGGATTATTGGTCCGGTCTACTGTTTCTCGGCAGTGCTGCATCCAATCGGCGGATGTGGTACTTGAGCACCTATCTGACCTCGATTGCCGCAGCGCGTGCCACCGATTCCACCAAGGGTTAGATTATACCAAGATAGCCGCGCCGATGCACCGTCGTTATCTGCCAACGACACAATGAGGGCTAGGGCTGGATGGGCACACGCATTCCAACACTTTCGACAGTGATAATCGCGCACCACACCCTTTACCACTCCTCGTCGAACGGTCACCAAGGGACCCCAGCGCTGGCACCAAGGCGAGATGGCCGAGGTAAGGCACGGAGAGGACGAACCGGTGGACACGAGCAGGGACACGCACGGATGCGGGAGGCGGGAAAAAGAAGCCAGAAAGAGACGCACCGTCGACGCAAGCCATCTCGTGTGCCGTGCACCGTGCGCCTCGATTGATTGTCACAGCGAGTCTGGGCCAGCGGCGGGGACTGTGTCCTGCGTTGAGGGGGTCTGCGGCTGCGGACTGCGAGGGAGGATGGCGGTTAGCGGGTGACAGTAAGCCACAGAAACGAGGGGAACAAGAACGCGAACAAGGGCGAAATGCGAAAGCTGGAACGAGAGCGAGAGTGGGGACGAGATGCATGAACGAAACACTGAACGACAACGACAACGGAGGGACTTACCTCGCCTCACGTCAACCCCAACCCATATCCCACCACATGCATACCCACATCCGAATCCACGTTCCCACCGTGAGTCGCTGGGGATGAGACCTGCGGAGGGGTCGGTGGTGAGTACGCGTTTGAGCTGGGAACGTGGACGTGCGGGTTTACCTCAGTGCGGTAGACGACGTTGATACGATCGCGATGGGGACACCGATATCGGTTAGGGCGTTCAGAATGCGTATATTGACTCGAATGGCGTACTCTACTGTACGAACCCCGTATGTTGACTCACCATACCCATACAGCGTGTCCGACTTCCCCAACCCATAGCACCGCCCATCATCCCCTTCGCCCACGACGAAAGAACCCCCTGCCTCGGACACCCCAGTCGCAACGCCGACGACTGAATGGCCACTCACCTCACGCCTGGATGCGTTGCGCTGTGACTACAAACGACACCGAAGTCCTAGAGACCACGCTTGGGAAAAGGAGACGAATACCAGACTCACCTGGGCAGCAATCACGGTAACACTCTCGACGCAGCTTCGTCGCCCCCTCCCTGAAGAACACCACGACCGTCTCCAAAGACGATGATACACGCCAACACGACACGATAATAGATGATGCAGGCGTGGGGCTGCTCGCGAGGCTGCGACACCCTTACCAGGCCGGCGCGAGTCGGGGAAACGGGCAAGATACGAAGACCAGCAGGTGGCGGAGACGTAGGGAGGGGTTAGACGAAGGGTGGCAGCGGGAGAGCCAACAAGGCATTGGCGTCGACGATGATCAGACCAGAAGGCGCAGCAGAAGGTGAGTACCAGTCACGTACAGAGGGCAAGTCACTTAGCATCGTATCCCGTCCCGCAGCGCCCGCTCTGTCCTCCCATTCTCCATGCTCCTCGTCGACCACAACCCGCCATTCACACCACCTTTGCCCGCTACGCACGCCGTCTTGCGCGGCATGAACCACCAACAGAGGACGACGCCGCTGCTGGAGCGCCATCAAGAGAGGCGTCGGGGACCGAGCACGTCCTCGACGACGACAAGAGGGAAAGGCTGGAAAACAGACTTCAGCAAGTGCCTCGGGATGTCCAAAACGACGACAAACTCACCAAGTGACACCAGACGAGGTGTCGTGAAGGGTGTTACGCCAGAGGAAGAGCGGCTGCGGCAAGTGAGGTCGTACGAAGTTGGGGCCAAGGGACATGAGGGACGCTATAAGGGTCCAAGCGACCTCGACCTCGACTCCAGCGACCTTCAAATCATGGTCGCCGGATCGCTTCAGCAGCTGCGTTGCTATATCGAGTATCTTAGCAGAAATATCGTACGATACGTAAAGCGGCCTTTCTTTGACGATGGATACAAGCACTGCAAGTCTGTATGCATGCCCTAATGCTCGCAAATTGATATCCAAAGGAGCCGTCGGCGACAGAATGGAGGTGAGGTCTCTTTGAAGCATGTTGGTGACGCCGAGAATGGTTCGTCGTAAACGGAGCGGGTTGAGTAGCAGAAGCACCTCAGTGCCCAGGAAGCGTTGACTCGAACGGAGTGGCTGGGATGAGTGAGGAGCGTCACCAGTGGCTCGGAAACAGCGTCCTGAACAGGCGATGGGGCGTTCCCTAACTGCTGCAGCAACCCCGCTACATCTCGCAGGGCAACAACGAGTATAGTCGACGACGGCGCGACTTGACCCGGCATCATTGCCGGCCAGCGCTTTAGATACGAATTGGAGAGTTCTTGTATCGCTCCGATCTGACCTTGTTCGCTGAGCATCCGCACACCGATTACATCCCGAACCAAAATCCCAACCGCATTCCGAATCAACAAGGTCTCGTAACGCAGGGTACTGCCGCCGTTCAGGTTGTTGTTGTCGTGAACGTTCTTGTGAAGCAGAGGGTTGGCCACGATGTCGTTCATGATATGCTGATACCGACGCGTGTTTTGCGAGCGGCGAGGCCAGAAGATGAGTAAGGGTCTTGGTGAAATGGGTGCCCAGGTGGGCCAGCATCTCTGCTGGCGTGAACATCGGTTTCTTGATTTCCGTACTCGTTCCGCCTGTAGGAGAGAGTGGATCGTCGCCGAGAGCCTGTCCATCTTTCTTAACGACCATTGCAACAGGTTCTTGGATTACGACGGTACGCTCTATCGTAGAAGCCGGAAGACGTCCCACTAGTTGGGCAAGGGTACGTCAGGTAACCTGGTCTACGCTGTCTAAGTTCACGCATAGTGTGATGATGGTGTCGACGTCGCTTGAAGAAGGAAGACTGTCGGCCGAGTACATAGCGATGAGGACCTACTTTCTTTCAGAGCTAAATAGCGAAGAGAACGACATGATCGTACTTCGGCGGATGCTCGCTGCACAGGCATACGCTTTCCGTCAGTCCATTTCTCATTTGTTTGATGATGTCTTCGGCAGACGCATCTGTCACGGCGCGCTTCGCTGAATTTGACGATTTTCGGAGGGCGACCAGCGCGTGGCATCGAAGGAGAGGAGACTTTGGAATGGGTTTTGATTTCCTATCTAACGGGTTGTGGGAGAACTCACGTTTGAAGACTTCGCCGTTCTCAGAGTTACCATTGATATCTCGGCCATGAAGGACATAACCTAAGCTCCCAGGTAGACCGGAAGCGTACCAAGAAGAGTCGGAGGGGGTACCTGGGACCCGAATTCATACATTAGGTCGCCGATACACGAAAAAGCAGCACTACACCAGTATCAATAGGTATTCGAGGGGATCGGAATGGGGACTCACACTTGGACAGTGTCCTTGTCTACCGTTTTGAGATCACCAACTATCTTCATCAACGCCTGGAGCGTATCAAAAAGCGTCCGAGTCTCCCCTCGCCGATATAACTCAATTAGACATCTTGCAACCAGCTGGCGAATTGCGCGACGGGTCTCAGTTCACATCGCCGCAACATCGCCGAGTTGGGTATTTGGTTTGGCGCTCTTGACAAACAAGAATGGTGATAAGCGCCGCCTGCTCCCAGATGAGCCCTCCGCGCAAAGTTACGAAGCGAAAAAGGACAGGAATAGCGTAGCCCGTTTTGTTTGTCTCCATGCTCCCTTCAACACCGTCTGCACACGCGTCTTGGCATTACGCCAGTCCCATCACCACGTCAAAGTCTAATATGGCTCTCGCTTCCGCTATTCCACCTCAATGTGCTCTTGCGCTTCCATTTCGGCCCATCAGCCGGAGACGTCAGCGTAGGTTACGCGCCAGGATTTTGCGTATAGTCGTGCAGACCTGCGTGGATTCGGGTATGTAGTAACCACGAGCGTGTTTGAGTCAAGGTCGTGGCCAAGCTCCGGAGGTTTCAAGCAGCCGATGATTCATGATTCTTCGGTTTACTGGAGCGCGCTAGCTGGAGCAAACAAGACCGTTTGGAGTTCGAGAGGTACGGGCGATGAAGACGTCGGATATGGTCATTTCTTGACTGGAAAGGAATCAGGGCACCATGGCGCGACCTGAACCTACGCAATCGACGGTGAGTGTTTGTCTCTTCCTTCTGTTCGTGTACTCACCCGGTTAACGCCATCTTAGCTGAGGCCAGCATCCTCGCTCTCGCGCGCCCAAGTTCTCCTCCGTCTTCGAGGCTTGTCCTCAGATTCAGAAGCTACGCTTAATCGGAACAGTACAGTACTCAGACAGGGAGAGCTTTAAATGCTCCTCGAACTGATTGTCGCGATAACGTGATGGTACAGAGGTGAATGGTTGTGGGAGTACGTGTGCTGAGTGTCCATGTAGCCGGGGAATTTGGCGCACAAATGACTGGGCATAGAATGGGCCAGCGCTCTCTCTATGCGCTGATATAGGTGAGTAGATGGCAAAGGCTCGCCCGCAGAACGTACCAGTTGTGTTCACTGGAGCGCTAGCCGACTTCGCTTTCGCTTCACCAAGGCGCATGCGCGGGTCTGACTCCACCACCTCATCTTCCTCTTCCTCTTTCCCTCCTCTTCTCGATAGATCGTTGACCTCTCAACGTTATCGCGATATCTGACAGACGAATGTGAGTATCAACGAGGACGTGGATGACAGCGCTACACTCGGCTATGAGATCTAAACAGCAGTTGTTGGGGAGACAAGGAGGGAGATGGGTAAGTATCATTGGAATGCCTCGTGATCAGAGTGGAGAAATAGCCATTCGAAGCAAGGCCCGGTGATTAGGTGTCGATATCCTGCGAGCAAGGTGTTGTTTCCATCAGTCGAGAGCCGTGGTGCGTGTGAGCTTAGGCGGGAAGGATTTGCGTAGTCTTGAGTCGTTCATTCTTGCAGGACCTCTATCCTCGAAACGTGGTGTCGAGATAGCAATTCGCCAATTCAGATTTCTCTAGAATGATAGCAAATCTCAGTAGCTTAAAGAAGCACCCAAAAGGTCTGTCGACACACTCACCTACAAGTAGAGCTCGCGTGCATGTGCGTCTTTCCCGAAGCGGCGTGGGCTCAAGACATAAATAATTACGACATGAGAAAAAACGACACTGGCTGCGAGGAGGTTATAGTGCTTCTCTAGCTTCTTCATTGAGATTCGCGTGGTCTAGTATTATTTTCCCATGCTCTTATCGCAGAAACTCAGCGGACCGTCAGGAATGCGCACCGAATACTACATGAATCTCCCCTATCATCAGATGCTCGGACGCGAATTGCTGTTCTACCGCTGCTTCATCATCCTGGTTGAGCATATTCGTGATGAGGAGCATCCCGAGGGCACGGGTTGTTGCCATATCTTTGTATTTCTTTGTATTCATGCGGTTCATCCAACAGTTCCCATAGCGCTTCAACTGATGGCACCCGAGTCTCATAGGAATGTACAACCGCCTCATGGAATACACCGAAGTAACTCAAAGCCACATGCCTCGTCTCCTCCTCTAATACCCCCACATACCGAATTCATCGTCGTTAACACCGGATGAACACTTGCCGACTCGCTTCCTATGCTATTCCCTATAGAAGTCCTCGTGCTGAACGAAATCGGTAAGGTCGATGGCTGAGACGATGCTGTCTGCACAGCATGCTTCGTGATGTTCTTTCCCGACCGAAACGTCTCATCTCGGGCCTTCGCTCTTATCTGCACATGCCCTGAACGTCCCGACCGGATAGCATAGTACGAGGACTACTTATGCACACTATGTGTGTCTATAAAAGGTCCAGGTCAAGACTCTCCTTCTACCAGGCTGACTTCCTGTCCCCTCTTCTTCGTTCCCTCTTCGAATTTACTGCTACTTTCCCTGCAGCAATGGTGTCCTTCAACAAGTTCTTCAAGTCGGTCTTCTTGGCCGTACTTTACGCCTCCGCTACCTCAGCGTCGCCGTTCCCTGGCAGTGCTAAACACGCCACCCACCGTGTACGCGAAGTCGGACGAGGACTCCAAGTCGAGACCTTCCACCCTCCTTCATCCTTCGAGGCATGTCACTCGCGGCCCTGGGATGTGTTCGTCGAGTGCTTACCGTAATTCCTCTTTGGATTTAGACTTTCGGCAGTGGTATCGATCACCCGCTGTCTAAACGTGACAACCCCGATCTCGAGGAGTCTACTATTGCCTTCGTCGAGTCCAAGCTCGGCGTAGCCAAGAATGCCATCTCCTTCAAGTCCGGCTTCACTGGCGAAACTGCTAAGCATGCCTTCGTGAAGCAGAGCCACGTAAGTGAAGCCATCGCCGCACTAATGGACCTTATCCTCACCCCTCTTTAGGACGGTATCCCCTTCGCCAACGCTGTGGCCAACGTCGCCTTCAACAACGACAACAAGGTTGTCTCCTTCGGTTCTTCCTTCGTCAAGCCTGGTAAGTCTTTACTGTACTTCCTAGGAAGGGAGAATTCTCACTACGAACCCACAGTCAAGATTGCTTCCTCGACTCCCTCTGTGTCCGTGACTGACGCCATTGCCAAGGCAGAGGAGCTCATCGATGGCCAGCACAACGACCACCCACCCACACTCGAGTTCCTCGCCCTACAAGACGGCTCCGTCGCACTCACCCACGTCATCCAGATCCAGAACGACGACACCGGTGCCTGGGTCGAGGCGTTCATTGACGCCCACACTGGGGAACTTCATTCCGTCACCGACTTCGTTGCGAAGGCTTCCGTAAGTGCGGTCATCTGCCTCTGTTGATCGATCGCTGAGTTCGTCGCTGCTTTCGCAGTACCGTGTCCTTCCTATCCAGAAGGAAATCCTGACCCAGGGGTTCGAGACCTTGACCGACCCTCAGGATCTCACCGCATCCCCACAAGGATGGCACAGTAAGTTCCTCCTTCATCTAACCCTTCTATTGGCCCTAAATTTCGCTGTAGGCGACGGAACCACTACTACCACCACTACTGCGTGAGCACAAACACAAACCTGGGGAATTCATTGACTGACAGTATAACAGTGGTAACAACGCCATCGCCTTCAAAGGCTCGCAGTCTTCAGTCACCACCCAATCATCTGCTACGGACAACTTCATCTTCACCCAGTCTGCTACCACCTCCCCCACCACGCAAGCTAACCTAGACGCCGCCCGCACCAACGCGTTCTACATCGTCAACTCCGTCCACGATATTGCGTACAAGTACGGCTTCACTGAGGTATCGTGATGCCCGCTCCTGAGTGAAATCGAGTTCGATCTGACACAGCCGTTCAGTCTGCCTTCAACTTCCAGAACAACAACTTCGGGAAGGGTGGCGCTGGCAACGATCGCGTCACCATCTCTGTCCAAGATGCCGCTGGGACCAACAACGCTGACTTCGCGACTCCCGCTGATGGCCAATCCGGCAGAATGAGGTATGTCCTTCACACGTCCGTATCATCCCTCGGCTTCTAATCAAATATCAACAGAGTCAGTATGCTTCTGTTGCTATCATTCCATTCAGTTGCTGATCGTCGCCGTCTCCATCATGGTTGCATCTGCATATGAATAGAGTACGTGGATTCACTTGGTGAATCACCGGAAGATACTCACGGCTCTTAGTGTTCCTCTGGACCCTCACCAGCCCCCAGCGCGATGGCGCCCTCGAAAACGACATCATCGTTCATGAGAATACTCACGGCATCACCAACCGAATGACCGGTGGTGGAACCGGTAGATGTCTCCAAACCACCGAAGCCGGTGGCATGGGTGAAGGTGCGTGGTCCGCCCATGGAACTTCCGCCGTTTCGCCGCACACTAACCATGGAAACGCATCATTGTCTAGGTTGGAGTGATGCTATGGCCGAGTGAGTCCCTTCCCAGATTTCGGTGATATTGCGATGCTGATTCGTTTATAGATGGACCGAGCACACTTCTGCAGCCTTCCCTGACTACGTGATGGGTCAGTATGTTACCAACGACGCCGGTGGAATTCGTACACACCCATACTCCACCTCCGCGTGCGTTCTTTCATACCCATCCACGGAGTTTCTGAATAACGAAACCTTATAGTACCGTCAATCCCCTTCGGTACTCGACAATCGCCACGTTGAACGAAGTTCACGGTCAGTCTCCTGACATGATTTGGTTGCAGTTATACTTATGTAGACTCTCGACAGATATTGGTGAGGTCTGGGCCAATATCCTTCACAACGTCCACGCGGCCCTCGTTGGCGTCCACGGCTTCTCTACCACTGCCCGCACCGACCCTACTGGCACCGCAGGAAACGTCGTCTTCTTACACCTCTTCATCGACGCGCTGGCCCTTCAACCTTGCAACCCAACTCGTAAGTCTTTCGACAAGGCGCGATCCTTTGTACTTACGGATTCGTTTGCGCACCCACAGTTCCTACGGCTCGTGATGCATGGATCCAAGCCGATGTCAACCGATTCGGTGGCACCAACTCGTGTACCCTCTGGCGAGCATTCGCTAGCCGCGGCTTGGGTGTCGGTGCTGCCAACCACCGAGACTCGACCACCGTCCCCGCCGGCTGCTAATTTATTGCATTTCTTTGGGCTTGTTGGATTTACGAGGCCGTATATAAACTTCAATGTATACCAGCGAAATCAATTCAATATCTTGGACTCTATTCATACCTCGCACGCTTTCTTTGGCAAAACATCGATGGCTCATCAACAAAACGTATATCAGACAACGGTGATATTAGATATACCAGACATACTCCCGCAGGCCCACACCTGTCAACCTGGTTGAATCCACTTGCCCCAAGCAGATCGTCATCAACACCAAGATCGTCCTATATTCCATAGGGTTGTTGTTTCGCCAGGCTCCGCTACTTCAGTCATGGCCTCCGAGTCGATTCGATAAGGACTAGTCCGAAAGTTGTGGAGTCGACGGATTTGCCGTTGGCTAGCGTTCTGAGAGAATGGAGTGAATAGAAGATCGTACGCCATGAATGGTCCTCAATATCAATGTTGGCGCTGGCATGGTGCATTCATTATGGCCAGCGTGACCGGCAATGATTTAGACGCTCAAAAAGCGATCGGGTCATGACATCACAAAGCGTTGGACTTGAACTCCTCCCTCACTAACTATCTCGACGCACCTCACAGCTCATGACGATGTCGGATACGTCATACTGCATATATCCCCTACCTCACGCGGATTCTCTTATAAGCAGGAGCCACGGAAATCGTCGCCTCCCATCGTTTTCTTTCGCACCCCACCATCACCAACTCTAATTCTCCTCCGTAATGTCTCTGCCCACCGCACCCAAGGATATCAGCGACCATCCGGTAGCGGTAAGCTTTACTCCCAATCTGCACGCCGACGAGCAGATTAACGCGTCGCGTAGGGCTCGGTCACCGACCCCGTCAACAAAGCAGATAAGGACGCCGACGTCGATCGCAAGATTCGTCTATTCGGCGTCATCTCAGCTTTCAGAGCAGGACGAGTCCCATCCAACACCCAGATAGACCAGACCCTCAAATACGTACTCGATAACTCCCCGGTCGACGTCACCGCCCTGTCTCATGACGGCCGAAAACTCATCTCAGATACGCGCGATATCATAGAAACGGCTAGGCTGATGGTGCAGGAGAAAAACGCCGATGAGCTATTTCAGAACTTCCTATGGCATACACGCGATGTGACTGTCGAGGGCGCAAAAAAGGACCCCAATGAAGTCCTACCGGTGGATAAAGAGAAGGCTATTCAGGACGGACAACAAGGTGAGTAAATGATGCGAGGCAAAGATAGTTCTCTAACGCCTTCCAGCTGTACAACACCTCAGAACGATTTTGTCCCTTGTCCTCACCAACTCCGAAGTCAGAAAGCTGCTCACCGACTTTTCGTTAATGGGAAGAGATTTGCTGGCTCGTGGGGCCGCCAAGGTGGATACACTATGAAAATCGCGCATATTGCATGCTAATCTCGCATAGGCTGCTGATTCCCTGCGACCAGACGAAGAGCGACTCGCTCGTGTCGACGCGAGTGCGCCAAACGACCAATTCATCACCGAGGGGGGCCGTGTTGCCGGTCCAAACGAAACACCTGTACTCGAAGCCAGGATTCCTGGTACCGATGCCACCGTAACTCAGCATCCTAAGGAGCCATTAGGCAACGGCGCAAAGGTCTGTACCGCCGTGTTTGAACGCATATATGCACTCATCGTAGACACTAGGTCAAAACCTCCGATGGAACAGTGAAGTCGGGCGACCAGGCGATGCGTGAAGCCGGAGCCCAGGCCGATCAACTCAAAGCTGAGGGCAAGGCAAAGGCCGCTGCAGAAAGGGACGACATGGCCGCGCGAGCTGACGGCGTCCAGGAAGGTGGGGAAACCACTGAAGTCAAGAAACAGGTGAGTTTTATTCTGGTCTTATGATCTCTGCGTCGCTCAGTTGACCATCCTTGCAGAGCCTCATGGACAAGATGCGTGGCTATCGAGATGGCCTGACCGACAAGATTCCTCAAGAACACAAAGACAAGGCTAACGACAAATTCGACCGTACCAAGCACTTCCTGACTGAGGAGTACTTCCCTGAAGAGCGCCGCGATCAATTCATTTTCCGTGGGAAGAAGGTATGTCACCCGCCTATGTAATACAATACAATTCTAATGTGCAGTAGGTCATAATCGAGTGCCAGAAGCACGATGACTACCAAGAGTCTATCCGATGGCTCTTAAACTATTTGGAAGAGTACGTCGGCCATGCCAGGACTGTGGGCGAGCATGGAAAGGATAGCGGTGCCAAGCTTACATCGGTGCGCGGCGTGTATAATGGTTCTCCGCACTTGTATTCATGAAGCACCCAGGATGCCTCCTTGAAGCAATCTGTCAACGAATTACGCACCTTATTGGAACGATTCGCCAATGGCAGGACTACCGCTGATATTGTGGATTCTATCAACACTTTGATCGATGACACCAGGCGAGACCCCGAGTTGCGGGCATGGTTTACAAACATGGACGCATATATGCGCAAGGTACATCCCTTCGATCGACTTGCCCTTCTTCAATAACCTGTCCCCGACTAGGTCCTACTTGAACCAGGGTACGTTCTTGAGCCGGATTGCAACAATCAAGCTAGGCGACTTCGCGATGACGGACGTGTCTTCTACGATGATAAGTACAAAGGTCACTTCGACAACCTCTTCCGCACTGTCGGCGATTGGTTCAAAGCTATGGGCGATGATCCCTTGAACAAGAGGTAAGTCGCTACATCACTTTTCGCCATTCGCACAATTAATTCGTAGCAAGATTCGGTGAAGATTGGGCACGCTTGACAAAAGACTTGTTGTTCGACAGCGAGGGAAGCCTTAAGTTCAAGCCTCACTTGTGGAATGATATCCGAAAGGTCATCGTCCCCACTCTCGTCGATAAGGTTCGTTGCTGTTTCTCTCCGTACGTCGTGCCTCACCGTGTTCCAAATTAGGTCGGCTACGTCCCGATTCCCCGCATCGAGTACACAGACGAGAACCTTGACCTCGTTGTTGAGAATCTCACACTCTCGGGCCGCAATCTTTTCCCCAACGTAGTATCCTTCGAGGCCCACAACTTCGTCAAGTTTAGCCCGTACAATGCCATCAGCGACGAAAATCATCACGAATTCACTGTGAGTTCACCCCTGCTGTACGCCTTTCACTCAATGACGCCCCCCAGTTGACTTTGGGACAAATACAAGCGGACATGCGCGACGTTGCTTTCTATTTCCGCAAGAAGTCCGGAATCCCCAAGTTGATGGACAGCGGCCTCGCCGACGTTGTCCTAGGTGGGAACGGTCTCACTGTGAGTTTTTTTCCCCGTTTCGTTGGTCTTCTAACTCCACGTATGCCAGGCCTCCATCCACCTCGCGTCTGCAGACAAGGATAAGTCATCAGTGTTCAAAGTGAAGAATGTCCATGTCAAAGTCGACACTCTCAAATTCTCTATTCGGGACTCCAAGCACGATTTCTTGTACAAAACACTGCGGCCTTTAGCTACGGGCCTTGTCAAGAAACAGATACAGAAGGTCCGTTACTCGTCCTCACAATCCAGCCGTACATACTCATCAAATCAAAGGCTATCGCCGACGCCATCACGACCGGGATGGAGTATGTTGATGGGCAACTTGTTGCTGTCCGTGATCGCATGCAGGAAGCTAAAGAAACTGACGGCGAGTCACGGACACAAGTGCTACAGGATGTAATTACATATTATCGGTTACTTTTCCCTCACGTCCTCACCTCAATTTCGTCAGCTCTTCAAACGCAAGCAGGAAGAGGCGTCTGTCAAATCTCATGAAAAGAACTCGCAGTTCAAGGTTGTATCCAACAAGCGAGACTCCGTCCTCGCGAATACTGGCCATCCCGCCGGTTGGGTCAATAGAACCGCTGAGCGTGAAGAGAAAGCCGTCCAGGGTACAGAATGGAGGAGTGAAGCGTACGTTCTGTATCACACTCGCTTAATGGAAGGCGAAGCTAACCCATATCTGTCATACCGCAGGTTCACTATTGTTTAAATTTGCCCATAGTTTGTACTACCTTCCGTGTGTTCTCTGTGTTCTTTTCGTGCTGGATATTGTTTGCTCCCGACCTCTTTCTTCCTTGCGGTGTGATACTCAGTATTTTGCCTAAGTCAGTATAAAGTCCACGTAAGTCCATTTTTTGATGGAATTCGTCAGTTTCCGTACTTTTGATGTAAAAATTCCGGCACCTTCCTCTTTTGATCTTGTGCGGAAGGTCACGACGAAATCTAAGTCAGTGAAAAGCAAACTTGCAGTGACTTAGTTTGACTGGGAATGGGAGCGTAAAGTAATAGGATTCAGACATTGCTTATGTAAGGGGAACTAATCCCAGGGGCGAAGATGCATTAATCGAGAGAACATTAAGGCTCTAGCCTAAGAGCAGTTGCTCAGGAAGTGACAAAGGGGGTATCTTGAGGGTGCTGAATGTCAGATAACACAGGGGTATTTAGATACGAGACGAGAGACTTGGAAGAGCATGAATACTGGTGACAGGCGCTGGTGCCCCCCTGTCTTCAATTACATAATCTTTTTTGATTTCGATGGCCAGTTCAATTGTTGGACTTCAACGTTTCGATGTTTCAACTCCTCACCAACATCCCCAATGTCCACTTATTTCTTCGACAACCGTTCACAACACTTGGGGCATTCAATGCGGCCCCGAATTGAAGCTCTTGACATCTCTTCTCGCCGTAACGCGCCCCGTGTGAATAACAACTGCTCCAACTCTCTGGATCCACGCGCCTGGCAACTACCCCTGCCGGCCTCCATGGATAGCTTTCTACCCCACCCCACCTACTACGCCCGCCTCCAGATTACTACGTATGGGAGACAGTCATCCTCCTGCGCCGGCAAGTCACAGTTTTGGAGGAGACCGTGTCGCTTATGCGGCGTGAGCTTTCCGAATTGTGGAGACAGAGTTGCTCTGATTCTCGGTAAGTTGACTATGTCTGTATGTCTGCCACTGATAGCTTACCCCAATTCTCAGTGTCCACCACGACCAAGACGATTCCTTCGTACAGCTGTCCCACTTACCTGAGTCTGTGCTCCGGGACTTCAAGGCGGCCCATTCCCCTTATCTCGAGGGCACCTTCTCGGTCTCCCACCAATCTTTGTTCGAAAACGCGCCTCCCGATTGCACCGGCAGATCCCTAGATCCAGGTAAGATCAACTCTGTTAAAGAAAATTATTGCTAAACATTACTCTAGAGTCCTCCTCCATTGGCGATGGAAGAAGCGAATAGACCGTACCGTATTATATATATATTGCATCATGTTTACTATTAGTATGAATTTATTTTATTGCCTGAGAACGGTTTTGTACTTGACTTAACCTGACCATCACTGACCGTGAGCGACTGTTGCGTTGAACATGGTGGCCTGACTTTCCATGACTGACTTAGACACTAACAGACTTGACTGGACCTGTTTTCTTCGATACCCGAAAGGGACCCACAAAATCATTTTCAAGTCATTTTACGGTAAATATTCCGGCCTAGGTCCGGCTAAGTCATTATTTTATGACTCACACAGACTTAGGCAAAACACTGAGTGTGATATCGCAAAATCCAAGCGAATGGTGCTTGTCGTCATACGGGCGAGTGCAAGAGCCAAAATCAGATATTTAGCTTTCTAGTGGAAAGAGGAATCGTAGTACAAAGGTATCAGTTCCTTTCACATATGTAAGGCGTGGTACACGCTGCCCTGGCGTTCATACCCTCCTTCTACACCCGTACACTCGCGCCTCCCTATTTCAGACTCACTGTCCCCTGAAAACTACTTTCAATTACCTACCCTTCCCTTGTGAACACCCGGCAATTGCCTCTCTCAGGGAAGTGCTTACATCGAGATCAAACATATGTTCTTTCTGGGACCAGTATACTACACCGCCAACCCTTCGGGCGCTTTCAGGGATATTTCTGCAAAATCTTCTCTGATGATCCGAAGGAAATAGCAAACAAACCTTTGGCCAAGAGCTATCAAATAGCCAACGTCAAACATCCCTCATCAGTTTCTCAGCTCTTCTACAAAGATCTGTCTAAGCTTCTGTGGAGATTACAACTACAAGCTTAGAGAAATATTCGGCCTTAGCCGCCGTCGGCAGCAGCTTTATTACGCGCGCGAGTGGCCTTTGATTTTGCTACAGTTTCCGCTCGCTTCGCTGGCCCTGACACGCGTAACTTGGATGCGGCATCTCGGTGCAGCGCAGCGCGATCTTCGACGACGTAGCTGGGGGCAATGAGCGTTCTCGGTAAGACTTCACGGAGCACATGCGCGTTGTGCAGAGCATGCATGTTGATGATGTATCGTGCATCATCGGCATGCGAAACAGTGTATTTGACTTTGGATGAGTCGAGACGTTCCATTGGAACAGGACGGCTATCCTCCGTGATGGCGCAGTTGCCCGAATAACAGTCGTGCTGAGAGTTAAAATGGAATAAAACATCCTGGTATACGCATTCAGTTTGAGCGGGGCTAAGCGTAAAGTGACGCAGTTGACTCACCCCAACATTGACAGGGAGTACAACAGAGTTCGCGGGTCGTCGCAAAACCGGCATATCAAGTCGCGCATCTTTCTGATCCAGGAGATCGAATTGCTCAACCAAGACAATGGTGTGGTTTGCCTGGATCGACAGTGTGTCCTTCGTGCCCGAGTCAGAAGTGAGAATTCGGACCACTCGGCCAACGAGAAGGGAGGGCGACTGGAACGGCATCTGATGGACCCGTTGTTCACAATGAGAACTTATTTTGAAGTCTTACACCATCGAGAAGAGCTGGAAGTACTCACCAATGAATTGACAGCTACGCGTGAGTTGCAAAAGACCCAAGACCCCTCCATGCACACGTCTCCGTTGCGCGCTATGATAAACCTGCAACGACTCCATTGATCCTTGGTAGATGGTGGTGTTTCGTGCAAAAGGTTATTAACGTCGGCGATTGCCTCACGCCACTGCGCGCGATGTTGCTTTGCGCAAGCGTGAAGCCGTACAGTGCCTGAGCAAAGCGAGTAAGCATACACAGAGGTGAAACCCAAGATCAAAGAGCATACCTGGTTTCAAGAGATCGTCGTCGACCCAGCCAAGGCGGCGCTGAAGCTCTCGGTTTGCAATCAAGAAGCTCCGCACTCGGTTTCCGGCTTGACCGTATGACCCATTGTCATGTTTCCACCAGCCGCCGCTCACCACATGCTTGAAACGCTCCATGTCCGCGATTGTCGATGCAATGTCATGGCTCGGCGCTTGGTGGTTGGAGAGAATGCTGCAGAGGCGGAATACGGCATTCCAGCATTCGAAAACCTCCGTCGAGAATAAAACCGCTGGGCCGAAGCGGCGGATATCATCGGGGAGATGAGACAAGACATGGAGTTTATATTTCAGAATGATTCGGCTGGGATCGACTTGAGCCCACAGGTCGAGCACATTGGCAATAAGGATCTTGAGGTCCGCCTGTATGTCTGATGAAAGGGAACATTGAGACTGCAATTGAAGGTAGCGAGCTCACCAAATACGTGTCCATGTTCCTGATCTCGGGATACCACAGCATTGCACCAAGCAACCCATTTGCCTTCCATAGCTCAAAAAGCGGCTTCGAGCAAAAATCATCTCGTAAGTGAAATGCTCCTACTTGTTGCAATGTCTTGAAATGTTTGCCGATGAGCGAATTCTTATATTGGAGCATGTAGGAAGCGCGAATGGGCGGCACACTGAGACCATCGATCGAGGAAGACTGGAGCCGAATCGCAAAGACGTCATCCTTGCGCTTGTCCCAAGTCTTTGTTGTTGCATGCCAAATGTACTTGTCGTTGCCGAGGAGTTCTGTGTGGAGGATTTCGCCGGGTGTGTCTTGATGCGGATTCACGCCTTCACAAAATGTATCAGCTGCTTTCTTCTCAGGATTATCTGACAAAGTGTACCTATGCCGGGAGCCAGGAGTGGATTAAAGTGGTCTCCCGGACGTATATCCTTGCGCTCTGCTATAGCAAGGCTCTTTGTCAAACTGATTGCCGGTATAAGGTTACAAAACGAAATGACTTACGTGCATCAACCCTCATTTTTGCATAGCGACTTGCTGGCTGCTCGACAAGCCATTGAAACAGCTCAGCCTCGATGTCGGCCTGGATCTTTGCTTTGAATGCATCACGCTCGGGCCCTTTGAACTTCCTGTCGTTGAGGTGAGGATCTCTGGTCACAGCGTTGTAAAGTCGATCTTCTTGTAACTGACGGGATTTGGGGATGAGCTGGTGGATCCAAAACTGAGCGATACGATCCTTGACTCCCGTCTCTGTCTGAATCTTGGTGACAGCAGTTTCGACACCAGTGCACGCAGCACGCAATTGCCGTCTGATGGTATTTATGGTACTGTCTGGGGTTCTCGGTACGCCTGGCTGAGTGAGTGGTTTGAGTCAATGCAATTTTACTATACTAGTTTGCTAACTCACCGAAAACAAGGCCTCGTATCCTTCATCTGTCTCTCTTTCTTCTGCGCTTCCACCACTCAGGTCACTTCGGCACCATAATGTTGCATTTGATCCAGCCGTTGATGTGGATTCAGCTTGCTGGGGATTGTCGGCTGGTAGGAGGTGGATCTGAATCCGGAAAATTATCTCCGTCCCGAGCTGACAGTCGTAGGCTTCTCGCCAAGCATCAGGTTTACTGAGACACGTTCATTAGCATTCTTCTCAGAATTATTCAATGACATGATCTGGCGCACCAATCACTTGAGACAGCATCAAACAATTCTGGTGATGACGCTTGTTGAGATGTTGCACAGAACCGCACGAAGTACTCCTGGCAGAGTTTCCTGTGCGGAAGGCAGATATTCGCCGCATAGAGGTTCATGTGAGCATTATACTGCTTGCTTGTGTTTCCGGAGACATCATCTGACCACGCCATAATCCGAAGGACGAACGCAGGCCTTCCATCAGCAAGAACACGCACAGGATGCGGCATGGTCACAGGTTCTAGCAGCGGCCTCTCCAGGTCAGCCCATCTCCGCAATAAGACAGTTACAACGATGGAATCAAGTTGGACATACGGGTGAATATAAGCTGCCCGAACTGCAATCGAAGGTCCAAGAAATTGAATGCTAACTTCTTCGCAGGCATGAATTCCGTTGGCAAGCGTTCAAGTATACTAAAAACACTGTCCTTCGAATGGCATGTCAGAGTCGGCCTCACATGGTATTTGTCATGTTACGACTCACCTGGTTACGATGAACCTTTCGTATCTCTGCGTAGACTTCTCCCTTCATGATCAAGAATCGCAAGGGTATCAAAAATTCACTGTTTGTCCCATGGGCTAGCTCGTTGACATAGAAATGCTTCGACAATTTTGAAGGATTTTCGAAGTCGGCCCACATCGGTGAGAGATCACAATAGTCTAGCTCTTTGGTATATTTCACAGCTTGCCATGGTTCGCTGACAGTGCTGGCTTTCTCAGGGTAAACATTCATAAACTTGCGCACAAGCGGATTAGCCCAGTCCTTGTTCTATCAGCTAAGTTATCATTCAAAATAACTTCAAGCTCACAAGAGTCAGCAGATCCACTGGGTGATTCATGAAGAAGTGATTCCCAAGAGACGATGTATGCAAGCGCGGTGCAAATGTGATCGATTTGGTAAGTTTCTCCTGTTTTCGACGCAGCTGGCGAAACGATGGCACTTCAGGTGTTCCGCATTCTCGCATCACCCAGATAATTGCCTTCAGATGATCATCCGAGAGCCGAAGACGAGGCAGGTTATCCAATAAATCAAGCATGAACATCTATCACGTTCCCTAGCCGCATCAGTGAATGAACAATGGCTTTTGTGACAACAGTCCCTGTAGTCAAATAATAATACACGACGGAATGGCCAGACACTCGTATTAAAATACACCACTATGCTAGACCCCCCCTCCGTACATTATAATATACCATTAGGCCTCATTATAATGTGAACCTTTCCCCTTGAGCGACCCCATTTTAATGCCCACACTGAATTATTATACACCCGCTAACGTCCATGTTTTAATGCAGGCGACCTCACTGCTGCCCCCTCCCCGCGAATTATTATACACTCAAAGACGTCCACATTTTAATGCAGGCGACCTCACGGCTGCTCCCACCCCGCAAATTATAATGCACCCGCAAACGTTCACATTTTAATCCAGGCGACCTCACCGCTACCCCGCGAATTATAATGCATCCCAGTGTAGTACTGGATCTCAATTGTAATGGTGCCTGCTGGCCTTGAAATTCTTCGCTCCGTGAGGGCATTATAATCACGTCCAAGTTATAATTTGAGCCCAGCTAAGTATCTACATCCCCCACCTCTACGTCTCCATCCTCCATACCTTCCATCTCGTTATCACTGAGGTCCAACTCTACCACCAACGGCGGCGCTATCAACATTGCCTGATCGTTCCGCAGGATATCACCCTGGCCCAACTGAGTCGTAAGCACAAGCGTTGCCCGCTCTTGAATGGCCACCCACTGTCGTTTCCACATGACTACGCGCCGCCGCTCGTACGACGCCTGTCGATATGCATACGCCCGAACTCCCTCAAACAATGCGAGATCGTTTGATTCAGGTGGCCTGCTTCTCGTTGTCGCAGCGTTATCCCAGTACATTGCCTTCCATTCGCAATAGGCTATAGACCGTCGCATTTCCTCCTCCAGGAGCAGCACCTCTTCTCTCCATCTCTCCGCACGAGCGCGCGCTTTCACCCATTCAACACGAAGACCTGATTGATAAGAAAGTGAGTCGTCAAATACGCAGTCAAGTCGAAAATAACTACTAACAGGCCTGTACCTCTCCAACCCCCATGAGTTCTTCGTCGGTAACTGTGTACCAAATCCAAGACAACGTTCGGCGACCTTCTCCAAGGGCAAGACTGCGGTTGAAGGCGACGGTTGGTATGTTTTCTTGCCCGCTGGTGGTACCCAGCCCGTGGAGTTCACCTTCAACAGTTTCCTCGGACATCCCGGCAAGTAGCCTAGCACGGCGGTATTCCTCTTGCTCCTCTTCATTCAGAGTACGTTCGTTGATCCCTTGAATGTCCTCAGCACGTAGTACTTTCAGTGTATTTTCCCAATCTCCTGGACCTCGTAGTGATAGGAGTGATCGTCTAGATATGTCATATTGTGCTCGAACGGCTTTGATTCGGACTTCGATCTGATTCTGGAGGAGGCGGCTTCTCGTGTAGGCGCCCTGAGAATGAGCATTACGTGTCTTGTAACTATTGGCAAACGAACGTGTACGGAGTTGTCGACGTAGATGAGCGAGAGCTTCAGTTGCCTGTGCGAATCGCAGACGATTCTCAAATTCCGGAAGGCCCTGTTGGCATATCAGATCGCGTTGCATGGAGGCGAAGAAAGAAGGAAGGAAGAGCTCAATAAGCTCAGGTGAAGATGTCGACTCCTCGTAACCCTTCTCTTTGATGTAATCGGCAAGGCCAGGCATGTACGTATTCTGGGTGTCTCAAAACTTCTTTATTTTCTTAAGTAGCGCTGTACGACTCGTTTGGAGTTGTGTCGCTTCAACAGTCGTGAGGTCGTGTTTACTTGCGGTGACAAGAAGCTCCTGCCTGGTGAATCTGAGTTCAGCAGCAAGAGGGCCCCGTAATTGGGCATGGACTTACTGGGCTGCTTCGATGTCCAAACCCGTGATAATGAAGTTACTAGGACTGGTGTCGCCGGGGAGTGCCTCACCACGTTGTACTCGGCGATGTTCTTCCTCCGCCATCTCCTTTTTCAGATCGGACATCGTAAGATCTTCAGAACGGGCACGCGTGTGAGCAGAAACATGGTCACAAACACGTAGAATGCATACCATCGCGTGGTAGATCGAACGGACATGGTTGATCATGATCCAACTCCCAGGCTCGGACTTGGTTTTCCCATTCTAGTAGCTCTTCCGAATGTTGTTCGTGAAGGCCATCTGTGAACACACAAAACACTTGGTGATGGATCGCAGCCTGAGGAATAGCCAATGTCATTTTCTTCAGTAGAGAATCACCTATGTTTGAGTCCCATCAGTAAGTGTCGTGTCGGCAAAGAGGAACCTACGTACCCAGGTTGACTGTCTTTCGCCAGTTCCAAAAGTTGCAGAAATCGTCCAGTGTGTCTTGACAACCACCTTGTCCCATCATGGACACAGAATGCGATACTTTGTTTAACCACGACCACATACGCTCAACGCCTTCGCCATTGGTCCGACCCACCCATTTGGTATAATTCAGAGAGAACGGTGCATGGCAACTTTCTTTGTGAGCTGCCAAGTGAAACTTTGGGATACGGAAACGAAGATCGACACGAGAGGAGAGCTGGAGAGCCGAGGGAAGCTGTGTCATACGGGTGAAGAAGTTCCGGTACCATTGACAGGCGATGTCGTAGGTGATGGTTACCAAGAAGAGCGATGTCGCCATGATGCTTGAGAGAAAGATGTAGTCCATGTTAGCGTATCGCTCCCCCTTCTGCAGGTCGCCGATACCGTTTGCTCGGAACATATCACTACGAGCACAGCTAACAGATCCGATGCCAGTGGCACGCAGACCCTTTGAACGGCGCGTGTTGGCTGACCAAAGGGCTGCGAACCCAACACAGTGGTTGATCTACGACACATGAGTTTAAGTGAACGAGCTTCGATGACGTTGTCGCAGGCACGAACCTCTTCAGGATCAACGTACTTAGATAGATGATCAAAATATGTGTCGCCCGCCACGAACGTTGCCCAACCAGGGCCAAGTGCAGGATCACGATTGTCAGCTGAACGAAGCCAACTCTTCTGCTTGAAATTGGCATCTTCCTGGAGGATCAGGCCATATAACCACCGACGTCCAGGTGATGCACTCTCCCATCCCTGGGGGAGATTGATTCCAGGATGCGGGCATGAACGACAAGGGATAGATAGTGCGCCTTGCGCTGTTGCATCCAACCCGGAAGGGTCCTGGCCACGACCTGCTCGCTTCGCCATTCTAATGTGGCGCCATTCACGAACAGTAAGCATGAACTGTTGAAGTCGATCCTTCCGCCCGATTCCCTATTCAGTAGGCCACGTTTCATCAGTCAATGAAACTCACCGGTGGATCATCGAGGCCGCCGCCGTTATGAAGTTGCTCCAGGGATCGGTAGAAGTCCGTGGCGGGTAAGCAACCTTGAAGATTAAGATTATGGAAGAGCCGTAAAAGTGGGAACGTTGTCGCCGTTTGGGGTTCCAGAGGAGAAGAGGGCCACCAGCCGACCTCGAGGAGCTGGAGGTGATGATCGAGCGCACTGGGACAACTGCAGAAGTCAAGATTGATGGTGTGAATCCCATTGGTGTGGATCACTACGAAGTCAACGTGCCCACGTTGGACTAGAGGGCAGCTTTGGATGACTGAGTGACCTAATTGGACACGGAGACCAAGTGACTGAAGAGAACAATTTTCGTAGTAATCATCGTCAGTCCACCTCTAGAATTGCGTCAATGACATAGCAATAATATAATGCCATATTACCTCGATACAGTGCAATGGCGCACAACGGTGCAGTTCAACAATGCACTGGGCGCAATACATGAAATGCCCGTGACAATCGGTACACCGATAAACCGATTCGCCTCCACATTGGGTGCAACCGGATTCATCGTACCTTCCGCGGCCGTCCAGAAGTAACGTGGCATCTAGATACTGCTGTCGATATCTGGTTTTCCATGTAAGTAGTGGCGCATCCTTGAAGGAAGAGGCATTCGTCAGCCGTTGGTGTAGTGAAAGACGGCGAGCCTTACCAAATTGATGTAACGCTTCGCCTTTGCCTTGACAACTAACCCAGAGCTGTCAGTTTGTTGGTTGTTGTCCATCGCGGTGTCATTCAACTCTCCCAGGGCATAGTCAAAGGTGGCCGTTGGCGGCGTGCTTGTATCAACTTCGACCGCCGGTGTTGTCACTGGTGCATCGATCAGCACTGAGCGGATGCGATTTGCAGTAGATGTCGAAGCAACGAAGGAGGCGGCCTCAGGCTTGTGAATGTAGATACGGCGGCGTTTCTTGTCTTTCATCAAGCGTAGTAGAGTATAGTTGATTTGATATGTGTTACCACAGGTGTGAATTAGTAGGTAATAATTGTACATAGGCGCCAATTGTCACTTGTTGTCAGCGAGCGCCAAGGCCGGCGAACTGAAGTCACAATGGCTAGAAGATAGTTAGCATGTACCAAGGCAGACGATAGATAGGCCAACCTAGGTTTGATTGTTCGCTTTGAATCTTCGTGAGGACTCCTCGACTTCAAGTTCCTTTGAGCCTTCTTCTTTAACTTCGCAGCGAGTAGGTCTCTACGCAAGGGACCCATGTAGAGGGCGGCACCAAGTGGGTGATACCTGGGAATGAAGGGCTCAGGTTTGCCATGAGGGGGCGATGGGGGATCCTCCGAGTTCGCTTTCAGTTGCGACAGCTCATCGGCACTCTTGGTGGTAAGGACGTCTTGCAGCTTCTTCTCAATGAGCTAGGGAAGAGATTTAATTATCGAGAGATAGATGGCGGTAATCGAGACACGTACTGCTTGCATTCGACGGCGAACAAAACGTTGGACGTCGGAATCGGCTGTCAGATACTCCATTTCATGGAACCGTTCGACCCAACGGTCAAAAAATCCGTTCATAAACACGGTGGTTTGGCCGAGGTGGTCTGCTATTCCATAGGCTTCCAAATTTTCAGCCAGGAATTTTTCTTTGGCGTCGGTGAACTTCATCTGCTAGGTCGGCCCACTGAGGTGGGAAGCATGAAGTGGAGTATTACTTGCTCACCGTTCAAGATGTCGTGGAATGTGAGATTCGAGCCTGTATCAGAGAGAGTGGTCGCTGTGAGTGAAAGGGAGCACAATGAAGTTGCAAAGAACCACCCCCTTCTCCAAAGTTCAGCCATGCGGGGCCTGAATCCTGATACGCTGATTGACACGTCCTTCAAGTTTGGTTTGTGAAGTTGTTGTAGTTGCGATAAAAAATTAGGCAAGCGAATGAATATGGTGGAGTAAGTTGTTCGCCAATTGTTGCCTTGAAATGAGTAAGTGGTTCGTCAATCGTTGTCGTTAACATCTGAGCGGCAAGCGTCAACTACTTCCAAACACCAACTGTTTGGCTTCAGTATTACCAACAAACAAAAAAGATAAAACATAAACTTACCATCGTCGGTAAAGCAGCTCAATTCTGTATAATCGGGGTGTGTATAGCACAATACGATGTCAAACCCTATACCTATATGTAAAAATATTCCGCGATCATGCCCTATATGATCTCCACGAAAAAGTCAGACGAATTATGCACGCTAAATCCAACTCGAGTCCCACTTTGCACTTACCAGTGATGCCTCGCAAACGCATTTACCACACCAAGGCCGAGCTTCGGGCTGCAAACCAGGCCAAAAGTAACCGATATTACCACAAGTATGTCTGGCAACAAGCTATCATATTGTAGTACTCACCGAGGACAGGAACAAGTTGGAAATACAAGCCCGGCGCCGGCAGGTATACACCTCTCAGTATGTCTGTAGCCACTCACTATCTATTGTATAACCTAACATCCTCGGTGTACAGAAACACTATTACCACGCCTCAGGAACATCTGAATGACAATGAAATGGCTGCGTCGAACTCGGCTAGTCAGAATGTTTTAGAGTAGGTGACATCATTTGTTCTATGTTTGTCTCAATCTCTTATCCCTTGCGTCAAATCTAGATCAAATACAGCCCGATATATCCGTCTAGCCGAGCAAATGGGAAGTAAAGTCGAAACGTTCATCAAATTCTCGCCGTACAAGTTCGTCGACACGATCTACCACAACTACGTTCAATCATGCAATTCCTCCGATGTTGGCAATATGCACATAATTCAAGTGCCTACGAAGCAGTTGATGCGGTGGCAGAGGTGCCTGCTTCGATGCTTTGAGGCTATTTCACAAGACCCTGGTGTCGGTGGCGACTTGGGCAGGATCCAAGCTCACCATCAAATGGCAGGGCGAGTAGTCGACGACCTACAGCAACTTCTATGTGAGGTTATGGTAGAAGATTCGGTCTCAGCCTTGCAAGCGGCTCACGGCGTTGGGAAACTTAGTTATCAGCAAAAATAGGCACGTATTAGACGACAGTGACGGTAGACATGTAGTCGAGTGTACGTAGAACACCCCAATTTCATCGTAACGCCGCTACATGGGACGAGCAGGAATAACGCAGACAGACCCAGCCCTCACGCCTTTCTGGAAGTGCTCAACAGCAAGGCTCTCCGTCCTAAATCCGATGACTACGCCGCCGCTGATGTAGTCGATCAAGCCACGACCAACGTCACTAAGATTGATTGATCAACACTGTAATACTAAATGGCACGCTGACATAACTTACGCTCCTTTCACGACGCCGACTTGACTACCAGCGGTTACGGCATAGTATTGCTTGGGGTCCTTGGTGTAGTTGAGGGCGCCGCACTGCCCGCAAACGATGTTGGTGGCAGACGTCGCATCTGGCTCCCCATCGGCGGGGCTGATATCGAGGGCGGACATGTTTGTGGGTACTAAGTACCACACCTCATCGCTGCCGGGGGCCTTCCAGGAAATTAATGCTATATGCAGTCAGCTTGTGATCGCAACGTTGAGGACTATAGACTTACAGGGGTCCTCGTTGAACTGAACACGCTGGGTAGCAAGGAATGCCATGACAGCCGCGGCGTTCTCAGGCGTGATGGGCATGGACAGAGTGGAGCCGACGGGGAGGGTTGCGAAGTGAAGGGCTTGCATTGTAAAGGAAATACTGTTGCGAACTTGGGTGGTTGGCGGGGTGAGCTGGGGGATGAGGCCGTTCGAGCACCCATTATATATAGTCGAGGATGTACTGCTTTGAGAATCGAGATTGCGATCGGGAAGCTCGAAAAAAAGAGTGAGACCCGTGCCGTTCTCAAAAGTCTTTGGGGGAGAAACTGAGCTTACCTTATTTTTACAGCGTCCAAATCCCCATCTAATAGAATGCCCGCCAAATCAGCAAAGGGACGCGGACGCGGACGCGGACGGCATACCTGGGCCAAAGGAAGCAAACTCACGTTCCTCGAAAGCTTCAAGGACGAGTATCTCGCGACTGCGGACCCTGGAGGGGTCTATACCAAGGTCACGGCCCTGTACTTGGAGAAGTACGGATACGACCTTCCTCATGATGCCGTACCATCGGACACGCTTCCCGCTATTCCCAGTATTGATGACCTGCCATACGCGGAACAGTTGGCCGAGCAGGAGCGTCGCGAAGACATCAAAGCACAAATGCGGCTGGTGAGTTACGGTATACATCGGTTTAGGAACATGACTCTCACCTGAGTCAAATAGCGAATCGGAAACTGGCTTCGCCACCGCTACAAACGAAAACAGACGGACCAGGACATGATTTTGGAAGTACTTCAGACGATGTCGACCTTATCTGCTCAGCGCCCACACCGTCGAACCCCAATGAGCATATACTGGGCTGAGAACTATGCGGTACGGCTTCGCAAAGACTTCGAGGTTATCTGGAACAAGGCGAAGGACAAGGCCTCACCTGATGTGCGTATATCCATGTGTACAGCATATGTGACTGCCAGATACGCGGCCGAGACTCCTGCTTTCAGGAAGGAGCTTGAAGAGAGGGCGGATAGGGAGTATGCTGAAGCTTTAGAAGCGTACAACAATCGAAATGTTGTTGATGGCAGCCCTGAAGCATTGCATCAGTACGCCCATTGAGCTCCTTGTTGTATTGTGTTACTCACCATAGACTAGAGTTTGGGAAGAAGCAGATAGCTTCCTCCATGTGTTTGTGGATGCAATCGCGAAAAAGTTTGGCATGAGCGTGTCGCTGCTATTAGTCGGACCTCTTGGCGCGGAACAAGGGAAGATAAGCATGCGAAGGTATGAACATGTGACCGCGAGTTCGACTTGGTTCTCACACTTCTTCCTTCATGCAGCGCGCATTCGAGCAATCCTGGCAGTATGACGAACCTCATCTGGCCCGAGTTTGACAAACAAGGGTTCAGAAATGTGCAAGCTTCACTCATCAAATATGGCGAATCAGTCTTCTGTAAGTTCGACCCTCTTATCGGGGTTCGTCAACTCATTCATTTCTTTATCTAGCTCCTGCAGAATGCAAGCGGCGTATCATCTCGGTTAGCTCAGACACAGAAGCCGATGAAGGCCTATCGATATCACTGCCAGATACTGCGCCCCCCTCACCACCTGTCGAAGAACCCGAAGAAAGGCTTTCTGACAGCGACCAAACTCTAGATGGGAAGGGGCTGTACCATATGGATGGCACGCAGGTGGGTGCTGCACCTGGAGCCGGAACGTTCACCCAACTCCTTGGGGGCTTTTGGGACGACCCAGCAAACTATGAGGATCTAGGAAACTTCGCGTTCATGCAGTCACAGATACCAGTACCATCTCCGTCTACGCAGCCACCACTTCCCGTGCAATTTTTCCAACCGCCTACAGTTCCTCAGCAAACGGAAATAGCGCCAATAGCGCCAATTCAATCGCCGTTCACACTCCCAGTCGCTACAGGTCCAATTACGCAGACGGCATCCATATCGCCACCGACTCAACCGCCGTTTACTCAGCCAGTCGCTACGGGTCCAATTACGCAGACGGCATCCATATCGCCACCGATCCAACTGCCGTTTACTCAGCCAGTCGCTATGGGTTCAATCACGCAGACGGCATCTATATCGCCACCAACCCAACCGCCGTTTACTCAGCCAGTCGCTACGGGCTCAATTACGCAGACGGCATCCATAGCGCCGACCCAGCCATCGTTTATGCAGCCAGTCACCACGGGTCCGATTATGCAGACAGCACCTGTTCACTCCCACGAGCCAGTCCCAACTGCGCCGGTTGGGCTTATGGCGACTCAACCATCGTTCACGCAGCCAGTCGCAGCGGGCCTAAACACGCAGACGGGAGCGCCAACTCAGCCATCGTTTATGCAGCCAGTCACCACGGGTCCGATTACGCAGACAGCACCTATTCACTCCCACGAGCCAGTCCCTACTGCGCCGGTTGGGCTTATGGCAACTCAACCGTCGTTCACGCAGCCAGTTGCAGCGGGCCTAAACACACAAACGGGATCCATAGCGCCAACTCCACCCTTACCTACGTCTGTGCTGCCTTTGCCCCAATCCCAGCAGGCGGTCTCTATTCCGCTGATCCCCCCCGTTCCACCACATGCGGCAATACTGCCAGCCGATCCGGAGTCGTCACCAGGGAAAGAGAATGCACATCCCACGACGAAGGAAAAGCAGACCGGGGCCGGCAAGGAGGAGCAACCCAACGCAACCCAGAAGGGAAAATGAACTCGGACAAGCAAGGAGGCGCGGGGGGATGAGCCTCAAACGAAAAGACAAACGCGAGCGCGCAAGGAGGTAGATGAAGGGCCGATACAACAAGAGAAGCGAATCAAGAAGCTGCCCCCCCACCTTGTCGCCATTGGTTACGTCGCTCCATCCAAGGGGAAGAAGCAGAATAAGAAGAAATGATATGTTAGATTCTTCGCCGTATTCGTTTCCCGTTTGAATTTTTTGTGCTCCATTGCCCTAGTTAGTTGTTTGTACCTATCGTGACAATCATTATCCTTAGTTTGACAAATATGAGGGCGAGGGTGAGCCCCGATGGGTGGCGACGTTGTTTTGATCAACACAAGTCCCACATTTTGGTATGGAGTTGGCTTGATAATGAAAGCGCAAGTCCCACATTTTAATGTGTAGCAGTTGGCATTATCATGTAGTCGTACGTTAGATGTAATAGAAGAGGGAAGCTGCTATAGGTAAAGGGTATATAATAATTCGCGGGTACATTATAAAATACGCGGGGTGGAAGCAGCAGACATTATAATCCGCGGGGCGGGAGCGTAAAACAGCAGGTGGACGTTCACGGGTGCATTATAATTCGCGGGGTGGGAGCATCAGCACGGTCGACTGCATTAAAATGTGGACGTTCGCGACGCGCGGGTACATTATAATTCGCGGGGCGGGAGCATCAGCACGTAAAATGTGGACGTTGGCGGGTGCATTATAATACGCAGGGTGGGAGCAGCAGTGAGGTCGCCTGCTTTAAAATGTGGACGTTCGCGGGTACATTATAATTCGTGGGGTGGGAGCATCAGCACGGTCGCCTGCATTAAAATGTGGACGTTGGCGGGTGCATTATAATTCGCGGGGTGGGGCGAGCAGTGAGGTCGCTTGCATTAAAATGTGGACGGTCGTGGGTGTATAATAATTCACAGTGTGGGCATTAAAATGCCGTCGCTCAAGGGGGAAAGGATCTGAGGTTCACATTATAATGTGGCCTGATGGTATATTATAATGTACGGAGGGGGGGTCTAGCATAGTGGTGTATTTTAATGCGTGTGTCTGGCAAATCCATGGTGTATTATTATCTGACTACATGGACACCTCTTTGTGAGTCACCTTTACTGTTTTGGATCCATACGGAGCCCAGTCGCCATTAGTTTCCTCCAATTCCTCAACATCTTCTGCAGCATCAGCTGTCGACTGATCATCTTCATCGTGCTCCAATGCATCAATGGCTGCGGTAGCATCTGGAATACTGGTATCTTCGTCGGGAACTTCACTGATCGCATCCAGGATACCTGAGAAGGCGGTGTGCTCGGAAAGATAACGAAGGCCTGCAATCGTTGCCCAAATGGATTGATGTGAGTTCTCTGCTTGTTGTTCATGGCCAGTCGTAAACATTATTGAATCGCCACAAGGCGTTGTGAACTGCCCATCCTCGATGTCCCAATCGGTGAATATATTCTCTGACACCGACTCCGTCTGCGTATCCGGGATGTCCTTTTCATCACCTGGAGCTGCAAACAGATTGACAAAAGGAATGGTGATTGGAGTGGCAAAGAGAGCCTCGGGATCAAGAGACAATTGCGACGATGAGCCTGATGCCGTCTTACACGTGGAGTCTCCCGGATTTTGGCGATCTTTCTCTGCTTTCAGGTGCCGCTCAGTCTTGCAATGCTTGCTGATCGATTTGCGAAATAGCTCCACAGGTTGCAAGGAATACGCCGTGCACAATATGCATTTGACTCGCCCATCGTCAAGCTCCTCGAACCCTGGCATGATTTTACTCAACACCTTGGCCGGAAGAAGCAGAGTACAGACAGCAAACCTTCTCGAAGACGAGTTGGTGGCGTCATAATCTTGAAATCAGAACTAAGTTGCGTGCGAATTTGGACTTGTCTTCAATTTGTTTCCGTTTCTGACTGTTGACTTCCACCAGCGTCTCCCTTCCATTTGCTTTCATCACACTCTCTCCCTTTCTTTCTCTTTCTTTCTTTCTCCTTCTTTTTTTCCCAACATGTCTACCGTGGACGATTATTTGAACATGGATTTGACTTCGAGTCCCATACGTCCTTCTCACATTCCTTCAGGCTCTCCTTCGATCCCTCCCACTTCTCCAAGTCGTTCAACCTCGCCTATCCCTCACATCGAACTTCCAGATCAGCTGGCTCCTCAGTCAATGTCGTTGACGCGGAAACGCCCTGCTGAAGATGATTCGGCTTTCATTGCGAAAACTGCACGCTCCCACAAGCTGGCGAAATCCGATACAGAAGAATTGACTCTCTTTTCAAAGGCAAACCATTTGAATCATCACCATTTATATGACCTGATGCCCGTATATCATGTCATCAGCACACTCCTGGCCAACAACGTGTTCTCTTGGCTGCAAGCCTTTTGAGTATTCATTCAAAGCTCGCAAAAATTGACCCGCCAAATGCGGTCTACGCAGTTCCTAGTCGGCTTGTGGTTCGTCTTCAGCTGCAGACTGAGGAAGATTAACTGTTGAGTGGCTAACCATACTGTGTATCTAGAAAAAGATGGACATGATCATGTACCGTGTCCTTCTTGATCCCTCGCTTCCAGCATATCTCACTGATGAGATCCCACTCAAGAAAAGCCTGGTGTGTAGCTTTCTTGAATATATGTACTCTATGTCTCACCTGTTGCCACGGCTAAGGCTCTTCTCGAGAATAATACATCCTGGGGTCTCACGAAAGAAGTCAAGGATTGCGAGAACAAAATGCACACCATAGCTACCATGATGCGAAAGAAGTTCAACACGGGACGTCATGATATCAAAGGACTGGTGCGTTTCCTCATGCACAATCATTTTTTTCCTGATCCCTGTTTGCAGTTGATTAGTTCTGTCGGCAACCCTCATCCAGACGATCCCTCACGGCAGTCGGATTCGCTCAACATTGTTGAGCTGTCTGATAGCCTCATTACGCTCAACGAGAAGTCTGTCACTTCTACCAGCGTGGAACTCTGTGCTCGTGTGGCCTTCTTGGTAAGTCGTCGATCGCCTCTTCAATTGTACACAATGCTTAAAATGGCTTACTAGCGCCTTGCCGCTTCGGAGAAGAAGAATACCGGAGGTAGCTTCTGGAAAATCCTCGATACAAAGCTCGTTGATGCATGCAAGAGGTATCAAACCCCACAGACGATATCAAAGTAAGTGGTTAAGAATGTGTCATTTGCATTGTTGACGATATTACTCCAGATTCTTTGGGAAGATTCTCGAGGATGACCTCAAGAAATATGGCACTGTTAACGTACACCAAGCCGTCCGAGATCGTCAGCGTGACAAATTGCCTCGCTTTCCCAATGGTGATGACGACGAGGACGATGATTAAGCAGTTTTGCTGTTTTCCTTGGCTTTCCACCATACCTGGCACACTGTGCTTTTGAATAGCCGTAAATTCTTCTAATAGTGTCTCCTGATGTCCATAACGATCATCCTCATGTCTATAATGACCGGTACAATAAAATTGGATTAATTTTGATATACATCATGACTGCCACTCAGCCGAAAAGATTCCTGAAAGATCCTGTGAGATATGCAGAAGATGTTGCAGTGCTCTTTAGCAAAGATATAGGTAACATCTTGACAAGGTTTGCAGCGGAAGATTTGGGAAAGAGCGAACCGTAAGCTTCCCAAAAGATTCCGCTTGGGGACTGTCAGCGAAGATGCGAATTCAATCTTCCCACAAGCTTTCCTGAAGAGCTGGCGCTCTTCCAGCCAGATTCGGTGACAGTTCCACACGGATCACATGTGAAGATCCTGGCGAGTCGGCGGTGTAGCATTATCGGGGCTGAAAGAGTAAGTTACGTCGGACGTGGGTGCTGAACAGATTGACGGCATAAGGCACCTCGATTAGCGCACACTATCTGCACATCAGTGAGGACTTCAACCCCGGCAGGAAGAGAACGCACACAGATAGCATCCACATTTCGCGCGACTTCCATCCCGAGGTCAGTTCACTGTCTCCAAAGAAGTGGTGAAGCTAACGGGCTGCCCAAAGCTGCGCAGCGGCAGCTTCGGCCAGATACATATGTACGGGTTGAGGTCCTGTGCCGACAAGATCTGCGTGGGCGTCATTTACGAGTCCCTTGCCTTCGACAATGGCATGATAGATCCTGAGCATACCCTGTTCTATTGTGCACTAGCTGTGCCATTTTCACCCCTTCCAGCCTTGCATTGATCCCGTCCTATGCCCTGGTCGATGAGGATGCACACACACTTCAGACGGGTGAACGGCCTTGAGGGTTCCGAACCGCAGGCTGGCTCAGCAAAAAAGGGTAGTTGAGTATCTGAAGTCTTCGTCTGATTGTCCCCATGACTAGAGTAGATGGATACTCACCGAATCGCGGGGCTTGAGGACGTCGTGGCGGCTCGAAGTTGGAGGGAACGTAACAGGTACAGGTACAGTCATGAAGCACTGGCGATCATGATCGCATTTCCGGGCCGGTTCGCCACCCCAAGACTTTTCATTCGAGAGCAAGAGCACTTGTGTTCCCCGGCCGTCTGCCCCGTTCATCGACGTCGGACTGAACACCAAGTCAAACGTGTACCAAGCCACGGCCAGATTCTGGTTTGTTCCGTTCGAGAAGGAGAAGGAGAATACTTGGACGATCATCCACGGTGAGCCGTGTCCTCTATAGCTACCCCCTGCCTATTCAGCCACAACTAATGATCAGCTGTGATCAGCTGCACGTCGTTGTCCTCGCACAATCACCACCAAACCAAACTCGACCGACCGCCAGCGCCCCGTTTCGCGCGTGGACGGTGCAATTCAAGCACCGAGTCTACGTTCCCATTCTCACTCCGTACCCCAAGTGCTGCGATGCGACTCTCCGTCTTTACAACCTTGAACCCGCGGATTGCTAACTCAAGTGGGGAGGGTGTGGCTACCTGCTACGGCTTCTCTGCGGTGTGGTGTGGATGCAGGGCACGCAGGCGACTCGGAAAGCATGGACATAAATCAGGCTTTCACGCTCGTAGGCGAGTCTCTCACAGCAGCTCCCCGTCGCGACTGTTTCGAACTCACACGCTTTGTCGACTTTCCGGATGGCTTTGCGATCCGCAGGTTGAACCTCCCCTGCGCCTCTCGCGCTGCTTTGCGCGCTTGGAGAGCCGCTAGCAGACCGACCCCACGATTCACTGCGTTATGCGTTATGCCAACCGACGCAGGAGGGGTGCATTTGCACCTCGCGCAATAGGGAAGGGCGAGGCGACGCGGGGCCCTTATGATTATACGATCCGCTTCTGTGTGCCCAGCGCCCCATCTATCCTTGTCCCACGATGTCATCGTCCCACCTTACGTCGGCCGGACACCCTCTTCCGTGCTCCGTGCCACACACCCTGACACCGCGAACCCCCCCCCCCGCCCGCCGCGGCTGGTCCCGTCCGACCGACCACGTCGCCCCGGCGAATGTATGCATTCTCACCGCATCCACCGCTCCCCCTCGCTCGCGGCTCTCCAGCACACAGACCACACCCCGCCCTCCGCCCTCCGCGCTGCCGGGAGTTCGGGTGTCTGCTAGAGGAAGAGCATGAGCTGCGGATGGGCGCCGTCTCCCCGCCGTGCTGTCGCCTGTCGTCGATCCAGGCGGCGTCGCGAGGGGGGAGCGTGCAGCGTGCAGGAGCGCGTGTAGTGTGGTGTCCGGCGGAGGCAGCATTGCTCGGCGCAGGAACCACTTCCGATTCCGATCCCGAGGCTTAAACGTTCGATATCGCCATCCGCCTCGAAGCAGGACGATGGATGTATGTGTTCCCCGTACGCACCGTGGCACTCGTAGAATCCCCCCCTCCCCGCTTGCTCAGCAATGATCACCTGCGATGATCACCTGCGATGCGTCTCCGGGTGTCGGGATAGCGCGGCTGCGTCTGTCGCCGTGCTGTACACGTGGACCGTCCTGGTGGATCCTACGGATGGCGAGAGTGGTTTACGTCGGAAAGGCAGAGGAGTGTAGAAACGGAAGCCGGGTCGATAGAGGGTGTGGGATATGGGATATGGGATATGGGATATGACGACGCGACAACGCAGATCTCAAAATCCCGCGCGAGAAGAAGCGAAGGTGACGCACCGCCGATATCACGCACCGCCGATACCACCCACCATTCATTCAGATATCCATTAGCATCGCCATCCACGGAATATATGTTGCGCTGCGCAAGGTGATGGATGGTGTAGACCCGGCAGTTAATCGCGAGGGACCGTGAGGGGGGTGCAGCGAAGGCCACAAGGTGGACGTCGACGAGGGAAGGATGGGAGCGCAACAGTGGCCACCCCGACATTTCGTGGGGATCCGCTACCGTGAACCGAGCGAGGCAAACGCCGACTGCCGTTCCCCGCAGGAAGTGACCTGTCCTTGGCGATAGCATCGACCATGCGTCCGCTCGGCTCCAGATTCTCGAACACCCGCTGCCGCTGCACGTAATACGAATGCACACGGACGTCGCGCAGGATCAACGTCTTCGAAGATGTTGGTTGGAGCAGAGGAGGCCTTGGCGGGAAGGGAAGACGTTCAGGTATTTGTCGATGTCTACTTGTAATTGAATCAGAGGCTCGTATTTATTGACGATGATGATGTCAGGGCCCAGGCCCATGGCAGTTGAAGTTGAAGAAAAGCGGGCTACATCGGCGCCAATTCTTTTTTTGGTTAGCTCCGTTCACGTTCTTACAACGGCACTCACCTCATTCGACGGAGTACCAAGTACGTGTTCCAGTTCCTCGCCCCTTGAAAACTGTTATCCAATATCACTGTGCGCAGAATGAAGCAGCGTGTCTGCTCCATAGCACGACTGCCTCGTGCAGAACGAAGTCGCCTGTGGTTTACCAAATAGGCCACCTTACGCATATATGCGCTCGGTATCGTCGACCCGACTTGGTGCTGTCGAATAAGCAAATGCCTGGCATTTTGCTTACTCTGGTCTATCCGCCGCTTTCCAATTCCCCCATCCACCCCCTCCGAAATACGGCAACGATGGTTGAGTCTGTTCGACAAGTCTATTCCCTTCAATAGACAACGCGTCATGGATCAGGCTCGATGACGACGAATTTGAATGGTACTGACGTAGTGCTGACATCTGTGTGACGCCCACAACACTATATCATGCATCGCCCTTTCTTGCTTGTACCATCTAACCCCCATTATGGCCGGCGACCACCAGTGCTCCGTTTGCCAGGCGACGTTTACACGACCGCAACATGTAGCGCGCCACATGCGATCCCGTAAGTGCCAGTTTCCACTCCGCTCCCCGCTCCGACTCCAGCTTACGCACGACCCTAGACACCGGCGACAAGCCGTACAAGTGCCCGTTCTGTGTCGATCAGTTCGCTCGAAGGTACGTTTCGCTCTCGATCGTATTGAAGCATTTTTGATTGGGCTTTTAGTGATCTATTGTCGAGGCATGTCAACAAAGCCCATGCCTCGGAAAAGCCGAGTTCTGGCACTGCGACACAAAAGAAGGCCGCGTCCAGAGCCACCACGTCGAAGCAGTCGTGCGACCAGTGTGTCCAGTCCAACTCTCCCTGCAATGGTTCATATCCATGCTGTGCGTGCCTTCCAAACATCCATCCTTCTTCTCCTCATCTTCTCGCCCACTAGCCCAATGCACCCAGAACACAATCCGCTGCACCTTCGTCAAATTCCACAGACAGACAGCCCCGATCGGACCAGGCCACAACCCCACAGATGCTCACCTAACGTCCTCAACACTCCCCGCTTCTACCGCCCCCACAGACCCGCTAGATCCTGCAGCACTCCCCACACCACCCATGTTCCGCGATCCCACATCTGCCTCGATGTACACGTCCCCATTCCCCCCCTCTACTTCCTACTTACCCGACGACACACCCCACCCCGACCTCCCCAAACCATCCGGCGCCGATTTCGCGAAATACAAGTCCCAGGCCGAGTATATCCGCCGATTGCCTCTCTTCCAGCCCGCCGTGGACGCTCCTCCCCCAACTTCGACGGCCACGCCGGGGTGGGGCGATGAACCCAGCGCGACGACCGCCGCAGATCCGTCGATCTCGCCCGAGGTGGATTACGCTGGTGATGCTCGCCGTTTGTCTATGGAATTCAGCAGCGACTCCTCGGCCTCGCCGTCCCCTACATGGTCGAGCGTCCGTCTGCCCCCAGACATCTCGGCGCACCAGCATCCCTACCCCTACCACGTGAGTTTCATCCAAGATTTCGCTGATATCGTGCCGCTGCTGAGGTACGTATCTCCGTGCAGGCGACTCACGCGCATACCCACAGCAATGATCTACAAGACGCGCTCTCCGCAAATTTCGGGCACGACGACGGCGGATGCGGATTTGCGTCCGCGCTCGGGCTGATGAGTCTCGAGGACCCGGGTGCACTAGCGGGGTGCTATGGCTCTGACGCTGACTCTGATGCCGTCGCGTCCTTCTTTGCGATGTATGCAATGGACCCCTTCCCAGACAACCCCGGCTGCACGCCGATGCCCCGCAAGCCCGCGCCGAGCGGGGCCTCCCGCCTGGCGCGCCCCCATCTGGATACCCCCGACGCACAATTCCCCGGCGTGTGTGGTGAAGAAGAGGAGCGGCACGCGCTCGGGGACAGCTGGACGACGTACCTCCGCACACCGCCCGACGCGCCTATTGCGCCCAGCGCGTGCAACGAGCCCAACGAGCGCGTATGCGCATTGGTATGTGCATCCACCGACTTCGCTAGCGCTGCTCCGGGCTCCACACCCCAGCCGTACCACCGCGCACGCGTGTCATCGCTGCCACGCGCGGTGCACGGGGATGCAGACGACCTCGGGGCGTACGCGCCCGCCGTGTGCGCCCGCCGCGCGCCCCTCCGCCTCAGTCTGGGGCCTAGGCAAGCACGCGGTGCGGGGGTTGCGGTTGCGGTTGATGCCGGTGATGCGTCGGGCGGGAAAGTTGGCGCGGGGGCGGGCGCTGGTGGTAGTGGTAGTGGTAGTGGCGGCGGTGCGGAATCTGCGCGCCCGTCGTTCAAGCGCCTCGCCTCGCGCACCCTCGGCCCCGAGCACGCCAAACGCCAAACGCCAAACGCCAAACGCTGATTATGGGGTGTGATGCGAGCGATGCAATGTGATGTGAGCGACGAATCTGAATCAGATGGTGCTGGGGGTGCTGGGGGTGCCGAGAGGTGGACCGACGAAGTGGTGTTGAGCGTTGATGCGCGGAAGCAGTAGCGGCAGCAACAACCGTCGCAGCACGCGTTTCCGGGTTTTCTGAGGCCGCGATGTCCGCACCAGGACGTTTGGTGGTCTGGCCGGCCGACGGGGCATGAGCATGAGCGTGCCAGCTATGCCTATCCTATGCGCTCGCCCGTTCCTACACCCCACGCCCTACCCAACCTACCCAACCTACCTACAGGATAGCTGAGGCGTAAATGTTCAATCCGCAAAACGTCGCTTAAACCCCCCGAAATCTCATCACTTCGCTTACCCCCCCGGATGTGTGCGATCAGAGCCCATTTTCGCTGGCATTGATATTCGTCCTCGGGCGCCCTGGTTACACTGGTTAGGCTGGGGTTATGCAGGCCGTTTCTCTGCTAGCTACATAATTTGTGTTGTGTATTAACTTACGTTTAGCCGCCCTGCTGATTTTCTCTTGATGTCGTGATGTCGTGATGTCGTGATTGATGCTCGCGGATTGTCACTGTAGCGGTGTAGCGGTGTGTCTGAATATGGGGGGGGGTTGCGACTTTTGTTGATGTGTTTCGTAGACTGCGGTGTTTCCGCTCGTTCTCGCGTTAAACGGTTCTCGCGTTAAATCGCGCACGCAGTACCGTTGTCCGCCTTCCGCACAATCGCCTTTCGCACCGCAGACGCCGTTCTGACAGTTGCACGTCACAGGCGTGTTCTTCACCGGCGAGTCCAGGCAAGGTCAGTGCGACAGCCTTCGTGTGGTCCTAATCTCTCGGAGTTTAAGTATTTCGGGGTACGAGATGTGAAAGAGTGAAAGACGCTGGACTCACAACAACGTGAGAGACAGCGCGTTTGAGATGAAAGCCGAGCTCGGAGTATGGAGTGCTGAGACTGGAGACTGTAGAAGGACGAAGGGTTCAGAGAAGAAGAATCTACCCAAGCTTTCGCCCAGTTACGACGGGTGCTCCCACTGCAGAGGCCGAGCGTCTGGGGTACTGACGGAAGGGTGGAAGTCCAGGGTACTTTCTCGATACTATTACTAAATATACCACCACGTCACATGATCCTGTTAACGCTAACCTGGACGATGTGTTCATCACGGGGTTCCCTCAAGCCCTTATCGAGATGCCCAACACTATCTCTCGTCTCCTCCCTATGTTTGAACCAGTGTCTGCGCGTCGACTACTCACATTGACACAGCACGAAATTTAAAGTTGCGAAGTTGCAGTGTTGAAGTTGTGAAGTTTCATTGTTGAAGTTGCGAAGGGGCCAAGTTGTAGTGTTGAAGTTGCGAAGTGTCCGAGTTCGTCCTTGGAGTTCGATTTTCAAAAGGAAATAATGTTGTCCAATGAGTCCCCTCATATGATATTGTAATAATAAAATAGAATAGAATAAAACAGAAAGCAGACGGACAAATACAACACCTTGTAACTTACTAGTGCGCCCAACGAGAAGACCAGACAGGTAGAAGCAATAGCAATAGCAATTCTATATCGCAAACACTTCTTCAAGACGCCTCTCACAAGGCCCCAGAAAAAGGAAGTCGGCATCTTCAGCGTGGTTGCTAGGTTCAAGGTTGAAGACCGCCACCTTCCCGCCATGAGCTTTCACGCGAGAACCAAGCTTCGACGCGGGTTGGACCTGCAAAACCAGAACATCGTTTGGCATGGAAGACGAAATCTGGTTTTGATGGACGGACATACCGCTGATGATGAACCGACGATGATGCACAGATCGGCTTGATCCGCGAGAGCTAAGATGTCGAGGATTCGATGGGGCCGTTCGCCGAACCATACCACACCTGGGCGACACATCTGCCCGCACAGAGGACAGCGAGGCAAATCAGCGCGTTTAACAACAGGCTCGGACGAACGGTCGTCCGCAAAGCTTTCTGTGCTGCCAAGAGCAGGACAAATGGGCGAGTGGTAGTTCGTCTCGAGGTAAGAGCAGTCATGAGCGGTACATCTGACGTCAAAAAGTCGGCCGTGCATTTCGATCAGTTCAGCAGGCGTCTCGCGCGCGGCGAGCGGAGCCTGCACTTCGGCCAGCGCTTTCGTGAGGAGCCCATCGACGTTTTGCGTGACGTGAGTAAGCTCGGCGTGCGGTGCGATCTTGTGGCGCATACTGGGAATCGCTAAGCGGGTAAGCACGTAATGTCCCGGGTTGGGAGTAGCCTTGAGTACCCTGCGAGCACAGTAAGTTCTACCGAGCTCATTTGTAGCGATCACTCACAGTTCACGCCGGTAATGATGGAACTGCCATACACGAGACTGGTTCTCTGAGAACGCCCCAGGAGTTGCAAGAGAAGCTGGGTCGTATTTGCGCCACAAACTACCGGTTCCTCCTCTGTAAGTCGGAATGCCTAGTGGCCCGAATGAGTGTGTTCATCAAGGTAGGATGAGACAGCCAAGTACCTGACGCAGCGGATAATCCAGCCCCGCTAAGAACGAGGATTTTCTTCGACGATTGCAGTACTTGACGGAAGTCGTCTATGTTGTCCGACATCAAGGTTGGGCGTAAGTTGAATCAGATGGTTTGGTGGGACGGCGGAGAATGCCGAATACGAGCCGCAGTAACAGTGGGCGTTTGTGTACATGAGAACACGAACAAAAAGTTTTTGGCTTGACTCCTTGCGATGAGAATGCAGTACACGGGGTATCTAGACGGAGGTGCACCATAGAGATTTCAAGCATCAGGTCAGAGTTTGTTGGAGAAACGATAGCTAGATGACAGCGAAATAAGAACATGTGTACATTAATCGATTTCCAGGCCGAGTTTATCGAAGTAGTCCAGGTCATAGAAATCGCAAGAAGGGCGGCACCATGCCCACCGCATCTTGTCCAGGTACATCGTCTTGTAACGACGATAATTGCCAATCATGAAAGGGGCAAACCATATCCACAGTTTCGGGGGGCGAAAATCCTCCCGCGCGGCGTCACCCCACTCCGCCAATTGCGCATATTCGAGCCACGCGGGATACGCGCCAGCATTGGCCCAGTCGATTAACCATAATCCACCCTTCTTGTCAACGAGGAAGTTTCGAAGATGAAGGTCCATATGACAGAGCACGAGCGGATGGGAAGCATCAAATTTTGGGCAGGTCGTCATCTCTCCGCCGGTTTCGTTATGGTATGCCGCCAGACAGTCAAACCGTCGGCGATCGAACCAAGCTGCCATCTCGGCATAGGATTGGAAAGGACCGGCGCCATCCTCGCGGAAGAAGGTACCCCGACACAAATAAGGCCGGCCGGCGGCGTCGAACGGGCCGGGGACGTCGCGAGTGAGAAGCGGCACGCGCTGCAGCTGGCGGATGTAGCGACGCGCCGTCCACAACACGCAAATCCTCCTCCACCACGACATTGTGGGCCAGGCCACCTCCAGATCCTCGCCGTCTATGTGTTCCATGACGATCCACGTCCCGTCTCTATAGCTGTCCTCGGCTCGCGCAGGTATCGCGCGCAGAACTTTGGGGATTCGGATAGCCGTGTGGGCGGAGACATAGGTCATCATGAACGCCTCTGTGGCGCTCCACGAGAATTTGGCAACAGCATCTGGTCCAATTTTCCAGGCACTGCTGCCGGGGAAGGGTCCGCTAAGCTGGCCGACAGCGGTTTCCTTGCTTCGAGCGCAGATTAGAGCGTATATTTCGTCATCCGTGAGCTTGTCGACTGAAAATGGCTCAGGCGTTTTTCGATGTCTACTTATCAGAGGCTCTTGAGCGGTTGCGCACATTTTCAAGGGGTTTACTGACGAAGAGGATGTCAAGCCCATGGTGGTTAAAGTTGAAGAGGCTACACCGTCAATTGCTACCCGTTAGCGCCGGTCACCTTCAACGCTAGCAGGGGAACGTATCCCACGGTCACAAATATATTCGCACAATCACAACTGAACCTAAGTAGCTCTTGACTTGGTCGTTTCGTGCCCATTTCACCTCCTTCTTGTCTCTCACCGCCACCCTCTACGATTTTTTTCATACGTTTGCTGGTGTACCAGTCAAACACAATACAAACTACTTTTGTTCATTTGAATATCGCGTGATCGTCGGCAGCTGATTGGCACTCCTAGCACCCACTCTTTAGGCCTCTTTCCAGCAGTGTTGGACTTTGGTGGAACTCAGAACCCTGAACCCCGTGGGCGAGGGAGGGATAAGGGGATAAAAGGGAGGACGTTGACAATGGGATTTGGATGCGATGTCTCCAGCAGAGGGTTTCGCTGTGCATGGCAGAGGCGGTAGAGGCTCCAAATCGGTCCCTTCGTTGTACCCCATGCCCACCACCACCCAGCGTCTTCGCCGTTGCCGACTCCTTTGAGGTCGCAACGCTAGGGCGGAGGGTGGTGCGCGCCATCTGCAGCTACGGACCGTAGCAATGGATATAGAACTCCCAGGCATCGGAAGGGATTGCTGACCCTCCATTCATTGCAGAGGCTTCAGCTGTTGCTCGTTCGTATACCCCTTCCCCTTTCTGCGAAGACTCTCCTCGCCACGGCAACCGCAAGTCACCAGCTCATGGGTTCCCGAGCTCCCCCATCACCGCTCCCCGCTCGCCCTACCGTTTTGTGCTCAGCATAGCCGGAAATTGCAGCATCCTCTCCAGAATGTAATCACTTAGCTGCCTCGCCGCCCTCGACAAGCGTGACCAAGAGCGCCGGTTTTGGGGCGTTTATGATCCCCAGGACTCGGCGAGGGACGTCTAGAACGGCGTCGTGGTCCACCAACCTACAGCCCGCTCGCCAATGTAATGCACAGTTGTCTGCAGTTCTTCGAATGGATTATGAAGGGTGCTGTTGCTCGACGCCTATTGCATACTCCCTCTCATCTCCAGGTTACCAAGATGTTTGAACGAGACCTTCGAGTTTCATTCGGAGTACCTGCTAGATGAATATCTTCCACCTTGTACATGAGTATATGTATTGGTTTGTAACAGTATGTGGATCTCCTTTATTACGACACGAAAGAAGGCCACTTCAAGAGCTACTACGTCGAAGCAGTCGTGCGACCAGTGTGTACAGTCTAACTCGCCCTGCAATGATTCAAATCCTTGCTGTGCGTTGCTTGAATATATATATATATTTCTTTCTTGTGCTCATCTTGTCGCCCACTAGCCCAATGCACCCAGCGGACAATGTGTTGCACTTTCGTCAAATTTCACCGGCAGACGGCGCCGATCGGCCCAGGTCGCAATCCAATAGACTCTCACCTATCCTCCTCAGGACTGTCCGGTTACTCCGCCCCCACCGATCTCCTGCTAGATCCTGCAGTACTATCCACAGCACCCACGTTTGGTGATCCTACATCTTCCTTGATGTACAAGTCCCCATTCCCCTTGTCTACTTCGTACTTACCCAACGACATACCCCAGCCCGACCTGGCCAAACCATCGGAAGCCGATTTTGCTAAATACCAATCTCAGGCTGAGTACATCCGCCGACTATCTCTTTTCCAGCCCAGCACGGAAGCTGCTCCGCCAACTTCGACAACCACGTTGGGTTGGGGCTCTGAAACCAGCGCCCTGTCAGGCCTGGGAGTGGGTGCGACTACCTTCGCATATCCGCCTATCTCTGCTGAGGTGGATCTTACCAGTCACGCTCGCCGTTTATCTACGGAGTCTAGTAGCGACTCGTCTGCCTCGCCGTCCCCTACGTGGTCAAGTGTCCATCTTCCCTTAGACATGTTATCGCAGCAACATCTCAACCATGTGAGTTTGATTTGCGATCATTTCGTGCCAATGCTGAGGTGCATTGATCGTGCAGGAGACTTATGCCCATGCCCACAGCGATGATCCACCAGACAGGTCCTTCGGCTTATCGCCGAGCACAAATTTCGGTCACAACGACGGAGAATTTTCTTCAGCGCTCGGTTTAATGAGTCTGGAGGATCCTGACGCATTAGCCGAGTTCTCCAACGACGTCGCGTCCTTCTTTGCGATGAATGTAATAGACACCTTTTCAGACAATTTCGACTCCACACCAATGCCTCGCAAGCCCTCCACTCGCGGAGCCAGCCTTCTTTGTCCCCCCCATCCAGCTAACCCCGCCAATGCATCCACCAACGGCCCTTCCTACACTAACTTACAATCTCCCAGATCTCGCGACGAGGAGCTTCGCGCTCTCAAAGATAGCTGGAAGATGTACCTCCGTACACCGCTTAGCGGGCCCGAGGAGCCTATGTTCACCGACTTCTCTACTCCAGCCTCCACAGGTCATTCATATCATCGCACATGCGTGTCCTCGATGCCAAGCGTGCAGACCCCTTCTGCAGAACGCTCAGGACCGTTTGCTGCTAACGGTGCGCCGCCCTCGACACGCAGGACGATGCACGGGAATCCAGACGACCTCAGATCGTATGAGGCCGCCGTCCTCGCTCGTCGTGCCCCCTCCGTCTCAGTCTAGTGCCTAAGAGAGCGCGTGGTGCTACGATTGGCTCAGCCATCACTGCATCGTGCAGCCCACTTGTCTCCGTGGCGGATGGTGCCACTGCATCTGTGCGACCGTCGTTCAAGCGTCTCGCATCGCGCACGCTGGGCCCGGAGAATGCTAAACGCACCATGTTTGCTTACGATGCCAGCGACGATGAATCAGACGCAGTCGATGGCGAATTTGACCGAAGGGATGTATCTTATCGATGGAACCCTGAGCAGCAGCAACTGTCGCAGCCTGGGTTCCAACCCGGGTTTCCTCAAGCCGCGATGCCCCCACCATCGTCGTTTGGTGATCTGGCTGGCCGACGGCGAATGAGCGTGCCTGCTATGCGCCCGACCGTCTTGATATCCCAGCTGCTGGACAGTTGAGAGCCGGAAACGTGGGAATCTCATCCGTTTGATGTTCATTGTCGGGACACTGACAGGCTGTGCAGACCTTTTTTAGTCAATTTAGAGCAGATCTCCCTCTTCTCTCACTGTAGTGATGTACCTAAACACCAGGATAGGTCGTGTTGTCGTTTGTAACTGGCTTGATGTAGTGGTTCTTGTACACATATATACTGATTATATCGTTTCGTTAATGCAGAGGCAACTCAAACAAAAATGGTAAGTACAATAGATGGTCGATATCTAACATTACTAAAATCTGCCGCAGTCCGCCCATTGATATCTTCGCTTCTACTCCTCGATCTGCCGACAGCGCTATACCGGGGGAAGGGGGGGTTCACCTAGCCACTTGATAAGTTTCGGGGGTACTTATTTTCTAGGAAGTCGCCCAAGAGACACGGCGGAACTCTGGGGGGAGCTACACCATGGGCGTAAGACTCGCTTCAGCTGTCGCGTCTGGGATGAGAGGGGACACAGAATGCTACGTCCTACAAGAACTTTCCTTGGTGACGCCCTTGTTTCGATTTGTTCGGGCCACGATCAGCGCGACACAACTAGAGAGGTTGCCGTTGCTAGATGCATGTATGTCGGATGAAACTTGCACTTGAGCCTGAGCAGCCGCCTTAGCAGCTTGTCCAGAAGCATATTGGCTGCTGGATTTTACTGCAGCATCTCCTGCGGCTGCGGGAGTATTTGAAGGTGCTCATCGTGCATTGTACATGTTCAACCAACCGAGCGAAGAGATGAAGAAAACCAAGGCGGATTGCGCTGGAGGCCGAGAGTGGAGTGATGGGGATCGGCCACGAAGAATGAGAGAGAGGAAGATGGGGAATCTTGTTCGACATGTTGAATGTTAACGTTCGACCTTTATATAAGTGCCCAGCTTGGTGTAAACTGACATCATCACTTCGATTTGGTTTGATGTGTCGCCGTCAGTTGTCAGCCATGCCCTCGATGTGACCACCCTCCCCACGTTTGGCGGCGTGATTGGCCAGTAAACCGAGCATATGTGAAAACCGGATGTAAGGAGAAAATCGAGGATGATAGGGCCCGTCAAAAGCACTACTCAAATTTCCATAGATAGAAATCGTGGAATAGAAACTAGATAGAGGATGAGTACCTTTGGCAAAAGGACGGCTTCCTGCGTAGGATTACGCATACGGGGTCTCGGCGTACGATCTAACCAAATTGTATGCTCATTCTAACCCCAAGGACTCACCATCCAAAGATGACGCTACAGCCGCTTCAGGAGTCGGGGGAGGGAGATATGTTTGTCGAGGCGCAATCAGATTTGATGAGCGGATGTTTTGACAATTGGACGAGGCCTAAAGGGTGGCCTACTAGAGGGTGCATCAATGAAGAGCAGATGAGTCTTTCCAACTCTTTCAATACAAGAAATAGACACATAAGGTACGGCAGGATGCTCGCCATGACCTCCAAGTTACTATAAGAGTACATCTGCATCCCAAACTTGAATCTCTCCAAGATAGTTGCCGGTGACCAATTTCTTCCCGTCCTTCGAGAATGCAAGAGAACATACAGCACTCTTGGTATGGTATTTAGCCACTGTCTTCGTGCCCTTCTCAGCCTTTACCTCCCAGCAGCGAATCGTGCAATCGTCGGAGGCTGAAGCAATCATATCACCACTTTGTGAGATAGCAACACAGCGTATCCAAGTCGAGTGCCTTTCTTCCAGTTTTTCTGTCTTCATGAACCCTTCAGGTCCCTCTCTATGGATGCATATACTTCCGTCGTCTGAGCCAGAGATGATGGTTAAGGCTGGGGTGTAGGTCCTTGCGACTCTGGGGAAAACGGATGTGGTGTCTTCGAAAGTGTTTATATCGGCAATGTGAGGACCTTGTATAGAGGCGTCGGGGTTGAGTTGATGATTCCCTAATACTGTGTTGCTAGTAGGTTGAATTGTCCGATCTCCCTCAGTCTCCTCGTTCGGCCCCGTCTGATATTCAAGGTGGACTGCAACAGTTCGCACGACTCCCTGACCACTGTTGATCACTTTCACGGCCACTGTCTGCTGTCCCAGGTTGTCTGCACTGACATCCCAAACCCGAATAGTGCAGTCGTCTGAGCCAGATACGAGGTAGTATCCGTTGGGAGAAAAGGCTAGGAACCTGATCCAATCACGATGGCCGATCAGTATCCTAATGGCCGGGTCATCTGCGGAAATGCGGTTATAAATTTTGATTGTGGAGTCATCCAAGGCTGCGGCAATTTTGAGTCCATCTGGGGAGAAAGCCACCCTTCGGGCCCTGGACACAGCGAGAAGTTCCCGATGACCGGTTGCATGATCTAATAAGTTCAGCCTTCGCGTTTCCACTCCAGCGATTGAAGAGCCCAGTGCCAGATATTGTCCGTCAGCAGATATTGCAACAGATTTGATCGGCTCTTCTGAGCGGAAAGGTATCTGCGCGGGGTGGCTGAGATTCTTCAAGCACAATATCGACATTTCCGTGGAAGACGCAGAGAAAATGCACTGGTCATTTTCGGAAACTGCGATGAATAAGACTTGCGAGGAATGGCACTGATGTGGTTTCGTAGACAGTCTTCCTGATACAATGTTAAATTTACTTCGGTAAATAAGAAATAAGGGTTAATTACTTACCATCACCGTGACGAAGTATGATATCCCTAGAAGGTTGACGGATGTTGAGGTCCGGCCCGTAAGGAAGATGAAGTCTTGAGACCAGGTCACGGAGTCGCGAAATCGATATCTTGTCATTTTCCATTGGGGGAATGGATATAAGAATTGAAAAGAGAATGCAGTACATCTCTTTGCGAGGGCCGGTTGAGTTCCCGTCACCAGGCCTTTCAAGCTCTGGGAAGAGCAAGTGATTCGTCAGAGCGGATACTACGTCCTTAACCTCAGCGAGCGATCTCAACCGCATTGCTTTAGGTAGATTAGGCCACGTCTGACGAGGGGTTATTGTTAAAACTCACGAGATGAAGTGTATCCTTCAAGAGTGGTGATGATTGAAGTAGGATCATCCCTCCCTTCCCTCATTCCCGTCCTAATTTGTTCCACGAAGCGCTGCGCCGAGGTGATTGGATCCCTTTCCAGCCATGTATTGACAAACTCATGGCTCTCCAAGGCATCAGCCCATCTGTTTTCTCCGTCATGGAAACATGCTGTTGGTTGGTAGTTCCACGTTCTATTTAGCATTGCTGCTAGAACGGATTCGTGGATACGCTGCCCCTCAAAAATTCGGCGCGGGGCGGCAAAGTGCAACCTTGAATACAGTCAGACCATATTGTGCGTGAGAACAAGCTAACCCACTTTCGGGTTCTATGAAACCTTTGGGATGATTCGTCTGAAAGATGATCAGGGTGAAGCACTGGCAACAGCTCCGGAATATGCCACAGTCCCTTAAGTGAGTTCGTCTGAGGTTTGTTATCGTTCCATTCGCCTCCAAAAGGTGTCATTTGTAGGCCGTGCGCCACCGCTTCGTAAGTCATCCAACGAAGGGCAGGTGAGAATTGACTGAGTTTCTCATTCGATTTGTACCCTCCACTGGAAACTTTGTCGTTAATACATAGAACTACAAGATGAAATATAGATGACTGACACGTCTGAGTGAGATCCAGCAAACCACACCTCTTTCACATCAGCACGAAGCCCTTCACCAGGAGCCAGAGGCCTGTAAGCTAACCGATCTGCATATTCAGGCCAGAATCTAACGCGGCGCTCATCGAGAGCAAGGGCTTGGCGGAAGTGGCACACATGTGTCATCCCATCAACAGTTTCTGGTAGGTCAAATCCACTTGTTACCCCAACAGAGGATACAGTGTCCCTGGTTACACAGTGTTAAGTACGCGAACATCAACATCATCACTGAACTAGCCCGACTCACCACACCCCAACGAAATGAACCTTGACTTCTCAGGAAAATGCTTTCTTGAATATGGCACACATTTCTTTCGATTTTTGCAAGGGGGTTCCTAAATCCTTCATCTTCGCACCTGGTTCCTTCCCTATTATGCCCAGTTCCACATTGGTCTTGATCGCCCGACTTATGCCCAACTTCTGGAGTATCACCTTTGAGATACTGGACTTCTCCGTCGTTGCCTTATACAACTTGTATGCACTGGAGTCACGGGTGCCTCATATTAGTTGTTATATTATTGTCGACCGCCTGATCACTTACGATGGGATGTGGGTGTAGTTTCCTTTGTGGAGGAGACCGACCTATCAACGAAGTCAGACTTCTGATACATATGATGTAGATGCAAAAGAATATCCCACTCGTTCAATCATTCCAGCAAGCACTCGGACTTGATATGCTCCCCGTGAAAACCCTGGAGCGAAATATCAGTAAGGCTAGTTATATAATCTATAACCATACCAAACAAATATATACGATCTCCCTCTTTATAATTCTCCGACAGCCACTCGTATGCTTTGAAAACATTCCTATCGAAGGTGCTAGTCCAAGTGATAGATATTGAGTGACGAGTCTGATCAGATAAAGAGGGAATGGCACCTACGTTGCGACGGCCATATCAAGGAGGGCTTGTAGTTTGTTATCAGCGTATGTTCCGATGCCGCCGAGATACAACGTGATCTGGTCCTCGTCTTTAACAACACGGCTGTGGAACTCGACAACATTTGTACTCTGATGTAAGGCAAACTGAGCAATGCGCAATAAGATACGGTAAATAGCTAACCTTGTTGCCGAATTTATTCGAAGTGCCGTCTGCACTTATTACTATGATTCTTCCTTTAGGATTATGATAGCAGGGGTCTGGCTTCTCAGCAAAAGGGGTTTCCTGGTCTTGAATGAGTCGATCGAGAACGGCATGCGCGGGGGGGAGGGAAGACATCAAGACTGGATAAGCCTCCCTTCCTATGTTCAGTTTATAACCACTTCACTTCACTGCTTGCCGCTCAGGAGGGGCCTTCGCCGTTCCGTAAACAATATGGCATGGTAGCCTTCCATTGCTCCTGTACACTCACGGATGACCAAACATGTGGGAAGCGAACAGAGAAGGGGACGCCACATGTCATGGGGATATATTCTTTCTTGTCAACCGTGTGCACTCCAGAGGGATTGTCATATGGCGTCCAAGACTTCTGAACGAGCGTTCATCAACGACAACCACGATGTCAAGCGATGATACTAGGCAATGGTTGGAGAAACGCGACCAGCAAAGGTTGAAGTCTGCCTCCAGACGACCTGGAGAAACAAGAGTACCTGTGAAGGACGACGTCAGTAAAGTGCAAGGAGTATGCTCAGAGGTAATTTCACTACTTTGCCGACCTCTTCAAGATATCCCAGGCTTGTGAGAAGTCCCAGTGCGATTCTGGTCAAGTCGTAACGCCCGATCACCAAAGACGACAGATTGCCGCTTGCAAGAGACAACCAGGATCGTGTTGCGAGTCATATCTAGGGGTTAACGGGACGCAGACTTAAGAGGAGCATCCATACCAGTGGACATTGATATCTTGTGTTGCCCCCGTCGAGTTAAGTGCATTTGCGGCAGATGTAAGTCTGGTTGAATTGCGGTGAGAAGGGAGGCATATCTGGCATTGGCAAATATATCAAAGTGCCAACATAGAGTGAAAATGCAAGCCATTGGCGCCACGGTACCAAAATACTCATGGCATGCGCCTTCCATTACGCCGCAACGCACATGTGCTTTAGCACCCTCCAGAACCAACCAATGCCCCTGGATTAGTACTTCGATATGATTGCACTGGTGCAAGAGCTATTTGGAGAGTCTACGTCCGCCCCACGGTGCCCTGCACACAAACTATAGTTGCCTGACCTTCATATGTCGAATCAGACTCACCATCGACTTCGTCGTACAATTGACGCGAGGACCCACAACCTCACGAAGCTGAGTGAGATCGTATCTAAGTGTTCATGTCAATATACGCAGAAGTGGTACAGAAGAATGGCCTACTTTGACCCCAAGGGGTAGCTTCGACTTCGCCCAGTAAACCTATGGGGCTAGCAACGTACATCTTGTTCACTGGGCTTCAGGCACCGGTACGAAGGGACTACGCAGGAAGTTCGTTGTGCCTACGCAAGGAGTTCGCGCTCGTCGCTTGTACAGATCAACGAAGGAACCCTCGAAAGCTCACCGCCTCTTTTTGGGGCGGGCATGGGATCTCCTCGTGAACGCGCTTCGAGGATCTTCTTGACTCGCTTCTATACCCACCCATGTATAGCAATTTGGTTCCTGGGGTCTGCCAACATGAGTTAGCGTATATTGGGTAGGATCGGGGACGGAAACATGCGTGGAAAACATGTGTACAAAGATTGGAAACCAACCGTGCGATACAGCCGTGTATAAGGAGCCCTGGCAATAAAACGAGAAAGGTACAATGTCCGTAAACAAAAAGCAATTGAAATGTATTATCCATGGTGTAACAAGGAGCAGACGGGCAGCGTCGAAAGGGAGGCTAATCATGTAAGGAGTGCGAAGCAGGAGGAATGACGACGTTGGTCCATACGAAAGTCGACGGTAAAGATGGCACGGATGAATGGAGTCACCTGCGGCCTAAAAACACAAAATTGCCTCCGGGCTGGCTCCATAGGGTTGTGAATACTAGGTGACAGCTTGAGACGCCGTTGTACTTGAATCTGTTCGCCCGCGACTGCTAGATGACGAGGCATCGCAGGAGAATCGCCATTTGTTTGAGTCAACGTTGCATGGAGTTTTGTGAGTTTTTCCTTGCTACATGCCCACCTGCTCCAGGATGCTCGACGAGCGGTGCCAGAAGAGGTGTGACCCGTAACGGCGGCAGATGTGACATGCTTGCGCGAGGCTGTTCACTTTGGAAATCCACGCAACTGAGTAGTCAGTGATGGCCCACGTCAATTCGGACTTCTCGCTGGCATCGCCCTTCAATGAGCTCGAGGTTCACGGTGTGTGCTACATTATGAGATATCTTCCTGGCTTGACGTGTGACCCCATCAGCCTTCCAAGCGTTGAGATGCCCGAAGATCAACGAATGTCTGGAGCGATGGAATGGAAAGAGGTATATACCCGAACGAGACCTGCCCTCTGTGCAACGATGAGGGCATGAGGCGCGAAGGTGAGTATGCATCCACCCCCTCGCACTCTGCCCCGGCCGCCAAGTTTTGACGATGATTACACATTGTAGACTCCCATTACGTAGGCTGCTTTCGCATGCTGCCATTTTCCACTGTCCTCTCGATCCACGTGCGCGTGCTAGGTGAAGGCGAGAAAACCAATACTGGATACACGTTTGGAGGAGAACGTCGCCCGGAAGGTGCCTAGTGGTCTTCTATGCTGGAGCGACGGTACAACGACAAGGCCGGAAACACGCCAAAGGGAGAGGTGGAAACAGAAGCTCGGAGCGGCCTATGGGGACAGCAACACGCGACTTGCGCTCCTCTACCGACCAGGGCGCCCCTCCAAGAATCCACCAAGTAACCAGATCGTTTGAAGCTCTTTGAATGAAGGGCCGAACCAAGGCGAAGCAGGCAGATCTAGGGGTGCACTGCTCCCCGGAGGCCGGTGTCGAACCCACTCAAGAGTTCCGAGCTCGCCAAGGCCTGCCATCCAATTCCGTTGGCAGGGAGAGATCTCGTAGGGTAACAGAACCCATTAACAACGTCGATGGCGATGGTGTAGCAGCCGCGACAATTCCTGACTCCGACTGAGGGATCTGCGACTCGCCTCAGTGTTGCACTGTCTACATACGCAGGCTTGGTGATTAGGTCGTGGAGGTTGTCGCATTGCCTCAGGCGTCGTACACGCTCCAAGCCAAGATAGGCCATTGCCCACTGGGCAGGTATTGGATTCCTGGTATGTGCAACAAAACAAAACAGCCCTCGTGTGGACCAGCGGCACAGAGAGGTCCAATAGGGCCGCCATAGGGGGCGCGACGAGGTGCGAGGGCACGAGCACTCTTCGAATACTGCCAGGAATTCGACCCCACCAGAACTGTGAGTATGTCCATCTCCCGTGCGCGGATTGTCGACCCTTGCTTATCCAAAGATGAATAGGTTTGATCCCGGTGACATAGCTCTCCACTGGTGCTCGCCTCCTAATGGTGTAGCGCAATCATGCCCCTTCCTGAACCATACGCTGATATGCTCGACGAGTGCAGAGGTGCGACGGAATGGCTGGGGATGATTTATAAATATGCCGAAGGCTATGGATCTGCTTGAGGCTATGGGTGCAAGAACTGGGATGAGCTGCAGAATAGCAAGATGGAGCTGCTGGCGCGCGAGAATATACGGGTCATTTCCATCCCGTGCCACGGCGCCCCGTGCCTTTGTCACCGAAGGTCACAAGTGGTGCGCCATCTGCAGCTGGAGACGTAGCGATGATCGTGGAACTCCCAGATATCAGAAGGAATCGCTGCCACTCCATTCATGACAGAGGCCTCAGCTACTGCTCGTTCGTTTCCCCCTTCGCCTTCCCGCGACGACTCCCCTCGCCACCGCAACCGCAACTCACCAGCTCATGGGTTCCCGAGCTCCCCCATCGCCGCTCTCCCCACGCTCTACCGCTTGTATCCAGCATAGCCGAAAATAGCAATGTCTTCTCTCGAATGTAATCACGCTATCTCTAGCTGCCTCGCCGCCCTCGGCAAGTGCTACCAAGAACGCCAATTTTGGAGTGTTTGTGATCTCCAGGACCCGGCGTTTTCTATAAATTGTCGTTCGAGGGCTGCCTCGCGGTCCGCCTGCCCAGCAAGCCACAGCCCGCTCGCCAACCTAACGCGCAGTTCTCTGCAGTTCTTCGAAGGGATTCCGAAGGGTGCTGTTGCTCGACACCTGTTGCCTGCTTCCTCTCATCATCTCTAAACTACCAACATGTTTGAGCGAGACCCTCGAGTTTCGTTCGGAGCGGCTGCTCGATGAATATCCTTGTGGGTAAGTATAGTGTGCAACAATATGCAGATGTCTGTCATTGCTGGCTGCGATGTTGTACAAGTTCCGTGCGAGATACAGAAAAAGTAGGTATTGGGTACATTTGTTGGTGCATGTGATTGGGTGAATGGTTATTGCAAGGGTTCCATATACCGAATTTCGATTGCATTCTTTGGGTGATGTGATAGTTGTAAGTAGTAGCCAGCCAAAACAAGTCAGTGGTGTGCTAATCAACAGAGACTGCGAAGTATATCAGTTTTCGGCGCTGGGGCACAAGAATAGAGCGCAACTTACCTTTGACCTGAGTCTTAGTTTCGCTGAGGCAGCAATATCTCAATCTCTCGCGGTGTTTTATCTTCCGTCGGGCACGTCAAAGTCAACACCCCGTTCCTCATCCACGCGCGGATGTCCTCCGCCTAGCCGGTGCGAGTGTGTATCAGTCGTAAGCATCGGGCGCTGGTAAGGGTAGATAATGCACCTGAATCCCCTTCGCCAACCTCGTCCGGTATTCAAGCCTGACCACCCTCCTTGCAGTGATGACAGGCTGATCGTCCACGCCGACGATGGCATTCTCTGCGACGACACATAGATGGCCATTGGAGAGAAACACTTCGACTTCGTGCGCATGGAGGCCTGGGAGCACGAGGTCCAGGCGAAGGGTGTCTTTCTGGATAGATTCAAAGGCCCTGGGGTGCATCACGATGCCAGTCAGGATAGCGGGACAATTCGATGACTTCGTGACATACTTGGGCACGAGAACGCTGCGCCCGCGTGCACGCTCAGAGGAGGCAGGCTGCGGGACCTTCTTGTGGACAGTGATCATACCCGTGCGAGCCTCATTATGAGGGACCGCATTTTCGTCTCCTTCTGCACTGTCGCGAGCACCACTCTGATTGGGCGCGGGGGGTAGCGACTCTGGTTGGGTTGAGGCAAAATGATCCCCAGCCTTCGCAACAGCACGGCCCTTTCGAGACGACTTGCGCGCAGATACGGTTGCAGAGCGGGTGCACATCGACTTTCCTGTACTCACTGCCCTCTTGGTCTTCTTGAGCTCTTTCTTCTGCGACTTCTCTGTAGTTCCTGGAGTGTAACGGAAATATACGCGCATCGACTGGAAAGGCGACGGTCAGTACTCAGTGCTCTCGACCAGGCTCATCACAATGGTGTCTAATTGCCTGCAAGGCAATGGGAAGGGGAGTACAAGTAAACAGCATCTTACAGCTTTGACATCTGGGCTCAAAGGCCAGTTTTCTTGCCAGGCATCGTATACAGCATGTTGCCAGTCGGACCTACCCTTCGTCGATGGTGTTGTTGCTTTGAACGAGTCCACAAAGTGGGAAAGGAAGTTGCGTTGATCTTGAGTAAATCTCATCCAGACGATATTAGTGCAGTGTACGGAGACGTTGTTGCTAGTGAGAAAGCGGAAGAAGGAGCTGGGAAGAGCGTTTACCCTTATTTGTACCCCTGTTGACTCCTGTTGGACTTCGTCGTTCCGAACCACCATTGCCAATCATGAACGAAAACAAGGCACCAGAGGGTGGGGCATTCGAGCTGCTGTCGTGGACTACACCGAGGCAATTTCACTTTATCGTCGATCGATACAACGACTTCGTCGAAGTTGCGAGGGACGACGGAGAGAGGGCAAAGTTTTGGACAACACTGGAAGACGATTGGTCGTCTGTATGGGATTTCACCCCGGAGATTATGCAGGTGCGAATGGAGCTCTATGAGCTCGAGTAGGATATTACGACTTACTATTATGACCGTTAGAAACTGAAGAAGTATTACTACACCATGTGTGGTGTAAATATCGAACGAGGGTGTAAGTTTTTTGTTCTATTAATGGACCGGCTGCTTCATTTACATCCATATAGTACTACAGGGATCAAAGTTGCTTCCGAGTCGGTCCCAAAGCTGTGACTCTGTCCTCACGAACAATGGCCAAAGCAGAGATGCAAACATAAACGGTGAGCACCTGTATACCAATAAACTTGGAGGGTAGAATTCTGAGTTACGTTGATAGAACAAGCCAGAAGCTTACGCGTGCTGAGCTCTGCTCAATCTACGTCGCCTCGGACCAACGAGTACCGACCACCCTGCCTCAACTCTGCATTCAAACTTGGAGAAAGGCAGGTCCTCTACTGTTTTCGCATCAACTCCCATGATACTGACTAGAACAAGGAATTCGAATCGAGGTGGTTCAGCCAGCAACACGAGTAATGAATGGCTTGTCGACGTCCCAGGGCTTGTACGCTCGGAGATTCGCACAGTGCTCATGGCTGGGAGTGTTCTGGTTCACGCTGAGAAAGTCGCGACGAAAGGGAAGGGGAAAGAGAATGCCTTCGACGATCCATTGCTTCCCAGCCAGCCCTTAAACGAAAAGGTTGAACTCCCCTTTGGGGTGCAGGTCCGTATCTTTTCCTGTTTGAAAACCTTCTGTCCGTCTGTGATATTCAACGTGACGGGTCTCTGCCATCTAGCATGCGGATATTCGGGCAAAACTTGATGGCGGTCGCTTGACGTTCCAAATTTCGAATGAATTGACGCACCGTACGTCCATTGTCGTGGAAGACCTTGATGAAGTTGAAGGTTAGACGCAGGAGCAGTGATTACCCCTGATAACCGTATATAGCTCCAGTACGCAAACATGATCTTTTAGCACTCAGCACTAGCCCTTCCTGTGGACATTCCTCGTATAGTTTTATTCTGGCTTCATCTCTCGGTACTACATTTCTCTGTCTCTGTTTACTGCATCTTTACCGTCAGTACAAAGCCTTGATCTTCCGGTAGGCGAGTAATTGAGCTGAAACGGTTTGGCTAATGATGAGAATCGTACAATGACTAGCTATGACAGCACAACGGCAAGAAACTCTTCATTGCAACGTCGGCGGTGATGCCCCGCTTCCCATCATCACCCACGCGCCCTCACTCGTTACATCATCCACTGTCAAGAAAATGGTGGCAGGACCAGGGGGGTATACCCTCCCATTAGGCGGCGTCGTAAATGTGAGTAGATCCCTACCAGGAGAGATGGTAGCGTCCATGAATACCAAGCGGGCACCAGCGTGGAAGGCATGAGTAGAGAATCCGAGATCCATGAGGGAAACTAAGAAGAACATCGATCAGCATCTGCGTCGTCCAGATTTCGCCTTGCGCATAATTGACATACCCTTGATATCCTGCGTACGCAGCCCTCGCGGAATGGAGATTGGAACGCTAACTTTCTGTCCGAACGCCAGCTTCTTCGGGACGCTCACCAACTTCGGCCTCTCCGCATTCATGAACGGCGGATCCAACGTCTCCACCCTGAACTCGCTAGGGAATTTCACCCCCGTCATCGTCGTATTCCCGTTGGGATTGCTCCCCGCAATCAAGAAGTTGCCTTGCGGCGTCAGTGTGATACTGGAATGATACATGCGCGGGATGTTCGTCGTAGGCATGCCCTTGTTGCTGATCCGACGTCCAAGTGGAAGTGACGGTGTGTACAAAGAAGGCGTCAAGACAGCGTTGTCGGCATTGGACCCCCCTACTAGGTCGGCGACCGAGCCGATTGCAGCGAACCCCGTGCTTCCACCGTTAGTTATGAGGATTTGACCGTTGGGTAGATGTAGTAGTTCGGGCATCGTTCGGCCCTCCAGCATTTGCTCGACCTGCCACCCCGCCTTGATGCCCTCCTCCGTAAGCTTGATCCGCGAGCATTGCGATGAGGCAGGTGTTTGTGTGGACAGGAGCTCTGAGTCGATGGTGTCGGTCGCAGTTCCGCCGCAAACAAGGACTTCGGGAATGAAGTCCGGCGGAGACAGAGGCAGGAGGATAGCTGAGCCATCAATGGGGTTGGTGACGCGGACATTGTTGGGTATATCAGGGAGGATAGTTTCGGTATTGGCTTCGATATCATATATAATCGACTGGTTATTTGCTACCATGAATACGCGGCCGTCGGGTAGTGCGAATATCCTATTCCCGATCCGCTAGCGCTAAGAGGATGATACGATCACGGAATACTCTGAACGTACCTGGGGAATAAATTGGCAGGAAGGCTGCGCTCAAGGAAAGGCGACGGCCTGGGCGCGCCCTCTTTCTTTGGGAAGAACTCGAAGGAGTTCACTGGGTCGACATTGTAGAAAGGCGTGGTGACATGTGTGCCTCCGACGATCATAAGGCTTCCGTCGAAAATCCGAATGGATGACGCGTACCAGCGCCGCTCGAAGAGATGATGTGTTTCCAAGTTCTCGAACAAGGTGCAGTCCTCTCCAGTGGGTGACAAGCATGGCTCGAAGATACGAATAGCTTGATTACCCGCATTGGCAACCCCGGCTCCAGAATCACCTCCGACGCTAACCTGTAGAAAAGAAAGATATAGGTTAGAGGATGCGTCGGGCACTAAGTGATAATGCCGTATTACCATGCTACCATTGCTCAGAAGCGCGCCGCTTCCGCAGAACGTATTGGAAATCACGTTGAGGGGTTTGACGACAGAGCTTGTCTTGAGATCCCAGAGTGCGCCCAAGGCCGAGTGATTGTTGAACTGCAAAGGATCAACGGATGGTCGGTTGAAGAAAATCGTAAGGGTCGGCGACACGACAATGGATTCAAGGGCTACGATTCCGCTTGTCGCTTCTTTGAGATTGAAGCTCCATTGGGGGGCGCTCGGAGCCGCCGATGATAGGGTGGAGAGAAGAGAAAGCGCGGGGATGAAGTAAGATCGCCTCATGCTGAAACGCGTCTTTGACGTGTCTAGACTAGCTCGTTACCCCAGGATTATATAGTCGTGTCCCATGAGAGGAAGAAGATGGCCATTGGCGCGTCGATGGGAGTTACGAGGTCAAGTGGGCGTGTCGAATAGTGATTAGCCGGTCGCGTTGACTCATTCACCACCTATTAGTTGGTCATCTCTCCCTCGAGCTGGCGCCAAGACCACCAGTGCACGATGCTCACCTATTATTCTGGGGCAATAAAGCCTCACCGTCATGGAAAGCATCCAAAAAGTACCACACCCGTGGTATGAGGGCGATGAGCTCCAGTCATGCGCCTAACCGGTCTAGCAAGGCGAAGAGGCGAACTCTCCAGAGAGGTGGATCCGGAAGAGACCATCGCCGTAGCCGGTAAATCATAACCAACAAGACCTTCGTTGTTGATGGGAGTAGCCAAGCCACTGCGAACCATCTGTGGGAAACGTGTGGCGTTGGAGGTTGGAGAGCTGATAAGAGCCTAAATGGGTAGACTATATTAGAGTGTAGTTCCGAGCATAGCCTGATGCGGCTGACCGCAGAGGTAAACCAGTGGATGTGTTCGAGTTTATGCGGGGCTACTTGACAAGACCGTAATTGATCAAACCGAGTTTTCAAGAGGATCTTTTGCCGACGGCGGCCTGGCGCGTGTTTGGTCAAACCCTCCTGATCAGCAACCATTCTCAACTTGCTCGGCGATCTCACCTCGATACTTACTACCCTCCGCCGTGTCTGCTCATACGTATCCCCTTCGGTGAGTTGTTCGCTGCTTTCCCTCGCGGCCAACGCCAGAGCACACCCTCGCAAGTCCACTCTTTCGCTTCCCGCCCTCCCAAGCTTCAGCGCAGGGACATCATTTTACTCCTACAACCTCGCTCTTCCCATTCCTGCAGTCCGTTTCAACACACGGCGACCAACCAGCGCCTACGTTGAAGTTACTGTTGCCTCGAAAGCCACGCGCAGGTTCAGGTTCGTGAAGACACCAGCCAAGTTCCTTTCAAGGAACTGGCTGGCTGGATGAGACGTTTGTGGCACGTCCATGATTGTCGCAGCGAACTCATCTTCGTGAAGGTTGTGGCACGCACGATATCAGCGCGGATACCCCATTTTCTGTACCCTTCGTTGTACATTATATGCCCGTTATAGTACGTATCCTATGGCTTCGAACGCCACAAAACTGCACGGCGCTCTAAACTCTGGACTCGAACTCGTATGACTCGCGGTGACACATCGTCGTCTTAATATTCTAACTCTTCCCTGCGCTTCTCGGCCAGATCACGTACGGACTACGACATCAGAAAGGAAACCTCCTACCCCCGAATATCGTTCGTCGTCGACAAGCTTTCCTATCCCTAGCCCCTCAGCGCCTCATTGCGGAACGTACCACATACCTCCTGCAGACGCCGCCAAATTTCACGCATAGTATTCGCTTCACTCGCCATTCTCGCTGATTGCAAGAAGTCAAAATGTGCTTCGTACTAGACGACGCAAAGTGTCACCTCTCAGTCCCTCCTCCTCGTGAACGTTGTCGGCTATGACGGAAGCTCTGGCTGCTGGAGCTTTCGCGGATTAGATGCTGTGAAGTACGTTCCGCGCTCGCCCGTGTCGTGCGTAAAGACCATGCCTATCCAAGGCTCGAGGAAATAAAGTACCAGCCCGCCACCATCCTCCCCACCCACCAAAGTCGACCCACAATCTCTCCTCTTATCGTCGCAAAGCGCAAACCCACCTCTACACATCGACACCGCCCCCAGAATACCTCATGCCTCCTCCCCAGCGGCAATCTGTCAACGCACAAGAAGCATCAGCTTCCAAAATGAAGGCACAGGTGCACTCGTGCCGGTCTATCTCTCACTCCCATCACATGGCCAATATGCTTCCATTGAAGGCACGATGCATCGTGCATAGCCATCGCACGGCCTCACCACACAAGCATATTTGCTGCGCGGGATGTAAGTAGTAAGGCTCTCGCTGGAGCAGGAGATACCTAGCCGCACCTCTCCCTCGTACCATCATCCCCTACATTCTTCGCCTCACGTCCCAAGCACTAAGTTCATACCCTGTCAGGCGATACCCTATCATGTCATCATTTTGGATTAACGACGAGGACAAGGGAATTAGGTGAGTCCCAAATCGGTAGCAACAAATGCCGGCTGAAGTGCAAGTGGGGTACAGCACCAAATACTGGATATATCTTGAAGGTTACCTGTTTGGTTAGAGTGGAGTCGGGGGCGAGCGAACTTACGAGTTGTTCCAGGAGTCTCGCTCGACTTTGATTCCAGTTGGACCCCGGAGTCAGAGGTCCGGATTTACAAGCGAAGCACAAGATATGAGGTGGAAGATCTCTGCCTGCGCATGCATGATTGCCCAAGATCCCTGGTGTGGAAACCTTCTATCAGTCGGTGAGCATATATCTCGCTGCATGGGATGGTGCGAGATCCTATGGGATCATGTATGTAGGCATAGGTTTTTCGCTCAGAACGACGTGATGGTGGAGTACAAAGGGCACGACGGTGGCCTAACATGGACCGGCGTTATCGCTGGATGGAAGCAGGTTGTGGACCTTGCAGGAGGGGCCATATATCAGGGCGGTATTGCACACTTGCAGATCGGACGGCAGTTGGGGCTTGGGACAAGCACAGTGAATTTGATTGTTCGCAGGGTAAGCATTTCTCCATAGATGTTGGGAAGCTGGCTTAAATTGTGTTATATGTAGACCTTTCATTATGACAGAGGTGAATGTTTCAAACTGAGCGTTGTCATGGAATATATCAATCGCGATGAGTGGAGTTGTATCCTTGAATATCAACAACGTTGCTCTGAAATGGTAAATTGGTCTCAGTCTATGTTAAACTGTTGTTGACCTTCCTGATTGGTCTACTCAGTACTGCAATGACAGTATTGCTGAGGCCCCTCTTGGATGGCGAGGGAACGAACGCATCATCGAAGAAATGCCCAAATCCCGCTACCAAAAAGATCAAAAGGATGTCGCCGACGTCCTCAGACACATCGCCCATGAATCCATGCCTCTCGTCCTCAAATATCGACATGGTATGCACCTCGTGAGCTACAATGAGCACGTTGCGCTCTCCCACATGTTCGGGTGAAGTTCACCTGAATGGCCGAACGACACCCGAACAACACTCGAACAACACCCGAACAGAGTCCGAACACTAGCTGAATAAATTTCACTAAATATTCTATTTTACTGTTCAGCTATTGTTCACCTGATGTTCGGGTGACGTTCATGTCATATGAACTGTTCACCTGAACGGTAGGTGAATTCAGATGAAAATGGCCAGGTGAAATTCACCTGATGTTCAGGTGATGTTCATATGTTCACCCGAAATTCACCTGATGTTCAGGTGGTGTTCATATGTTCATCTGAAATTCACCTGAACACCAGATGATGTTCATATGTTCACCTGAATTTCACCTGGTGTTCAGGTGAACAATACCTGAACAAGCATAATAACTATATTAATCAATAATCAATAACATCAGTTATAAATTGAAATAAAAAAGAACATCAGAAGGAATTGAACCCGCGACACTGTGCATAGTTAAGCGCCCAATAAGCGCTACAGCTTCGCAAATTACCACTGGGCCATAATGGCACTAACTGGTATGATACATTTATATAATATGATATTTCACAATTGTCTTATCTAATCGTTATCTAATCGCTATCTCATGTTTATCTAATCACACCGCCCATCGCCGAAATAAGCGCCGGAGTCCAGAAATGGCAGGTGGTTGATTCACTGCCACGTCTCTTTCTTTCTCACTACCAGCACCATCGATAACGCCCCCGAGCACGCACAACAGCGACGACAACGCCGACAACATGCAGCGACGAAGCCAAGATCAAAGACCCCCAACGACACGCAGCCAAAGCAAGAAGGCTCCCAGCGTCGCCGTGAAAACCAAGTCGACGAAACCCGCACGCAAAACCACCAAAGCAACGGACAAAAAGGAAGTGGACGAGCTGGGGAAAAGGTGCGTGTATCACCTGCTGCCTTCTTCCATTTACTGATATTCCCGCTCCCCCATTTCTCGTCCCCCGCGCTCTCTGGCTACCACGACAACAACAACACCATTGCCACCACCACCACTCCACCCTTCTCCCCTGTGCTGTCTGGCCACGACGACGACGACACGACGACGACGACGACGCCACGACGACGACGACGACGCCACGACGACGACGACGACGCCACGACGACGCCAACAACAACGACGCCACGACGACGCCAACAACAACAACAACAACAACGATGACACCACGACAACAACGACGACGCCACAACAACACCAACAACAACGACGCCACGACGACGACGATGACGCCACGACGACGACGATGACGCCACGACGACGACGACGCCAACAACGACGACGACGACGCCACGACGACGACGACGCCAACAACAACGACGACACAATGACGACGACACCACGACGACGCCAACAACAACAACAACGACGACGATGACGCCACGACGACGACGACGACGCCACGACAACACCAACAACAACAACAACAACAATGACGCCACGACGCCGCCACGACGATGACGACGCCGCCAACAACAACGATGATGACGCCACGACAACGCCGCTGCCACCACCACCACTCCACCCTTCTCCCCTGTGCTGTCTGGCCACAACGACAACGACACGACGACGACGCCGCTGCCACCACCACGCGCCGTCTGGCCACAACGACGACGACGATGCCGCTGCCACCACCACTCCACCCTTCTCCCCCACGCTGTTTGGCCACAACAATGACGACGATGCCGCCACCGCCATGACAATGACGCAACCACCTGGCCACGATGACACGACGACGCTGCTGCCACCACCACTCCTCCCTTCTCCCCCACGCTGTCTGGCCACCACCACCACCATGCGCTGTCTGGCCACAACAACGACAATGACTGACGCCGCCACCACCACAACGGTGACGACGACACTGCCACCACCACCACCACCACCGCCACACCTCCCTGCTCCCCGCACTGTCTGGCCATCACCACCACCACGACAATGCCGCCACCATCACGACAACAACGCCGCCACGCCGCCACCCCTATCACCTCTCTGTCCACCACGCACGACAACGCCGCAACGCCACCACGCTGCAACGCCCACTCCCACACCATGCATGATGATGCTGCCACGCTGCCTCCCTTGCCTCTCCCTGTCCACCACGCATGACGACACTGCCACGCCGCCACAACACCACGCCGCCTTGCTCACACACCAATATAGCAAGCCTGCCAGCCGACGCGGCAGCGCCAGGTGAAGAGTTCCACTCTTTTCAATTAGTAACAAAGGTCTAACTTGAGAGTAGGAGTAAGGCATCTGCTGTTCAGGATACTGAGGCCAGTATAACTACCAAACTAACCTTGTACGTAGCTTGTTGAATATGAATATACTTGAGTGTTGAGACCCTGACAGTACGGAGAATGTGCTTGAAAAGAGTGGGGCTTCAATTGCTCCTCCTCCTCGCCGCCAATTGTCCGCCCCGAAGAATGTTTCTTCTGGTTCCTCACGCATGTCTCGAGTCCGAGTTGAAGAGTCAGATGAGGGTGAGGGTGAGGGTGAGGGTGACGATAATGATGATGACGGGGGTGAGGGTGAGGAGGGTGAGGATGATGGCGAGGGTGAAGGTGAGGGTGAGGGTGAGGGCGAAGATGAAGGCGAGGGTGAAGGTGAAGGTGAAGGCGAGGGCGAGGGCATGGGTGAAGATGCAGGCGAGGGTGAGGGCATGGGTGAGGGTGAAGGTGAAGGTGAAGGTGAGGGCGCAGATGAAGGTGAGGGTGAAGGTGAAGGCGAGGGCGAGGGTGAGGGCGAGGGCGAGGGTGAGGGCATGGGTGAAGATGCAGGCGAGGGTGAGGGCATGGGTGAGGGTGAAGGTGAGGGTGAGGGTGAGGGTGAGGCTATGGTGGTGGATACGCCTTTCACACCACCTAAGGTAGGCGTAAAGCGACCTATCACGTCCCCTATTTCTCCCACCCGTGATGTCAAGGCATCTCGCCGTTCCGTAGCACAAGTAACCGCTCTTGCTACCACTACCGACACTCCGCCTTCGCCATCGTCACCTGAAGATCTTCAAGGGGCCTCTCAAATTGTTGGTGGATTTGCACGTGGTAAGGCCATTGGGAATGCACCAAATATGGCTGACCTCGGTATTTTTACTCATATGCTTCAATTCAGATTTACTAATTAATTTGAATTAGGTGATATTGGCATGGCAGCTCCTGTGGCTACAGTCCACAGAGGCAAACTTGTGGTTTTCACTTCGCGTGATGCTACCAAGCCTGCCTACTCAATTCGAGTCACCAAGGCAACCAATTTGGGTGCTGTACTCAATGAAGCTGCACTTCGCTTTGACGAATTGAAGTGTAAGCTTTCATATTATTTCAATTTCATTTAACTTACATATTTCAGATTGTCGGATTTCCGTATTGGAGAGTGAGATGTGGGACTTGAAGGGGACATTCAACTTAGCTGTTGAGTGTATTGATGACCTGGAGTGGGATGCTGACTCTTGTTTGACCATCCTCGCTGTAAGTTTTTCAGTTTCTTAATCTTTATTAATAATTTATATTATTTTGCAGGAAGCTACCCGCTTTACCTCTGGCTCCCTTGCCAGCTGTCATGAACCATGTTTGTAACATGGTAATCATGTCGGAAATCTAGGGTTATGCTCAATCAAACACCCAAGCTCCCTACTCTCCCCCTCTGCAATACCTCCCCTATCCTCCCCGAACTATCTGGCTCTAGGGAAGCATCCCCTATCCTACCCCTCACCCCTATCTATAATATACCACATGGGATCTTACCCCTGTTCGCCTCTCCGCCCCTCTTAAGTCTTTAGGGGTGCCACTATTCTCTTCCCATTTCCATTGGAATTCTATTTCTCCCCCCGACCATTTCTTTGCCCATCAGATATTCCATTAAGAACTCCCTTTTCATCAGAATAATCCATATTCCTTCATTCCTTTCATTCGCACAGCTGGGCTGTTCTATTCGGACCTCGGCTGTGCAAATTGCACAGCCCAGCACAGCCCAGCATAGCCTTGCACAGCCTTGCACAGCCTTATGTATCCATCGGAACATACGGAATGCAGCTGCGCATTTCCTTTCCTTTCTTCTGCATTTCCTTCTATCTTCCGTACAGAATTATGTGACTATCCTTTCTACCGGACTTTCTGATTCTTGTGACGGCCTAACAACCGTTCTTTCTACTTTCCGTGCACAGCCTAGATATTTTACATATAAAAATCCAATAGTGTAGCGAAGTTGAAAATCAATCTTTCCCCCCCCAGTGAAAGGTTCACTCAGTCAGTCCTCTAGTCGTATCAGTCCTCAGATCTTAGTCATTCCGTCGTCTTAGTCAAGTCTCAGTCATTCAGTCGTATTAGTCAAGTCTCAGTCAGCCAGTCGTATTAGTCAAGTTTCTTTAGTCATCCAGTCAAGTCAAAGTCGATCTTACTCTCAGTCCGCAAGATCATCAATCAGTCAGTTATCCAGTCATACCAGTCGAATTCTGGTCTTCTAGTCGTCCACTTGGTTCAACTTCAAGTACTGCGTACTTGAAGAAGTTTGTCACGGTAGTTTTTCGTTCTCTAATCTTTTATCATCCCCCTATCTTTCAAATTCTTTACCCGGTACCCCTTTTGTTCCTTTCTTTCACTCTCTATTCCTTTTATACTAACCCCTTCCTGTTCTACTGCGTATCTGCACCTTTGTTTATTTTTCCTCTTCCACGTTACTGTCTCCGCTCGTGCTCGTGACCACTCACGCTCGCGTCCCCTATCCGAAAGAAGCAATCATTGGACCGCCTCACACAGGCCCCTGTACTATCCCTGCACCACCCCTGTGTTACTCCTGTACTACCCCTGTAGTCTTGTTTCACTATCGGCATACCTTGGCGAGACAAAATATACACCCCTATCAGAGTTACTAGGTGTTCGAACAACCGGGCTCTCACTTGATCTACTAGCAAGACCCAGTGCTCCCCGGACACTCCCCTATCTCAGGAGAGTGTGACATAATCTTTGGTGACCACCGCAGGACACCTTTGTCTCTGTAT